TCTCTCATGTTGATGGTTGATCTTGACTTACACGATTAATCTACTGTCTTGCGCTCAGGGGGAAGGGCGTATCTGTGCTCTCCAACCCCAACCCTCGCACGCTCTTTCGTAGCGCTGCGCCCACCCATCACTTCTCGCCTTTGCCATTGCTCAGATGGCCTTGCATGTTCTGGTACACGCTGTCGGGATCCCGTCACTTCTCGCCTTTGCCATTGCTCAGACGGCCTTGCAGGCGCTGGTACACGCTGTCGGGCACGCCATCTGTTTCGATGCTCTCAACACACTGCTTCCAGTTGTCAGCCGGAAGCTCGGAGATATAGCCGGCCCACAAGAAGACCTGCCGCAGCACCCTTTCCAGCACACAAGTGGGTATGCTGTTGCCCAAAGCTCACCCAAGCTGAGAGTCGCTGACCCCCGACGTCGCCATTGCGTTCCAAATGCCAGGCATCACTCCTCCACACATGCAGCGGAACCAACGGTAGTGGTAGTGGTAGTGGTAGCAGTACGTAGTACTAGAAGGAGTAGTAGTAGTAGTAGTCCTTGAAGGCCTGCCATCTCTCGCAAGGTCATAAATCGGTGTCGCCCTGGAAGGTAATACCTGGCTTGGCAGGCGGGGGCCATGACATCAGGGGTTCAAGTGCTCTAACTTAATGCCAGCCCAAAACCCCTAGAAGCGGACGAGACCATGACAACCCCCTAGAAGCGGACGAGACCGTGACGGCCCAAAATCCCCAGGGATGAGGCGAGCGACGCCCGAGAGGCTCCTCTGGTCGCTGTCACGGTTGGCACCATGCCCACAAGAGCTCGAGCATGCTGCCCTGCTCCCACATCCACGACAGCGTCGCGGTCCCTGAGCCGCTTTCCAAGTTTCTGCTTTGCCTGCGCAATGGGTTTAAGGTTTAAGGTTTTAGGGTTTAGGGTTGAGGTAGGAATGCATACCCACAACAGCAGCAGGAGTACCAGGTAGTAGTAGTAGTAGTAGTAGTAGTAGTAGTAGTAGTAGTAGTAGTAGTAGTAGTAGTAGTAGTAGTAGTAGTAGTAGTAGTAGTAGTAGTAGTAGTATAGTAGTAGTAGTAGTAGTAGTAGTAGTAGTAGTAGTAGTAGTAGTAGTAGTAGTAGTAGTAGTAGTAGTAGAAGTAGTAGTAGTTAGTAGTAGTAGTAGTAGTAGTAGTAGTAGTAGTAGTAGTAGTAGTAGTAGTAGTAGTAGTAGTAGTAGTAGTAGTAGTAGTAGTAGTAAAGTAGTAGTAGTAGTAGTAGTAGTAGTAGTAGTAGTAGTAGTAGTAGTAGTAGTAGTAGTAGTAGTAGTCTTAGTAGTAGTAGTAGTAGTAGTAGTAGTAGTAGTAGTAGTAGTAGTAGTAGTAGTAGTAGTAGTAGTAGTAGTAGTAGTAGTAGTAGTAGTAGTATAGTAGTAGTAGTAGTAGTAGTAGTAGTAGTAGTAGTAGTAGTAGTAGTAGTAGTAGTAGTAGTAGTAGTAGTAGTAGGTGACACGCTCTTAACTGATCATGGTGTTTTCTGCTGTTTTTTCACTTTTTCTATCGTTTTCTCCTGTTTTTCCTCCGTTTGACGGGTTGGGGGGGGGTGGGGTGGGGGGGGGGTAATTACGTGCTGTGCTTTGTGCACACATGACCACGCTCAGGGGTTGGGGGGGGGGGGGTAATTACGTGCTGTGCTTTGTGCACACATGGGGTCGTGCTGTGCTTTGTGCACACATGACCACGCTGTCTACTGTTTTCCTCTGTTTTTTTGGTTGATTTAGGGGCTAGACCTTTTGGGCTCACAGTGGAGGGTTTAGGATTTGGGGTTTCAGGGTAGAGATCTTTTGGGCTTGTTTTGGGAACCTTTTGGGCTTCCACTGGAAATATGGGGTTTGAGGTTTCAGGCTACAGATCTTTTGGGTTTTTTGGCATTTGGGGTTTAGGGTTTCCGGGCAAGACCTTTTGGGCTCACAGTGGAGGGTTTCCGGGCAAGACCTTTTGGGCTCACAGTGGAGGGTTTAGGGTTTGGGCCTTCAGGGTAGAGACCTTTTCGGGTTTTTTGGGATTTGGGGTTTAGGGTTTAAGGGTAAGACCTTTTGGGCTCACAGTGGAGGGTTTAGGGATCTTTTGGGCTATTGTGGGATTCACAGTGGAGGGTTTAGGGATCTTTTGGGCTTTTTTGGGATTTGGGGTTGAGGGTTTAAGGGTAGACAGCTTTCGGGCTGACACTGGAGGGTTGAGGGTGACGTGCTTGACGCTGTGGGGTTTTCTCTTCCTATGCAGCCGTAGGGTAAACTCTTTCAACTTTCGGACATGAATGCAGCAATGGACGTGACTGCAGGTGGTAGATCATCAGTAGTCAGACAGACATGGATGAAATTCTGGTGGCGGCTACCTTTTTGGAGAGTGTTGGCGTTTTGCATGTTGCTGGCTGTGCTTCAGCCATTTTGTACCAGAGTGCCTCAAATAGGGCCAGTTGTAGATTTTCAGACTTGCTGCTGCCATGTTGGTGTCCTTCAGGAACGTCGCCAGCGACAGATGGCTGTTTTCCGATGGTTGGAAAACCGGTGCAACGGAACCGGGAAAGAAGCCAAAGTCAAAAGAATTGCGATGGAAGCTCGGACTTGGTTTTCATGAATGTGTCCCTCCATGCACACACTCGGTAACAGCAAGCATAGGTGCATGAGGCTTCCGGTTTGTGTTTGATCCGAGGGTGGTGAAAGAAGATGGCCACATCGAGACGCCGGAGGGTCGTAAGCTCTGTTTCGATAAGAATGGCAAGGGCTGGGTGGAAACATGGATGGATCCCCATTGGGGAAGTGCGCTGCTCGGCGAAATCTTGCATTGCGAGCCACATGCCTACTGCATGCACGTTGCGCTTTCGCATTTTGCTCTCTCTAAGCCGCACCTATTTTCGGATTATGTGCATGCAGGCATACATACATACACACATGGCAATGAACATGATGACAAGTTCATAAGAATACTATAGAATAATAGCCCGAATAAGAACAGGCAAAAACATACAGTGTTTAAGCCTTCACTGTCGTAAGAACAGAAAATCACAGGTTCCAAATACACATTTCCGAACCTTAAGCCCTGAACCCCTATTTCACGCTTACCGGATCTGAGTCCAAGCATCAACAACACCCTTAAAGCCTAAACCCCTAAACCCACTCAATAGTTGGAGCCGGACTCCTTGCCTTCCTTGAGCGAGTGCGAGAGTCGAATTCCTTAAGCCTAAAATTCGCAACACTAAACTTAAACCCATGAGCAAGGGGAGCTTGGTTGGGCCAAGGCCACACCCAGTTTTAAAGGGCTCGCCGGGCCCAGAGATGGAGACGCCCTTAATTAAAAATGGTAGAGACTCGGTTTTAGGCCGTACAGATTCAGGGTTTTAGGGTTTAGCCTTTTCCGACATTGGGAAATTCAGGATCATTCAGAAATAGCTGCACACAAGACTCAAAAAGTTAAACGTGCACGGTCTCACATGTGTGCACGTACGCCCTTGAAGCATCTAGCCTGCTTTCAGTTTTGTATTGCCCTGCTGCGTTGCCTGCTCCGGCTCTCCAAGTAACGCTCGGGTCTGCCGTTCTTGTTTCGGAGAGGTTCTTCTGCGTTACGACCTGCCTGTTTCTTCGTACGTTTTCTCCGTTACACCCTTTGCCTTTCTGCGTTTCGTGCCTCACCCAATCCCCAACCTTAAAATCGGAACTCCGAGACCCTAAGCCTTTTAAGGAAATGGGAGCTAAAGGAGAAGGATGGCGGCGTGTGGATCCTGAACCAAACAACCAAGAAGAGACTGGGGGGAGGGGTTTGGGTTTTGGGGTTCGTCAGGTTTAGGATTCAGGGTTTCGGATTTCGGGTTAAGTTTGGCAGGGTGATTTTGGGCTTCCTAGGCTTTCGGAGTAGTATAGTTCATTGCTTTCCGCCACGGCATCCGGAACCAATGCCAGGAGGATTTTCGCACGGAAGAACGAGGGCAACGACTTCGGGGGCTCAGACTGGGGGGGGCGACAAGGGGGCCAAGGACCAGGTTTGGGAGATGGTCAAGCTCGAAGCGAAGGAGCCCGAGACGGAAGATCAGGACTGGGGAAAGGGAACCCTAAGCTCTGAAAAACCTTAAAGCACCAAAACGCCTTAAGAAAAGGCCACTTGAAGATACCCTCTTCAGCCCTACAGCAAGCCATAGTAAGCCCAAAGAGCAAAGAAGCTCAAAAGCCCAGACCGCAGGAGATCCCCTGGGATGAGATCGCAGCGCAGGCCAAGGCAGCCGGCGTGTCCATGAAGGAGGCCACCCTGGGGAAGTGAAGTAGGGTTTCTTTTTTCTTTGGGGGGGGGGGGGGGTATTTTCAATATCATCCAAAAAAATATGTATATACAGCTAGCACCCATATGTAGGGTCCCCTTCGGGGTTCTCAGTGGGTTTGCGTTGTTTAGGCCATGCTGTGGGCTTTGTACAATGTTCTGGGTGCGGGAGGAGGGAGGTAGGGAGACAAAGACAGAGAGGCTTAGGTGCGCAGAGAGAAAGAAAGAGAGAGGCCGCTCTGGACATGGGCGTGGCCGTGAAGGAGCCGAGATGTGTTTTCAGGGCAGGCGGCAGGCACCCGGCATCCATCCATCTAGCCATCCAGCGCCAGCCAGCCATCCGTCCACATCCATGCATTCATTCATCCACTTATCAATGCATGCATTCGTTCGTTCGCTCGTTCATTCAGTCATGCATGCATGTATTCATTCTTTCAACCACGAAACCATTCAACCATTTCTTGATTTGTTGGTTCATCTGTTCATTCACTCATTCATCCATTTGTCCATCCATCCATCCATCCATCCATCCATCCTGATGCAGTCATGAATTCATGCATTCATGCATTCGTACATTCATGCATTCATTCATTCGTTCGTTCTGTCATTCTGATATAAGTGTGTCCCTTCTGGCAATCTCGAACCATGCCCTCAGAAGATCCCTAGGACAAGATCGAGGCAATCCCCTAGGATGACATCCAGGCCAAGGCCACCGAGATGGGCGTCTCCATGAAGGAGGCGGCCAAGTCCATCCCCTGGGAGGAGATGACCAGGAAAGCCCAGGCCATGGCGTCGGCTGTGAAGAAGAAGATGGAGGAGGTCCCCTGGGACGAGATTGCGGAGAAGGCCAAAGCCACCGGCGTGTCGATGAAAGATGCTGCGGTTTCGATGGGGCTTTCCATCAAGGAGGCCGCAGAGGACAGGGTCTTTGTTGTGAAGCTAAAAGTAGCCTCAGGCCATAGCGTCAAACGTTCGAGATAAGGTTTGGGATATAGATCAAGATGGAGGACATTCCCTGGGACGACATTGCCGAGCAGGCCAAGCAGTACGGTGTGTCCATGAAGGAGGCTGCATCAAACATTCAATGGGGCAGCATGGGCAAGAAGTTAGAGAAGCTCGGGGACAAGCTTGGGGACATGGCCGAGAAGGCGCATGCAAAGGCGAGCACTTGGTGCTGCTGTGACACCGTCGACCGCGAGAGCGAAATTACCCTCCAGCCGCCAACGGGCGCAAAAGCCAAGTGATCGCAGCTTTCTAGGGCTTCAGCGATCTTTCTTTCTCCACAGCTCATGACAGGGCTCATGGCAACGTTCACCACAACGAGGGGCTACTGTATCACTTTTGGTTAGCAGCACACCTCCATAGAAGAGCGTGCTGCTTTGCTCCGCAGCATCTTGCTGTGAAGACGCACCAACCCGTTTTTCGCCTCGCCTGCCCAACATGGGAAGATCCAAGGAAAAGCGCATGTGTACATCCACACTGATGCAGGAGTCGGTTCACCGTGCCACATTAGGGCTTACCATGCTGAACCTGCTGCTTTGCTAAATGCCCTTCCACCCCTAACCCCAAAGCAAAAGCACTAACCTCAAACCATATCAAACCGTCCTGCAGGCACGCTCAGTCTCCCCGTTCCAGGAGCAGAAAGAGTGGACGAGCCCGGGACCCAAGCTTCCGGTCAACTTAAATTCTCATGGGTCATCTTTGTAGTAGCTGTTGTACTTTTACCAACCGTTCCATAGCTAAACCATCACTACCCTGATCCATCGAATGGGTGTTGTTCAGCAGGGTTACATTGTGTTTACGCTCTCGCCCGGCACTGCAAGTGGTTTAAAACAGCGGTGCCAAAAAGTAAGTACTGGCCCGTCTGTGGGGGCCGCTGTCCTTGCCTTTCAGGAGTTCATGGTTTCTGCACTGTATTGGTTTTGACGCCCCGGGGGTCTCTGGTGCAGATTGTCGAGCTTTGGAAGTCGGAGCTGTAATGTTGCAATTGTGCCCCGTAAGTTTGGGCAAGGCGACAAGCATGAGCGCACTTTCTTCATGCTATTGCTGCTTCCTGAGGCAACCTGAAACATCTGTACCTTTGCATGACCCGTAGACTCACGAATGCAGATGAAACCCACAACAAAGAACGACCCTGGCGGTCCTGACACGTGATTCGCATCCACAAAGAGTCGGTTCCAAGTCTACACCCATGGACTTCCCAAGGCCTCCGCCATCCTTTCAGGCAATGACGGTTTCGATACAATAAAGCCCTAAACCCTAAACAGCCTCAGAATAAGCCCTAAACCCTAAACAGCCAATGAGTCGAGCGTTTTCCTGAAGATGCCGAGGACCCCTTCTCCATTCTCTGTTCTATCATGTTGTGGTGTATTGCAGTACATTATACCAGAGTATGTTCGATCTCTCTGTTCCCCCAAGGCGCAGGACCGAAGTCTCGCCACTGCCGCCCCGCGGCCCCACGAGCTTGTTGAATCCAGCTCCAGTCCTGCAGGAACTTAGCAGCTCTCAGACTTTTTTTCAGACACGGGAGTGTCTTGCTTCATTGAGTTGAAAAGCATGTCATGATCTTGTTTTCCACGATGCAATGCAGCTTTTCTGCACAAGTTTTGGCAGCTGCAAAACACAACCTCTTTGAAAGGTGTTGACCATGGTGAACTCAGAAGAAGGCGCAGCCAAGCTTTGGACCACCAACAAAGCAGATGGCATTACAAGTTTGCCATTTGCGAGATGCTTTCGCCTGAAATGCCATTGCGTTGCTGCTTTATAGCTCCAATTACATTCATAAAAGTTAGTAGTATTGCTATTCTTCTCCTTGGTATTGCCTGCTTGTGTTTACAGTTATGGTTATACTTATGCATGTACTTATTCTTGTGGTTATTCGTATGAATACGAATACAATTTCTTGTCCTATTACCATGACTACTACTGTTGCTACTGGATCCACCACGCCGTCTAGGATACCATGCGGAGGCAATAAAGGTGTGTCATTCTGTATTCTGGAACCTAGCTGTCGGATTTGAATCTGGATAGTGGAAGGCCTGTGGCCAGTGCCATGATTTTCGGCCTTCAATGTTCCAGCTGGGTTGCCATGAAATTACAAGCTGTGTGAAGCCAACTTGGAAGTTTATTGACCCCAACAGAGAACATTTAGAGAGTCGAACAGTTGTCAAGCCCCGGACCGGCAAAAAACCTGCATAACTGAAGCAAACGCCAAGATCAGAATGCAAGATGGCTCGTCTAGCAGGCGTATTCCGGCAGAGCACTGGAGGCTTCGATGCTGACGCGTGCAAGTTTAAACACGAGGAGTACGTGCCTTACCAACAAGTCGGTGTCATTGAGCAACCCATGGCCTTCCAACGAATTTTGTTGGATACCCTCGGTGGGCAGCTAAACTGAAGCCATCAAGGTGGCCAAGAGTGTCTTTGACAATGCACAAAACAGCTCGAACGAGGCTGAAAGCGTAATGAAATTTGACTTGCAGCGCAAGCGTGGAGATCTTTGCAGATTCGGGTGACGGACTACCCAGAAACAAGTGCTTCTGCAAAGTGCCATGCGGACCTTTCCCCATACCGCGACCTTGCTGACGTTTGCCATCGAAGCTCAAGGTCCAGGAGGGTTTAGGATATTTCCGCCCTCCCACCCTCGATAGGGTGTGCGTGCTGGCCTTGGAGTGCCTGCTGTGAAGAGAACATCAACCCAAGAGTCCCACGAGCTGTTGCATTCAGAGTGGAGACCGCTGAGGCCTTCTTCCAGCGCGGCCATGCGGCGGCGCCAAGTTGTTCCAGGATGTGGCCGAGAAACTTCCCTAAAAATACAACAATCAGCGAAGATATCCTAAGAGATCGTTGTTGAAGTGCTCTTGTGTGAAGCGTAGAATGAAGGACATAAGCGAGGAGTCTGGTCGGATTTGTGTGAGGAGCTCTGGCTACATGCCTGGCATTTGTCGTCGCCGTGAGCTCAGTGCCCAAGTTTGCGCCACAGTGGAATCATATCCATGAAATGGCTTGCTTGGTAGACGAGCGTGATTTTCAATCATGCAGTTCCCCTCAAACAGAAGCAACACTCTTACCAAATCTGGAAATCAGTGCCATTCAGTGTATAGAATGACTGCCTGCACCAGCTTAACACCGAAGCGAGCAGCGCAGCAAGCGTGAGATGTAAGGGCACAAACACTGCGTGACTGTGGTGACCCGGGGAGGGCTAAGTCCATTCCGGGGCAGTCCGTGACCCCATGCTGCGCTTCTTTGCAGCTGAAAGATCAACAGTTGAGAGAAACTCGGACACAGCATTCACAAGAATCCGGGCAACGGGATGTGCAGCATAAGGTCAGCACATACTGAAGAGTATATGACTGAAGCACTCCATGAAAGGTGCTCTGGGAGTGTGCAGAGCTGTGCGGTGCATGTCTCTGACAACATTAGGAAGCACTGCTCTACGAGATGAAAGTGTGTTGCAAAGAGCTGAACCCTAGAGTTCCAAAACCCATGACTCAGGTGGACGAACATTCTTTCTACGCATGAAGCATGAGGGTGTATGAATCGCATGAAGCATGCTTGGCAAGGTTCGTAGTTTCCTTCTGGAGCCGGCCTTCGTGCTGGCATCGAGCTCAGTTCGATTGAAAGAAGATCGGTCAGATTCTTGAAAATAACAACTTCTTTCGACAGGCAGTTCCCGTGTGTTGGTTTGCCCGCAGCATGTCACCGCATGCTCCACATCCTCGGATTTTGCAGCCGCATGTGTCCATCACAAGTTGCAGCATCCTTTGTCCTTCAAAGCAGATTGTCCTGAGCTCTTCTGATTTACAGTCAACTTGCGCCAATCTCAGACATCCTACTATTGAGCCTGTCATATCCCGCCATGACAGTCGGATCGGCTTCGGCTTGTTCGTCTGCTCTGCAATCTTTACATCGCACCAGCCGCCAGCCGCAATGGATGCTACGCGAGCATTGCTGGACTCACTTATGGGGAAGGACCCCGTGCCTCATAAGAACCTCACCCCGTTGTACTCTTCCATGGCTTAAAGCACAGCGGCTCCACAGGGAGACAGGGATGACGTAAGCAGTGAGTGTGTGTGTTTGTGCCAGGACCGGAACTCAGGACCAGATTCCAAGTGTCGGCAAAGTTTCAAGGCCGTCTGACGACATCCGCGGGATGTGGTTCTCGTTCGGGCTACAGTGTTGTCAGTTTCGTGGCCAGTAACCTGTGCGTGCAACTAACGTCTGCTGTACTTGTGTACCTCTTGCCGATCAGGATCCAGACGTCTGCAAGTATTACTTGGTGGGTGACTGCCCGCATGAAATGTGGATAAATCAGGCCAGTCGCTGCAATGCAGAAGGGGTGAACGTACGCAGCACATTCCGATTCTTCTCGAGAATGCTCGTGGTTCTAACTATAATGGTAGGGAGTGCTCGCTCCACGGAGCAGTTGGACGGCTGTTGGATGAGCCATCTCGTGTGAGCGATGCTGATGCTTGCTGCAGGAGGGAAAGGCCTCTCCAAACAGCCCTGTGGGTGCCTGCAAGAAGCAACACTCAGAGGCAGCATGTTGTCATTTGGCATTCATGTGTCTTGCGGGTGATAGAATGGCCGTGTGTGTTGCGACCACCCCGTTCGGATGGCCTTAGGTGAAGTGGGCTGTGAGATGCTTACTGAAAAGATCCAAGCAAACTGCCAGGCGATGCGCGAGCGGCTACGAGCCGACATAGACTACGTGCTGACCTTTGTGAGCTGCACTTGTGACAGCTACAATGAGTCGGGAGCAGAAGCCGAGTCTTGTTTCGAGTGGCAGTAGTACATGATCTACTTTGATCGAGATGTTGACCTCGGCCAATGATGCATTATAACTTCTTGAGCCCAAGCGATCACGCACCCACTTCCATTCGCAAAGTTTAATGCATGTGGCATGGCTTGTTCTGTTTTTTTTTGGGAAGCTGAGGTCAAATACAGGTGGCGCTACCTGGAAGATTTGAGCATCTGGTCTGAACTGATGCGGGCAAGCTTGCAAATTTTTCTGGAGATTGACATCTGGTAGCTATGATCTGTTGAACCAGGCTACAGTGTATGTGTTCTCAGTAAAAGTCTGTCTACTGTACCTGCCTTTGGGCAGGTTTAACTCACCATCTAAGTCTGTCCACTTCAGGCCATGCGTGTTTTCAGCTTTACGTGTGGTTTGTTTGTGTTATGGCCCAGGAGTCTTTTTGCAGCAGCTTGTCGATGACAACAACAGAAAAGCTCAGAAGGTGTGACCCGGCCGCCGGCACTTTTGTTCGTTGTGCTCGACATTGTGTAACCTTCGGAGGGTTGCCTCAAATGGGATGCAGCATCAGGATCATCAGAGCGTTAGCGGGGACAGATTTGACTTGTGGGAGCCAACCGTGCAGATTTGAGAGTGACCGGGAGAGAGGTACACTTGTAGCTGGGTAGAGAGGGGGCCATTGTCCCGGAACCTGTCAGGAAAGAGAAGCTGAACGAAGGGGTGACATGCACTGCTGACACTCACAAAGTGGTTGAAGGCCTCGGAGAAAATCTTGGCGACTGTATCTTTGTTCAAAAGCCTTAAGACTTTATTCCACATTGCAAGAGGCCAGACATCGTACTAAGCCACTGAGAGAAGGGCTCAGGATGACTTTAGCATTCGCAGTCGTTCACAAGTGTCCGTCAAAAACCAACAATACGGGCTGAATCGAAAATGGCAGGGCACATCTCCAAGAAAGAGTCCCGGGCTCAAGAGATAATGGAGGCAGCCGAGAAGATGGCGGAGGTCCCGCGTGTGGCAAGTTTGGATCAAAGGTATGGGGCTTTGTGCTTTTGGTGTGGTTTCAAGATGTTTCAAGCAGGTCCATCAGGTACTCAGTTGGTGCACTTTCTGAAGCTCGGACTCAGTTCAAGTAGTTTTGGCGAAAGTGCAGCTACTAAAGGGCTGTAGGCCCTGGTTTGCCCTCCAGGGCTGGAGGTTTTTGCTCTGAGCTCTTTGCGCTGGTGCCAGGAGGGCCAGGTGGACGCCAGCAAGCAGGCGCTGGAGGAGGCGGAGCCACCCTCAGGCATACGAAAATGTACGAGCATGTGTGGACGTGACTGTTGCATTGACTCTCTCCCCTGAGTAGTTGGATAAGGACAAGCTGGCACATCAGAAGTTCCGCCTGACCCGGCTGAAGGACTTGAGTGGCACAGTGGTGGCACGTGTCCTCCGAGTGTTTTTGCCTGCTGCACCGATACAGGGGTTCGGGTAGTCACAGGTAGAGTTCGTCTCATCTTATGGGTCTTGCAGCCTGAAGGAAGTCGCTGACGGCTGGATGGACGAGCTTGAGCCGAAGTTTGTGACCGTATTGTGCTGTGGTGAGCTGTTATCTAGCTAGAAGCAGCAGCAGAAAAAGGACGTACCATGAAATCTCAGGAATGCTGCGATGTTTGCGGCTCACAGATCTCCTGGCGTGCTGTCGAGGAGCTGGAGGTCTGGAGAGGTTTCATTGTTTCATTCATCAAAGTTGTTCCGAAGACAAGATAACAGAGGCTCCGAGCGCATGCCAGGCGCGCTCAAAAGGAAGGGAGCATCCTCACGTTCCTGGTGCCTGGCACCAGGCAGAAGGAGCAGACAAACCATACTCCGTTGTCCTGCTCGTGTGGTTCAAAGAGGGGTGCCATGAAGCATCGCAAAGTATCTCTCAGAACTTCGAAGTTGCCAGGGTTGGAGGCGGTGTCGGGAGGCCCTACGGAAGGTCACGGAGGAAGCCCAGCAGGTTGGCTGCTATCAAGTGCAAGTGCAGTGCAAGTGCAGTGCAAGTGCAATGCAAGTGCCGGGGAAGCTCGAGACCTTGAGCCAAGTTGAGAGCTGGTGCGCTCGCATCAGGCCAGGGAAGCCTGTCGGGGTCTCGACGTCGGAGAGGTGCTCGACGATGCGGGAGGCGGTCCTTTGGGTCCTTTGCCACATATACACTACTCATGTGTGCCGACGTATCTCCTAGAGTTAAGGACTGATTATCATAAGGTAGTTAGGCCGAGCTCCACGCATTTCAACTTTTGCAGCCATGTTTGCGCACAAAACCCTTTGACCTGCTCGTGCGCATTGCTCTCTTGCGCCAGGCCGGGGCAAATACGGAGAGCGTGGACGGGACACAAAGCAGGACGGCCGATGGGGGCATCGCGATGGGGGCATCGCGATGGGGGCATCGCGATGGGGGCATCGCGATGGGGGCTTGCTGGCTGTTGGTCCTCTGACTCTGCAGGTCCGGTCAAGGCACCGCGGAAACGCGAGCCGTTCACGCGATGGCTCTCCGCAAAAGGTGCGCAACAGCACGCTAGGCGTTGTGTTTCACACTGTAGACCTGCTTCTTGATCTTCAAGCTGCTCCAGACAAAGCCAACAGCGACCAGCTCTTCCGGCGCGCGGAAGACTCTGGGCCGCACACAGGGTTGAGTACATGCTCCAGCAAGGGTCCAGTGCAAACCCTCACCGCTGTCCTGTTCGAAACTGAGGAGGAGAGGCGTCACAAGAAAGCGTGACAGAAGAAAGGGCACGTCTGGCAGCTCGAGGAGAGGCAAGAGAAAGTCGAGCGTCTCCAGAAAGGGCAAAGAGCCTGCTGGCTGCATCGTGGGCAGCGCCACAAGTCCAGACTTCTGCAGTTTTCCTGGACTTAGGAGAAAACGGAAGAGCAGCAGCTGACAAGCCCTGCAGAGGCCAGAGTGAAATTGTAGATCCTGTTTTTGTTTTTCAAGTCGCGGGATGTCTTCAGTGCACTCAGCACTCCCGAGGTCTCGAATGCAAAGCTCAGCGGGACAAAAGGAAAGCAGTCGTTGAACTCTTCGTTGAACTGTGTTTGATGGATGCTTGCTTCCACATTGTTTGTTTGCTGCGCTCGAAGATAGCGATGCACCCAACCCCGCAAATTTATTGCATCATCTGCGTCCTCCGTGTCTGGCTCACAGTTTTCCCCCAAGCATTTGTGGTCAGTTCGAGGCCAGTCCGAGTTCAGACACTTGCTGTATTAGTGGATACTCAAGTATGTCAGAGTCTCATATAGTTGTGCAGAATCAAGGCTGGTTGAGAGATGTTGAGAGCTGCGACAGCCACTGAGAGTTCAAGTGCATAAACTGCGCTGTGTGCAGAAGTTCAGGCTGTCGCCAATATGGATTTGGGGGTGAAGCTTGGCTGTATACGTGGCATACAGATGACTTCAACAGTCTTCTGCACATTGCCACATTTGCTGTGCTGTCTTTGTATATTTCACGAAGCAGATCCCGAAGACCCGTCCCTGTTACTGTCACCGCAGCTCTCGGGGGCCAGCATGCGCATGCGCTATCGGATGCAGCGGGTGCAGACACTCAGAGATGAGGCAACATTTCTTCAACATGAACCAGAACCGCATGGGAAGCCAACCACAGTACGAGGCATGCTTGTGCTCGGTGTAGTTTTGCAGATCTCCAAGATCACTCAGGGTGCCAGGAGAGGTGGTTGACGTGCTGAGTTGCTTCATCGCCTGTGCGGCACATGCTCTGATTCTTACGAAAGCCATGGCCCTCACGGAACGAGCAAGTAGCTCTCTTCTGCTGATGTGTTCTGCAGAGGCCACGCCGGGACAGCCTACTCAGCTGCCGGAACCAATGGAGAGAGTCGCCGGGACACACTAGAGTTTGTGTCTGTCAGATGACAAGTGGGTTGACTCAGTATCCAGTATCGCACCGATGAACAGTGGCGGACATCCGAGTAAGTTGTTAGATGTTTCTTTTCTAGTTTTCCGACTGAGGCCAAGCCCACGACGGCCTTTATGCCGTCAATCTCCGATCTGGGAGAGAGGCTTAAGGACGGGGCTTCGCAGAGTTACAGAGCCTGTTCATCCGTGCGCAAGCTCTTCCGCCGCCTTTTCGACCTTGTTGGGTTCCAGGCAGTTCCACTGTTGCCTGCGACAGCGCCCTCCACAGTGCCGGGCACACTGCTCCGCGATCAGGCTGCTGGTATGTTCAAAGTAGAAATGCACTTGGGGGACTGCGTTTACTGCCTTTCTTGTTTTTTTGTCCAGGCTTTCGCAGGACCATGCTCTGGTGTGCATTTCACCCAGGCTGGGATCCGAGACCGGGGTCAGGTCGTCAGACATGATGTTGAGTTCTCCGAGGCTTCGTTCTGGAGCGGGGACAACAGCCCACAGGTCGGGAACTTGGGGGAGGCATGTCGCTAGGGGGTGTCTCCCGAGCATTGCGCTTTTACTCATGTGGTTCGTGTGCAAGCCAGGCACAGCCGAACCAGTTTCGCACCGATGGCCAGGCCGTCGCCTCACTATGGGACATGCTGTCCGAAAGCTGGTCCTCGATTTTAAAGATATGTTCCAAGTATTTCTTTGTCAGTCGGCTTTTTCCTCCATTTCCTGGGGAGGCCGTACTGACGCCCATCGGTCAGAGCTTTGGCAACCAGGCCCAACCCACGGTTTTCATCTTCTCACAGTCATTTAAATCATTTAGTCAGTTCAGTCATGTGCAGCCCAGGACAACCAAGCCATGTCCCCAACCTGGCAGCCGCACAAGGCTGTTCTGCAAATGCCTCATTATTGCCCCTACCCTTCTCCCTGCATCTTATTGCAGCCGATTGCCGGCTAACCACGAGTTCCGCGTCTAACTCGCAGTGGACAGGTTTACCTGCCGCAGGGCCTCACTTCCGCCTTCCTTGTAGTCGGTGAGGCCCATCAGGCCGGGATCACTTGTCTTTGCAGGCCTGCATGTTGTTGTTCGTCCTGCTCGCCACTTGCGACAAGACAGCAGGACATGGTGCCGAGCCCAAACTCTCAGAGTTCGCCAATCCACGTGCAGGCAGGGATGGGTTGGAGGCTGCCTTTGCATTTGTGGAGTTACACCAACGTCACCTGCGGCCCGTCCCTTCAAAATGTGTTTTGCTATGTCCAGCGCCAGTTTCAGGCCATCCCAATGCCCGTGGGAACGCCCATGCAGCGAGACTGCCAGGCCAAAGAGTTTATGTTCGTTGTGTATGGGTGTGTTGATGATGTGCGTTGCGGTGCGCTGCTCTGGCAACACTCCGCATTCCATAGCCGGCAAGTTGGCAGAACATAGGGTGGTCGGCGTGAACAGGTATTGTGCCCGTTGGTGCTGGTCAGAGCATCAAACTGTGTAATTAACAACCAAATCAAATGCAAGTGTCAGAGTGTCATTTTACAGAGGAATCTCACACTCGCGCGATGAAAGAGTTCGACGACTTCGAAACGAATGAGGAAATCGTGGCTTGTACTAGTACACAAGAGAGCAAACACTGAGATCCCAGTGTCAATAACAACGACAACCATACTGACAAAAAATGATCCCCAGCATTATCAGCAGAAACCCTGTGTTTTCCATTTTCGTTGGGCGTGCCGGCACAAGTGGTGCAAATTGATGCAAGTCTAACCATTGAAATGGAAGCACAGACAGAATCGAATCTGAGGGGGGGGGGGGGTTGGACACATTGCTCATCTCCTTCCTTGGAGACTGTTGAGGACACAGGATGGACACAGGCATATGTCTACAGTTGATGCTTGTTAGATGGGCTTCTAGAGGCTGGAGTGGAGGCTTTGTGAACCGATTAGAGATCCAGCATGATACGAGCAAGAAGGATGTAGAACGCAACACGACCTGCTGGTTCCAGCTGACTGGCAGGCAGTACCTTTAGCTCCGGGAGCAGCGCTTCAGCAGCCTGTTCAGAGGAATGGCCAGGCATCGTTGTATCCGCTGTTTCCTGGCTCCGGTTGTCCTGCATGCGCTGGTGCAGGCGTATCCTATGACTGCGATGGGAGCGCCAGCTATGCCGATGAGGGACTGCCAGGACGGCAGCATAAATGTCATGTGCACAAGGAACTCTTCACCATCGAGACAGCTGCCCAATGCCGATGTTGGTCGGTTGCTGCCTTGAGGCATTTCCTATGCAAGGCAACTCGCTGGCAAATCCAATGCTGCAAGAGGGGCAGGCTGTGCTGGCTGTGCTTCAGATGCAGAGTGTTACTTACTGTGTGTTGGGAGGACAACATTGCTTCATGCTGTCTTTGCTGGATGTGCATTTCTGTGCAGACCTTCGTCGTGGCCCATACTGGGCCCAACGCAGCGCCTCTGCAGCGGGAGTGGCAGGCTACCTTTGTCTCGGTCCAATTGTTGCCCTCTTACTGGCTGTCGTTGATGTCTTGTAGGGATTTGCTGACAAGGCTTATCCCATGCCTGGGCCATGCCCAGCACAGAAAGACAACAAGGCATCGGTCTCAATTGCCGCAGCCCCCTTCCTACCTGCTGTGTCAGGATGAGGATCCATTAGGGATGAGCATGAATTTCCGAGCTTGCCGAAATCACTGGTCCCATGTCGGAGAACGTGAATGTTTCTCTACAGGGCATCCGAGCAAGTGTCTGACAGTAAAGCAAAGGGTCAGGGGTTGTCTGGGGATTCGACATAAGGATGAGCCACCAACAAGCCGGATTGATGTTAGCTATTGGAAACTTGAGTGGTCGTTCCTGCCCAGCAGGTGTTTGCGCAGATGCAATCACAATCGCTCGGGCCAGTTGGGCAGATGCCCTTGGAGGGCCAGGCGGTGCCGAGCGGAGTTCTTGAGTCCTGCGTTGCTGATCTTGCGGGGTCAAGGTCTCATAGCAGTCGGGGTTACGTCCAAGTTCAACTTGAGCCATCCTTGCAGGAGGATAATAGAAGTAGTCGTCCTAGCCTTCAGACGTCAACGTGCGTAACGTGCAGGTGACTGCTCCCTTGCCACCTGGTGTGCCTAGCGAAGGCGAGCAGGGTCGAGAGGGATGGGTTTCCTGGCACACGTGTGAAGACGGCAGGAGCCTCCTGGCAATTTTCTGCCTGTCTGCTTCGAGTTGGGTTTTCCGGTTTTCTCCAGGTAGCATCGGACACCCGGAGCTTTGCAGGCCCGCGAATCGCGGCTCTATGTTCAACCGCACGGTTTGCCATGGAGGTTAGTTGAACGTTTAATTTTGTTTGCAGGAGGCCATGCTTCTACTTTGCGGGGGCCCTGAAGTTGTCCGATGCGAGTCAGACGTGCTCAGCTGCTGCTTTGTTGGCCGTGACCGAAGTGTGTCCCAGGCAAAGGGCACCTGTACGAACGGGCTGGAATGTGGTTACTGCCATGCGCAGCACGGTGAGAAGGCCAGGGCGGAATGTTGTGTGTCGAGAGGCCCATAAGAGCAGCTGGCATTTCAACCTGTGCCGTGCAAGCATAGTACATATTAGAACATAGGTGCTACTTTCCACATCAGGCACCCAAGCTGGACAAGCGGCAGCGCTTGGTCCTGCAGTCGCTCCCGGAGAACATGCTGCTGGAGATGTTGGTCAGCCGCGTGCAGGCTCAGCCGTTTGCCTTATCGCTTATGGCGCTTGCATCTTGCCATTCACTCACTCTGAGATCCCAATGTGACTCTTTCTCATCTTTCCGTTTATCTGGCATTCCGCTGCTCTTTCACTCCCGCTTACGCGCGCGCTCTAAGTGTGCCAGGAGAAAGCTGAAGAGCATCTTGTTCGAAAGAAACGCCAGGTAGATTTGTCAGGATCAGCTGCCATCGAAATCTAGCCAGGGACCGTAAGAGGAGTCAACTTCTCGACTCAGCTTGCATGATGAAACCTGGGCCAGTTGTGGCCTGCATTTCAGCTTAGGAAGCGAATGACGGCGGCCATGACCGACATCATGGATCTCTGGCACAAGCAACTTGGCGTCAATTGAAAATCTATGACAAAAGGAGCCCACTATGCTGCAAAACAGAATCCGCAAGGCGTCTTGAATACTTGTCCGTGAACCCGCCAGTGGTGTCTCCTGAGGACTCCTGCAGAGGGTCATGCGATGTCGCGTGTTCTGGGATGTTCCTTTTTGTTGCGCGTTCTCGCACCTCTGCGCTTGAAGGATGCCGAGAACCTGGCCGAGAGGCCTTGGCCCAAGTTTCCCCAGCACATCGCAGCACATCCTCTGGGAGAGTCGTAAGTGTAAGTGTAAAAGAGAGTGTGTGTGTGTGTGTGTGTGTCTGTCTGTCTGTCTGTCTGTCTGTCTGTCTGTCTGTCTGTCTGTCTGTCTGTCTGTCTGTCTGTCTGTCTGTCTGTGTGTCTGTGTGTGTGTGTGTGTGTGTGAGCACCGCCCCTTGAATGCGTTAACTGCCTGGAGTTCCTGAAGAAAATTGTAATGTTTTCAAGCCCAGGGGATCCTAAGCCTGGGCAGTGGGGCTCGCTTGGCGAGAGGCCGAGGTGTTCTTCTCACCGGACTGAAATGCTCACAAGCTGAGGTACGTGCGGAACCTGGATAAGATCCTTCGGAGGACCAGCAGCACGTGGCACGGGAAGCACATGTCAGAGAGCATGTGCTCCGATAGCACGCGCTAGTACCTGACAGGAGAACATAGGCTTATTAGAGGTCCTGCACCCTTGGTTTTGTGGGTGAGGTGGAGCCGCGCTTGTCATGTTGAACAGGCTCGTTGCTCCGTAAAATCTTTCCATTGGTGAGGATGAACATCTCTGAGCTGATTGCACGGCTCTTAGGGCATCTGGTCAGGACTGTAGCCCATGTTAGTAAAGAGCTTCTGTTCGCAAAGGGCCCAAGTGTTGCCAAGTTCACTTTTACTTCGCTTGCCCATCGGCCGTCCCTTTTCGAGGCCCTGGCAATCCGCAGTGCAAAGGAGGAACAAGCGTATGTCAGCGATCTGCGTGAGGTGCAGCTGAGACACAAAGACGTGATAAGAACTTGTGATAAAGAGGGGGTCTGTGCCAGGCCTTGTCCCGCTTGCGGACGAAGGTTCCACCAAACCTTTGAGATCCTTTGAGGCCGATATGGGACATCCCGCGATGCTCCTGCTGTACTGCTGTACTGCTGTACTGCTGTACTGCTGTACTGCTGTACTGCTGTTCATGCCGCCGCAGGTGACAACAACCGAGTGCAGGCAGATATTCTTGGGCCGGACGCAATCCGTTGGTAGAAGCTGCAGCAGATAAGGACGGAGAGGCTCAGTGAGATGCCAGAGAAGGTATTCACGCATCTCCTCCGACTCTGCCCTCTTCTGCAAGCTCGTTCCATTTGTTTCCTTAGTCACCTCGAGGTTTTCATCCCAGAAGGGTCTCTGCAAAACCTCAAAGCCTCAAAGTCTAGCTGGAAGCCAAGAGACAGTTGGGCTCCTGTGGTTCTGGTATCTGCATCCTGACCTGCCATGTATCTATTGAGGAGTTCTCAGCTCATGTTTGCTCGTTTTGCTCCGAGTACGGCTTCTTTTGACTTTTCCGGGAGGGCTGCCTTTTGCAGCTTTCCTTAGAGGTGGGGGAGGTTGGGGATCCCCGGCCTGCCTTGCTTCGGCCAAGCCGTTTCTTAGACAACTTCGAAAAAAACAATCGCAATCCCTTTTCAGGGCTCCTGGCAGAAGTTGAGGGGTTGCTTCTGCACCGCAGCTCCCAGTCTTTGCTGATCTTATCGAACATGTAACAATGACTTCTGCAGACCCCTGCATAGAGCGCCGGCAGATAGCGCCGGCCGAGACGCGCACGAACGTAGCTTCTGTGCAGAAGATGAGCGCCCGATGGAGCTGCTCCCGAAGGCTGCAAAAGGCAAGGTCGGCAAGTTCGACGGGCGCTCATCCTTTGCATGCTTATGACAATCTTATGACATCTTATGATGAGACGACAGACGCGGCAACGTTCTGGGCTATTAGAAGCCCAGAACGCTGAATCAGGCTCAATCGCATCAGTTTTAATGCTCTCGACATGTGCCTGCTAACGAAAACGTCCTGGAGAAGGAACGCACAGTGTGCAATCAGGACGCTTGCTGCAACTTTTAACCTTGTACAGACTTGCATGAGGCCACAAGGAAACGATGCTTCATGTAAACGAATTTTGAAAGGTTCCAGGACGCGATTGCTAAGAAGACGAAAGCAAAGCAGTACGTAACACTCGCCCCGCGACCTGGGATCACAGCTTGCCTGGTCGCGTTTTTCACTTTGGTTGCGTCTCGAATGCAGTGGCAGCCCGAACGACGCTGCATGGCGGGCCTACACTCTCATCAATGATGTGGTAAAATCTGGTAAATGGAGAGACTCGTGAGGCACTTAAGGGAGGAAGCAAGATCAACAAGCACGAAGCCTTCAACGAGTCTCTTGTTTAACGGCATTATCGACACGGTGAATTAAATGCACGAATGCGGACAAGCTGAGCAATATGTATAGTCCTGGATGCAGATGAAAAGGTGATGAGCAGCACCTGAATCTTGATGGGTTTTGCGCATGAACCTCCATCGCTTGTAGAGAGCATCGGCAAGGAACCAGGGCAGTCGATTGGCTTGTCCGGGCTATACAACGTATACGGTTTGAGCCGGGAAGAGTTCCTGGGTCATTCTTAACAGAACAGCGGAGATCTCTTCATCGCTCTTTTGCAGGCTTGCTTGCCTGATCCTGAGGCCCCAGCTGGCCACGGGTCTGTGGCTCCTCGGCGAGCCGCCGCCCCCAGGAGCCCGCAGCAAGAAGCAAGATAAGCTCCGCGGGGCTGGTGGTGGGGGTGTACGTGGGGGGATGACAAGCTTACAGTTCTCTGTTACGAGCTTACAGCTGAGAGATATGGACACCAAACACCTGTCGGCTCTTCTTTTGGATAGTGCCCTGAGATGCCCTGAGGACCGCAACAGCCACCACCACAAGTGCTCCGCTCGCGAGTGCAGCTCTGGTTTTGCGCTTACAATGGACAATGGATTGCCAGGATTGGTCATAAGTCGTCTCGACCGGTACTGCTACAAGGTGTGTGCTGCCGGCGTGACTGCGGCCCTGAGTGGGACGCTCAGACAGAGTTTCTTTTGCATGTGTTGTGGTCACAGTATCGATAAGCAGATTTGTGGGTGCGTCACTGCGCAGGCCTCACGAGCATTCAAAACAAGCAGCGTGCCTGTGATAGCCAGATTCAATGCAACATGTGAATTTGCGAGGCGTGCGAGCCCGTTTGGCTGCCCTGTTTAGGGACGCTGCAGCTGGGTCTGGCTGGTTTGAGCATGACTTGAAATTTTCGTGGTTATCCATTGCGGGGCCCTGTTTCTCCCTGCTCCTCACACTCCCGGCTGCTCCTTCTTCTGTGCGATGACTGCCCAGCTGGCTTGGGTAGTACACAGCAAGAGGATGGAACGACAGTATGCCGCAGAAGTACACTCGGGGCCAGCTAGTGCAGGGTTCGATGGAGTAGTGCGCCGGGACGGCATGGCACCGGCTTTGAAAGTCTTCGCTACCCCTACCGCCGCAACCGCCCTCGCGCTCACCTTCATCTTCACAGGATATTCTGAAAAGAAAGAGAGAGAGCTTGTCCCGTGCTCGCTCTCCTCCGAACGACCCGACCAGAGGCCCCCCGAATACCGGGGCGGGCGAGAACGCCCGGGGGCTTGCCCCCATGCCCCCAAGAAAGAAAGAAAAGAGAGAGAGAGAGAGAGCAACAGGGCGGGGTTGCGAGGAAAGATCCTGACCACCACGGGTTTCACGCCAGGTCGGGGGCCAGGGGGCACTGCCGCTAAACCGGCAATGCACCAGGGCACCAGGCACCAACAGCAACCACCCCGAAAACAGGGGCGGGCAAGGATGCCCGGGGCGCCGACCCCATGCCCCTAGAAAGAAAGAAAGAGCAACAGGGGGGCTAGCAGAGTAACACAGGTACAGACGCAGGTGTGGAATGAGGAGAAGGAGCAAGTGCTGGACTACAGGTCTAGTGGGACAAGGGCGGGGGCCATTGGTTCCGTGCTCCTTCTCCGCTGACATCCCCGACCAGAGGCCCCCCGAATACCGGGCGGGCGAGAACGCCCGGGGCTTGCCCCCATGCCCCCAAGAAAGAAAGAAAGAGCAACTTGTTGTACGCAGTTCAAAATGCATGTGCTTTGTTCTTTCTTCAGACTAGCTGTTCGCGCGCAGTTTGCAGTATAAGCACAGCATTGCCTTCTGGATATGTGGTTTCCCACACTGCTCCCCCCTGGGTGGAGGGGGGAGGGATGGCGTCCAATTTTGACCCAACATGTCCACATCCATTCAGGCCTACTTGTTCGACCCGTGTATCTCAGTATATCTCTCCACGTGTACCCCCTAAAATCTGAGCGCAGTGCCAGCCGCAAATCTTCTACCCCGTGAAACTTAGCCCGCCCTAACGCCGTGCGAGCTCCAAAGCGTGTACCCTTGAAGTCTGAGCCCCCGCCCCCAAAAAACCCTGCAACCAAAAACACAAAACCCTGAACCTCAAACACGTCACAAGCACGAACAGGTGCGAAAACATAACAAAAATATTGTGACAGCGTGAAGTCCCTCGAATGTGTGAGGGCTCCTGTCAAAGCACATGCACTCTGACGTGCTCATGTGCCTGTTTGAACTGCTTTTGCCTTTGGAGCATTTTTAAAGCATCAAATCTATCGATTTCTTTTTTGCTGCTTTTGCCAGGTGCTGCGGCATCTCCTGTAGCGACACAGGCCTACCATGCCACAGTCGTTGGCGGAAGTCGAGAGGTTAAGCAGCGATGTTTTGCATGAAGGCCTTTGGTGCCGCGGTTCAACCTGCTGGGACAACCTTCGTGGGGGCATCTGTGGCGGCTGTTTCTGCAGTCTCAGGTTGTGGCTCGGAGCGTTTGTTGTGTTTTGAGTAGCCATGGCGACAATCAGCTGCATGCTGTGGAGGAGTGATCGGAGTCATGTGAACCCGATGTCCTGTTGCGAGGTTCCGAAGATAAGCCGCAGGAAAGGACGAAGCGGCGCATGCTGATGCCCAAGGACGGCCCTTTGATGATGTTATTCAACAGGCTAGCTTATTTCGTTGGAGCGCGGGCAGGCGACACTTAGGTTTGTTGTGCGTCCAACCACACCTGCTGCAGAACATCAAGTGGCGAAAGCCACACAAGCCTCCGGTGAAGCCTTGGGACACCAACAAGCCGGCTGGCTCAGCCATGGCACAATGGCATTTTTGCTGTCGTTTGAGCCACGTTTGGGTTGTTGTGAGTTCGTCGAAAGGTGGAAGTTCAAGGGCGAGGCCTACAAGGGCAACAAACCCTACTTCGGCAAGTATGCCCTGCAGATTCTCGAGGAGGCAAGCGCCCCACTGTGAGGCAAACTCCCATAGACTCTTTCCAAGGCAGAAGCATAAGGCATAAGGGTGAACAGCCTTGAACCGAGAGTCGAAAGCTGTCGGTTTTTTTCTTGATTGCAAATGACCTGGCGCAGGCATGGGTCAATGCACCAAACATTGAGGCCTGCCGTCGAATGATGGCGGTGAGCTCAGCAACACGACGGCTGAAACTTCAGGGAAATGGACCGCCAAAGCCGGCCATCCAAAGAGACGCTGAGATGCAACGATGCTCCTCCAAAGCGCTGAAAGGTGCGAACTCTACGACGTGACGGTGGAAAAGTGTGGCTGCGAACCTTTCCGCACTCTGCTTGAGCCTGAGGTAGCCCAGAGGAATCTGTCGGAGCATGAGAAATCTCAGTTTTCTTGTGTCACCTCAAGGCCATTACATGGCGTGGAAAAGAGACACGAATGGGTGGCGGCAAAGGAACCATCCAGCCCCGAGCTTGGCAACCTGTTACATTCCCCAGGCTATTTGCAAGGACTGGAACCTGAGGCAGCTTCGGTTCCAGTTCTTTACGGCTCAGGTACTGGGTGCAGGCCGTCCGCCCGGGCTACATCCTTTTCGAGGTAGATGGATGCACTGAGGCCAAGGGAGTGTTGAACTGCATTGCCTGCGCACGCACTTGTGTCTGGCACGTTCCATTAGTGTCGTCCTGCAAGTTCCAATCGCAATCGTGCACCTGCACTTGCCTGTGGTTAAACGTGGCATCAGGCTTCCCTGTTCCCGTTGCAGCCAGCTGTTGCGGCCAGGACACTGCCCGCCGAGCATTTCACTACATCATGAAGTACCTGCCGTTCAAGGCTCACGAGACAGCTCATGAGACAGACATGACTTCAATCAAGATTTGATGGAAGCAGCGGGTGCGGGTATGTTTCTTTTTTGTTCGGTCTTCTTGGACGAAGCCGAGTGTGCACATGATGCTGTTTGCGCTCGTTGATCATGTGGCCAGCTTGTGGCGAGTATGGAATTCTTTGTTGCTGACCAGAGTATGGGGTTTTGTTCCCAGTGCCTCCTGTCAGACCAAGTTCCTCATCAAGGATACTCCGTCACGCTTTGAGCTGGGCCTGGCAGGCGCGCAGATTGGGGGTTCGAGTTTGAATTGCTTGGAGTGGGAAGAATCGCAAAGCCCAGGGTCTGAACTGCGCGAGGCAGCATCAAGAGCACAAAGCACATCCCGAAAGAGTTCCGCAAGAAGTCCGACGAAGACTGAGTTTTTCGCGGCAACCCGCAGCCTGCTGAAGCGCAAAAAGCATCCAAAGATGGCGATGGCTGTGCGTGGCATGCAAATCATGGGAAGCATCCATGAGCTGAGTGGTGCACAGAGCACAGGCTCGAGAGCATTCTGGAAACATATTGAACCACAGTGTGCAAGGCAGCTGAGCAGGCTCGGCACAGCAGCAGTGTACCTTGTTTCCTCAGAGCACCACACAGTTTCTTCGCAACCTTCAGTTCCTGGCAGTGCCTTTACAAGCTTGAGCGCAAGTAGCGTGAGCGCTGTGCAGCTTGCATCCATGACAATGGAGGCACTGCTGCTCAGTGTCACAAGCACCCGAGCAGCCCTAACCCAAATGTCAGTGGGTCTGGCTTGCGATCATTCACCTGTCTGCAGCTTTACATGACTTCCTCTTTGTGCCACATTTTTTGGGAGATGGCTGCACTGGCTGTGCCTAATTCAGCCAAGAACTTCTCAATCTCTAACCCCTTCTGAGGGTGCCGTGGCACGAGCTGGCCCGCACAGAGGCTGGTGCTCAAGAGGGAAGTCAGGGATGCCACGGCAACTTGGGGCATGCTGGTTGAGTGCCTATCTCTGTGCCTGGAAGAAGGCCCTGCTCGACCGGCTACCAATTCCGCCCTGCGCTCAGCTGCCGTGATAGAGAGCAAGCAGCTCAGATGAGCTGATGTTCAGTCAAAGGTCAACGTTTGAGTAAGCAAACTACTAGCAGCACTAGCACACCACAGACATACGGCAAGCGTACTGCCTCGGGTTTCAATCCCTTCCCCCAAGGCTGCAGCCCGATCTCCTTTGCGAGACTGTCGAGTGGCGGCCCCCGGGCGCGCCGTTTGTGATCTGTGTGGGTGGAGAAGCACACGGGTACTGAGAAGGGGGGTTTGGATGGATTTGTCTTTGGCTCTCAAGCCAGGATGCTGATCCGAAATCGCATTGGCAGCGTCTTGGCTTGCAGTTTCAACCTGGTTCATGCTGACCGACTCTGCATCCCCAAAAACCATGGGTTTTCGCATTGCTGTCTGCCAGCAGTGGCAAAGGCAATGCGCAAAACATCACTTCGGCCAATTACATCAGCAACGGCTACCAACGGACCGGCTGGGAGACCTGGTTTAGGAAGTTTGGGGTTTAGGGTTTTCCAGTACCCGGCCCCCACTTCAGCTTCGTTTTTGGAGCTTCCTCTATTTCTACTCGTACCACTTAGCTGAGGCACCGTGAACCCCGTGCCCCGCCAGCAAGGCAAAGTGGATGCAGTCTTTGCCGATCTTTTTTTTCTCCTGTACTTTCTGGTAGCAGGCCGCATCACAGCAGGCAAGCGATCACGCCGTGGTGGAGACAATCAAGGCCAATGATGGGCAGTCCAGCGTAAACCTTTTTCAGCAGCTTTCCTCAATATGAGACTGAGTCCCAGATGTTGCTGTCTGATGATTTAGTGCATCTTGTAGCAGCATGTGCCAACCTACACTGGGCGTTCTGCACGTGCCCCATTCCACTGATGTGCTTGGAGTTAGTTGAGTGCCAGCTTCGACTGCAGCGTGTCTCCGCGAAGGTGTTCCAGGAGCCCCGACACCTGGTGGCAGCGCACTGCTCTCTGCCCACACCTCAACAAGCCTTTGGGAAATTTTGGGACCTCGGAATCGGAAGATCTGCACTCGGAGTGGACCCGAGGTTCCTACTCCGATTCGGAGCACAAGTGCTCCCAGCCTTCCAGGCTTAGCGGAGATTGGATTCGGGAAGCGCTGGGCAGTGTTGCGGGCAGATGGGTCCGCAGCGTGGCCAGGTGAAGCGTTGGTCTTTGAGGTGACGACCAAGTCACCCGAAGCGAGGCCACAGTCACAACTCAGAGACGGAGAGTGAGTGAGCTTGGCATGGGAGCATGCTGTTTCGAGAATGTTGGGATCTTTTGGGACATGACGGGATTTGTGCTGCAGGAAAGGCGTGGCGAGCCCGGGAGTGAGCCCGCCACAGGCACAGCCCATCGTGGCCATGGCTGCCACAGCCATGTCCGCGCCACCCGTGGCTCAGCCAACTCAGCAAGTGGCAGCTCAGCCACAGCCGCAGCCCGCATGCCAGCCCACGGCGCAGCCCGCGCAGCAGCCGCCAGCGCTGCCACAGACCACGGAGGCCTTCCCCCGAATCAAAAGGGGTTGCAGCGGTGGAAATGCCATAGCCATGGCTCATGTGATCTCTTCGTGCTATTCATATAGCATGCATGACTGAACTTGAACGACGTGTCGTGGTAGCGCATTCCACCAAGTTGTTGATCTGATGAGCTGCGTTGTATCAAAACAGAGCCCCTTGTGGAATCTTGGATGCGCAGGTTCCAACTGAGCAGGGCATCATGAACCACCTCCCTTGGTTGTCGGAGAAGCGGACTTCGCTTCTCAGCTCAAACTTTGGTGCGCTCAAGCTGTGATTCGCCCTTCTGGCGACTTCACAGCAACGTCTCTTAGCAGGCTTGGCCACGTAACTCTGGAAAAGGGCTGGGTGGCTTTCGCGTTGCATGCTGTTTTGATTGGATTCGGTTGCGTGTGGCTTGTAATCCAGAACGGCGAGGCTTTTGCAGCTCTTGGCCGAATGGTCGCAGAGCCACCGTGTGCTGGACGACCTGACGGACCGACTGCGGCGCTTGGGTCAGGGCTCCCGAGATGTTTTAGCAACCGCAGCCTCTGACATCCCCAAGCCGCAAGGCATATTTTAGGGAGAGGTCTACTGTATGGGCTTGTCTTTCACCTATACTCACGCCTCACTCCCTGGTAGCCATTGATAGCAAACTTCGCACTCAGGCAGGGAGCGCGCCCCCGACCAGGGCCCCTGCGAGCTCGAGCCGGCGGCTGAGAGGGCACGTAAATCGCAACGCTAGGGTTTAGAGTTTAGGGTGTTTAGGGATCCGCAGGATCTCTATACATTCTATACTGGTATATAAGGCAATGATTCGGTGAAAGGTCTCCCTGTCAACATTTCATCCCGTGGACCCTGCGCAAAGCGAACCAAAGGGTTCCAGGAACATGACATGAGCATAAGCACAAGTCACGCCACGGTGCAACCTGCTGTCACCCAATCTACTCGCATCGCGTTGGCACATTGCCTAGGACGGGACTCAGGCAGGTGATTGCCATGGTAAGTTCTGGCCTTGGGACTGCGACGGAGGTGCTAACTTGTGAGCTGTTCATGCAGCGTTGATGCTCAGCTTCGTCCCAGCCATTGGCTCGTTTTTAAGGCGTTTGTGAGCCGTCCGGAGTGGAATGCTTTCTTAGGGGCAGGTTCTGCTTCAGAGAGGCCAGTTGCAACAGCTTTCCGGGAACATGCCTCCCAGCAAATTTTTTGAGATTCAAAGCAAAACTGTCACATTTTGATTCGCAGCTACACGTACAGCAGCTTCGCAAGTTTTAGTCAGGCAATTTAGGTCCACTAGGTCCAATTGGTCCGATGGCCACAGCCGTGCGCCGAAGCACTGTCATCTGGACCCGAGTGCCGCGTTCGAGGAAGGGCGCAGGTTGAGGATTCGAGAGAAAATTAGGAGTTGTGAGCGGCATGCTTTCTGCAAGTAGGACTGAGTAACTAAGTAGGTTCTGCACCCGAGGGAGTGCCCGGGCCAGGCGTCTCGCTTTGAACTCGTTTGAAGCCTCGAAGTGTGCCCTCGGGTTGGGCAGCTCCAGATACTTCGCGGCCTCCACAGCGGCTCACGTGCAAACTTGAGGAGTTTTCTGGTTGCTTCGGATCAGCCCCTTCTGTTTGAAGATGCGGATGTCTCTCAAGTTAAGGAAGAACATGGCAGAACATGGCAGAGCATGGCATGGCAGAACATGGCGGACATGGCAGAACTAAGGACACCGCTTGTTTTCTGCACAAGCGCCCTGCCGCCTTGCCGAAGTGCACTGGACACCGTGCCGCACGGAGTAACTTGCGACGACTTGCTGATTCCAAGGTACGCTCCGTCAACTTTAGCTCCAGTGGCCAGCTGCTGTGCACATCCTCAGAGGCGGAACAGTTCGGAGCCTAACTTAAGGGATTTTGTTCAGGCCTCAACAACCTGACTAGGATGGGACAGCGCGGGTCTACGAACTGGAGACAGGACGCATGGTCAAGGACAGAAAACCTCATGGGCGTGTAGTCGGTAGGCCTTTGTTGGGACAGGGCGAGAAGGACTTCTAGTATTCTAGTACCAGTTCCGTATAGTTCTGTGCTGTAGGAGGTTGACCATGGGACCACGATCTGGTGGTCCGATTTTAGCCGCGATGGGTCGATGCTGTGCACAGCCTCGGACGATCGATCTGTGAGAGTCTATGACTGCAAGACTTGGAAGCTTCTGGAGATGTTTGGGCATGGGCTGCCCGCGAAATGCGCGAGCTTCAGTCCAGATGGCCAGTTCGTCGCGACGGCTTCGGGTGATGCTTTCGCAAGGATCTTCGATTTGGAGGAAGGGGAAGAGGTGGCCAAGTCGGGGGACTGTAGAAGTCCATGTTGCAGTGTGGTGTGATGAAGACCCATGCCCAAACCGTGAAGGTGGCCAAGTTGAAGCATGACAGCTGGGTCATCTCTGTCCGCTACAGTCCGGTGCCAAGTCCGGAATTTCTGTGGTTTCCAAGCTTCACAGCCTCCCGGTGATTCGCTCTGGAGCATTTAAGAAGAGTGAGAACAGGTCGTGCCTTTGAGCATGTCTTGTGCTTTTGTGATGAAGACTGTGGTTTCTAATTGTTTTGTGGCCACTCGTCCTCCCAGACGGAAATCTACATTGCGGGCGCGAACGGTGTCTCCACACCGCACCGTCCGCGGCCGTCCGCACCGTCCGCGGCCATCCGCACCGTCCGCGGCCATCCGCACCGTCCGCCTCTGACACGCACCGCCCGCCGCCCATGTGCTCCCTTCTGCTTGGATCCTTCTAGCTGTGTCCCCCCTACAAGTGAGAATCGTGGTCATTTTATTCTGTGCGAGTGAAAGCGAATGCGTCACGTTCCCACCCGTCCGCGCTCTTGTGTGCCTTCTCGCTTTCGCCCGCATCCTTTTAAGTGTTTTGAAAGGTCCGGATGGGACACTGCTGGCGACAGGCCCGCACTACATCTTACATCCTGGCTTTCCCATGTGCTTGCTGTTTAATTCTTTCAGCTTTGCCATCAGAAGTGATTGAGCAGAGAGGCTCAGCAGACAAGTGCATCCGGACCTTTGACGTGACGTCCCGTGATGCCAAGCTCGCCCAACGCTCACTTCCGATGATTCCATCCTCTTCAATGATAGTCATTGGTAGCCCATATGTCGCTGTGTTAACATGGCTTTGGACGGAGGTTTCCAAGCGGAAATTCACCGGCCTTGTGACTTGCGTGGACTTCAGCCCAGATTCCAGGAGTCTCGTCTTACATGTGGCATGGTGTCGCATGGAGCAGGGCTTGGATGCTTCTAGTTTCCCGACTGCAGGTTCATTTGCGTGACCACGACTCGCACAGAGGATCAGACGCAGATTGTCGAGGTTGCGAGTGGGCGGCAGGAGATGGCCATTGAGCAAGATGCTCTGACTGTCTCTGCCAGGCCTGGACTCTGTTGCAGTGCTAAGTCTAAGACTTGTTTTCCTCAGAGCCTTGGAGCCTTCATCCAGCTTTGGTAGGTTTTCTCCTGACGGTGCGGCTGGGCATGCACCAGAGCTGGGGCGAGACATACAGGATGTGCAACATGCCCAGCTGAGGACAGGGTCTGTGCAGTGTCATCTGATCATGCTCGGGTCTTCAATGTGCCTTGGTTCCGAGCTTCGAAAACCTCTATGAAGTCTATGCCACGGTTGTGTAACTGTGCATGTGGCCGAAGCTACGTCGCAGTCTGGCACTAATGGATCCTAGTCCCAGCCCCAAGCTGCGTCATATCATGGCTGTTTCCTGAGCCACAGCTGCTTTGCGGCACTGTGTGCCCCGGGAACAACTCCTCGTGTGCGTAAGATGTGAACTTCTGGCGCAAGGCATGCACAATGTAGGAGAATTGAAAAGGGTCTCATGAAACAGGCTTGCGCAGCTCGGCCCAAAGATGGCAAAATCATGCAAAAGCAGCCCGGAAGGGGCGAGGTGTGTCAGTGCTGTTAGATACACGTCCCACGTGTATATTGGCTAAATTACGGTGCTGCGTCCGGCATCACGGGGATTGGGCAGTGGCCGTGAAAACCTGATGAGGCTCGCTCGGGCGAAATTATCTGCTGCTTCGAGCATGGAGTTCACGTGAATTACGCGGCGATGCGAGCCTTTGCAGCAGAAGCCTTACCGTGGAGGTTTCCCAAGGACGGGTTGCCTTGACATATGGCTCCCAGAAGCGCTCAGCCTCAAAAAGACAAAGGGCCACTGGCTAACGCGACCTAACATGACGTTGCTAGCTTGACCTCTCACTTGAACTCAGATCAGCTCCTTCGATGTAGGTTGTCTGGGCGGCCATAAACATACCGAAACAATCACATAAGATTCTACTTTGCAGTCGGCTTGTCTTCAGGTGCGGATGGCCTGCTTTGCACGGCTGCGACGGATGGTGCAGTGCGCTTCTTCGCTGTCGGTGACGGGCATGCAGGAGAAGCCTGGAAAAGCAGCTTATGCTCTTAGACAGAGCATCCAAAACTGACAAGGCTTAGTCAGGCTGGGCGAGCTAGAGCGGCTGAATTTCATAGCACGATGCAAGGTTGTTTCCACCTGCGTGTTTCTGGAAGCAAGCGTGTATGAGTGTATGTAGGGTTGTGCTGGCTTTCATTCAGAAGTTGGTGCACTTTCACAAGCTTCGATGTTTTGCATCGAAGGAGGCTAGATGACATGCCAATCAACACTTGCCTAAGTTGTCGAATGAGCTGTAGCATGTTTCGAATGTTGAAGTATTTGATGAAGGATGCCAGAGGGTCAGTGCTCGGCTGAGGAGTTTGGGGTTTTAAGTTACGTGGTGTGCCAAAGCAACTTGCAGATCTTGCTTTGGTTAGTTTCCTTCTGTCAACGGTGTCATACGGACGCAGGCTGTCTGTAGTGTGTCACGATGGAAGGCTCATGTGACGAGAGCGTCTGCAGCCCTGCGTAGGACACCATGTGAGTGAGCGGATCAATTCCCAGATAGAGTAGTTAGCTGCAAGTTGTGCCCAAAGAGCGGCACAAAGCAACGATGGAAAAGAAACAGCATGCTTTTGATTAAGGTGCGTGAGCTCAGTCTGCTGTTGCTTCAACATCTTTTGGGGCACACCGTCTTTCTTCGCTTTCCTGTGCGCATTCCGAGTGACCCAAGTCTAATCTCTGTATGGCGTCGCAATGCTGGCAGTTCAGGCCGAGACCTCCTGCAGCAGTTCGAGTTTCTCGAGCTGAAGGCCCTTTGATTCGATCTTTCGCTTTGTGACCAAAGTGGCCCAAGCAGCCCAAGTTGAAGCCGTGGCAGACAAGCACCTACGAAAACTTGCGTGTGGCTTTTCACGGGGCTGGCGAGCTCGCGCCTCAATTCGTCCATCATTCCGTCTCAGTCTCTTCACACGAGATGGCCTCCAGTATTCCTAAGTGGTGTCCTCGAGGCCAGCACCGGTGTTGCCGACGCCTCCTTCGAGGCCGCCGGAGATGTTCCCACCCTCGCCGGAGAAGGCGATCTGGGGAAGCCTGTTCACGTGCACCCACTTGCTCGGCTGTGGTGTCTCTCGAGAGCCTCTTCTGTTCTCGCGCAGATGGCTGCACTCAAGGGCCTGGAGGCAGCGATGAGTCGGGTTGTGTCCTTCCTGGTGGCCCAGTAGTACGGTACCCTTTACTCTTTTTCGGGTTCTGGGTTCCCTTATAAAGTGACCAACCAAAAAAGGGTGCCCTTATTATAATATGGTTACTGGGGTACCAAGCCTTGATTCAGGCTTCTAGGTGTTTGGGCGATACCCCCCCTTAGCGTCTTGATTTCAGGCACAACTTGTAATTTGTAACCTTTCCATGGGCCTTGCAGTATTCTTTTACAAGCAGTATTCCTTTCGGAGCCATCGGACATATTGGGCCATGCCCTCGGAATTGGCAGCATTGGGGATTTTGCTGCTGCTCTCGACCTAAACCTTAAACTGATGTTGCCAGGCCGGGCTCAGTGCTATGTCAGTCGGGCGCCCCGCAGCACCTCCCGTTGTTCCCAGGCCTTTGGGCTGCTTGAAAATGAATAGAGATGGCAAAAGCAGTTCATTTGGTAGTTTGGGATACGCATAGACATAATTGGGGCAGAGCGGCTTTGTCGCCCAGTGGCCACTCCCCAATACCCCACAAACAGGATCGCATCTCATCGTTTGACACCTTTTTGTAGTTCGTCATGTCCTTGCCATGCAAGTCTTTGCCAGGTTGCACTTGGGCGCTGCCAAGAATGGCGTTGACATTGACTCAGCGGTCACGAGACCCAGCTGGAGGGCTTATTCGCCTCAGACCGCCAGACTTCCGAAGAGTGATGTGCGAGCCGAGAGCAGCTTCTGAAGTTACAAAGGCTTCGCAAATGCTGGCAATTTTCTGCAAACGTAAGGCCACCAACCTGAGTGGGACGCCTTCCATGCATTCCTCGGTGTCGTGGCTGCACTGGCTGGCGGAGACTCGAAGCATGCCCTCCCGACTCGCTGGATTCCCGTTTTCCCAAGGACGAGTCGCTCTGCTCTCCTGCGGGCCCCTCCCCGCCTCTGCCGAAGGAGGGGAGTTCTTTTGCGTCACGCAGCCAGCTCTCTACAGAGCCTGGCCTAGAGCAAATGGAGCACTAGCCTCGCTCGCCTCACCTGCCCCTCAAGTCTTAGTTTGAACTGGTTTCATGTTGCCACACTTGCAAGATCAAAGTGCATGGACTCTGTGCGTGGCTGCTACTGCCCTTCCAGGATCTGTCACAAGTGGTGGGCCTTTTAGCGCGCGACTTCGGCAAGATTTCGGCGTGTTTTCACAGCCTCGTAGCCTCATCGCCTCAGAGTGATCAAAGCAAAGTCCAGTGAGGCTGCACTGAGAAACATGAGGGCAGTCTGCTGTGAGTCTGCTGTGGCCAGGAAGCCAGTCCTGTGTCACCCTTCATGAGCGGAAGGCTGGGATTACTCTGCGGCGGTTGCGTGTCCACTTCGACTGACCCCATTAAACGGAGCAGAACTCGAGTCAAATTTTGCAGATTCATCGGGTTGAGGGCCTTATCGCAATGGCCACCCGGGCTGTGCTGTGTCGTGCAAGGCATGCGTGGAAGCATCGCCCCTGACAAAGCAGAGGCCTGTTCGTGAGAAATGGCAAGGGCAGGCTTCTGCAAAGTGATCCCCGAACCCTCATGTCAACACTGAGGGGTTCCAAACGGTTCCAACGTCAAGGGTAAACACCGCGCGGCGCGCATGGCCAGCGCCCTCGCTGTCGTGTGTTGTTCTCGAGGAACATGGCGCTCTCTGTCACGGGCGTAGCTGTGCTTTCCGTCCTCGAAACTGACATTGCTTTTGGACGTCCGGGCGCTCGCGACATGCGAAACCTCCGTTCGCTTTTTCAACGGCTTGCGAAGTGCACGTCTGTCATCGCTTCTGGGCTTGTGGGCTCACACGGTCTCTCTCTCCTTCAGCATAGTTGTTTCGATGTGGAAGTGGATGGCCAAGAGTTCCACTGACAATTGTTCCAGGATCCTTCACCAAGCGGTGGTGAGTGAGGAGGGTGAGGAGGCCGCATGGTTCATTCGAGAGGCGCTAGACAGCATTCCGGGAGTGTATCCAGGCAGCGATGACTCGCTGGGCATCGAGGCCGGGCTCACTGCACTGCAGCGATGTGAGGGGGTGCCGTGACAGGGTGCGCTTTGAGAGGCCGAACCCGAACGTATGCAGCCCCGGGACGGACCCACGCAGCGTAGTGGGCAGAAGCTTCGTCCTCAGGGCCCAAAAAGTCTCAGACGGTCAGAGTTGTTCGCTTCTGCTGCTTCCAAATCTCAAGAACATGCTTGTGCCTGCATGAGACTCATGCTGAATCTCGGCCGGAATTTCGGTGCCTGGCTGGCTTCTGTGCAAAACGTCAAGGTTCCTTTTTTTGCCAAGGTGCTTCCTCACCTAATCCTGCTTCGCCTTCGAAGCAAGACCAAGCGCGATCACCACAGGCGACAGCATTCGAGTGGTGGTATGTGGGTTCGATATGGTAGAAGAGCCTGGCAGCATAGAACACGTGGTCCTGCAATACAATGGCTTTGGCTCAGATTGTAAATGGTCTTATATGGTTGATATATCAAATTGTAGCAGTATGGTGACTAAATTCGACTAAGTCCTTCAATACCCCTGGTTTTGTCTCCCTGTTTGTTGAGGAGAGGCTTTGGAATTTCCGGGGGCAACCTCGCTTCCCTTTAGATTTGGATGCCCGTGCTTGTACGCGGGTGAAGCAGCTTGGTCCACTTGCACTTTAATGTTTGTGCACGCAGCCATCTGACTTGAAGGCGCAGGCTCTCAGCCAGAGTATGAGACCCAAGCAGACGACAAGAACCCAAGTACCTTGCCCTGGAATCCCTTCCAAGTCTCCTCATCCCCCTCCCCCATTCATGCTTCCATGGCAGCTTGTCCTGGTCGTCCTGATCCTTCTCATCGTCTTCGGCCTCTTCGGCCTCTCTGGCTTCTCTGGCCTCCTCGGCCCTGTTGACGTGCGTGACGTGAGGATTGGCCCTGGGCATGCCATTGCCCAGTGGATGCACAATGCCAGCTTTTCCAGCTTCGTGGTGGCCCAAAGCCAGACCGTGGAGTTGCACCCGGGTACTTGGGCCATTTGGGGAGCTCGGAAGAAGTGGATGGGAACTGTGGTGAGCGGCTCGGTGAAGTGGCCAGTCTCAGGTTGGAAAGCCAAGTTCCACTTGCTGCCATCATTGATCAGAAACCAGGAAGCTGCTGCCATGAAACAGCTCCTGGTTGATGCACCAGACGAATTTGATGAGGATACTGATGGAGTTGACAAGATGGTAACCTACGAGTTCATCATCTCTAGTGCAGGTGCACGCAAAGCCCATGATCCTGTGAGAGAGGCCTTGCGCCAGCGTCTACGTGACATCACCGAGCCAATCATCCGTGACCGAATTCAGCCATTTGTCTGGGAGCGCTATCCGAAAGCAGGGGCCGTCTGTCATTCGATGATTCGTCGGTACTTGCTGCATGAGCGCCGCAGCCACGACACGCACTGGGACATTCCTTCGTACGTCTCTGTGGTCGTGAGTCTGGATGCAGCAGGTCACGACTTTCATGGAGGTTTTTTTGTTACCACAGGCAACGGTGAGAAGTCCTTCATTCCGCTACAGCGGGGTGATACTGTTGTACACCAGTCGGATCTCCTTCATGGCGTGCATGTCAAGCAAGGAGAGCGCTGGAGCTGGGCGATGTGGTTCCAGGACTCCAGGGATTGCAGCTCACAGTCCTCTGACTGGTGGAAAAGGGAGGCCGAAAATGGCGACCCTGTCGCCCAGACCCTTCGTGCAATGCGGGCGGCCACCCCTGAGGAGTCCTGGACCTGGCTAGAAACGGCCGCCAACAGCGGCTTTCCTCGCGCCCAGCTCTACTTCGGGAAGGCTATCGAGGATGGCCTCCGGGGCCAGCCAAACCATGAGCAAGCCGCTCAATGGTATGAGAAGTCTCGGCAAGGTGGCGAGGTCGATTCTTGTTATTATCTTGGCCTGGTAGAGAAGCGCCGAGGGAATATCACCGGGGCCATGCAGTTATTCCGACAGGGTGCAACGTCTGGTGAGCCCAATGCCATGGGCCAGCTGGCGATTGGCTATCAGAACGGGACCGGAGGCCTCCCCCAGGATCTGGACCTCGCAACGGAATGGTTTGAGCGCGCAGCTGACTTTACCGTCGAAGCCATGTACCAGAGCTATGTCCTTTATTCGGAACCAACACAAACGCGTGACAGAGATCAGACAAAGGCCCAGCTGCACTTGGAGCGGGCTGCCCGAATGGGTCACGAGTCGGCAATGAAGAAGTTCATCGAGCCCTTGGCTCGAGCTGGTCGTTGGGAGGCGGTGGCGCCGTGGCTGTTGCGAATTGAGTCCAAGGCTGCACTCTCACAGCTTGTGAAATTGCACCAACGGGGTGTTCAGATCAATGCTTTCACGCTCTTCCGCGCGGAGCAGGTGCTGCGAGACCTGGCGGAACAGGGGTTTGAGGATGCACGCGGCCTACTGCGTCAGCTGCTGAGCTCTCGGGAGGCTGCTCCTGCGAAGATGTCTGAACTGTAGAAGCTGCAAAAAACGGCAACATCTTCCTGAAGAACGCTGCAACGAGCTTGCTGCGATGCTGCCGATCTGTAGGGTCCAAAGGCCACATGGAGAGCCGAGAAAAGGCACCGTGTGGCGGGCCCCCCGCGCGGCGCCCCGCTTGCGGGTCTCCGACGTGATCTACACCTGGCTGCGCTGCAAGGATTCAAACCCGCAATCCCTCGAACTTCCCCGTCGGCGAAAAAAGGTGCGCCTAAATCTTTGCGGGGCTTCGTGACCAGTAGATAGTAGTAGCCAAGGAGGTGACCTGCAGGGGAGCTCTTCAGATGTCGCGGGGCTCTTGGAGCTTCGTGGGGAGACATGACATGGTCCATTCTCCAGGCCGTGGTGCCCGCCTTCCGAGAGGCCACCTCGCCGCCCCCGATGGCCAAGGCCCTGCGAATTGGGTGTGCACGTTTCTTCTTCGGCTTTAGGCACGGGCATGGGAGGTGCAGCTAGTCTGGAGCAAGTGGCTTGGTGCAGTGTAGCAGCATACGCGACCCTGACGACGTGCCCTGTTCTCCCTTTGGGTGGAGAGTCGAGATGGGATGTGCAGGGCCGAGCCATCTATGCTTCCGCTGCGACTCTGCCACAGGCTTCCCCTGCACAGGCAGATGCCTCGAGCATGTCACGATTTAGGATGTCTTAGGGCCAAAGTTGTACTGATTTGGTTGGTTCGTTTAGGGTGCCTGCTTGCACCTCGCAAGCAGACAGCTCACAAGATTCGGTCCAGGTTGTGGCACAGGTGCCTCAAGTGGCGCACCCTTCAACGCAGTCATCACAGTCCGTTTCCCAGAAGGTTTTCTGCTTCGTCGGAGTCAGAGCAGGGTTCCTTCCAACAGATTCTAACCTTTTGAGCCCGTGCCAGGCGACCGTCGCACACCCCCGCACCTGTACGCACCATGGGTGTCATGCGCGCAGCACCCTCGGCTTTATAAAGGGGTTCGCATCATTTCTTATCTACTTTGTTCAGGTCCATGTCCTCAGCAAGAGTCGCTTGCGGCGCCAGTTCAGATTGCCGGATTATCCAGCCCCTATCCAATCAGGTCGTGTCTCCCCTCGGCCGAGCAATGAGCACAAGCGCCCTTCACGGCCAGGCATGGTACCATGTGCAGACATGCTGCCATAGTGTCACTCGTTCCGATTGCATGACTCGGGTGCGCAATGTACGCGGGTGCCGGGGTAAACCCCGGCCCCATGCCCCGCCGAAGAAGAAGACGAAGAAGAAGCAGAAGAAGAAGAAGGAGAAGAAGAAGAAGAAGACGAAGAAAGAGCAGAAGAAGAAGGAACAAAAAGAAGAAGAATAAGAAGAAGAAGAAGAAGGAGAAGAAGAAGAAGAATAATAATATGAAGAAAAATAAGAGGAGAGAGAAGCAGAAGAGCTGTCAGATCTCACCTCTCAAGACCTCTCCGGGGCGCGCAACGGTGCAGGGTCTCATGCCCTAAGCCGCCTAAATAAGGAGAGTGGACAGAATCGTAGTCCTTCACACCCACACTTTGCTGGCAGGTGGCATTCCAGCATGCAAGGCCACAGATAGCTGGGCTTCCCACTGCGCCGTCCTCGGAAGAGGATGAAATAGGGCCTTAAAATCGACCCCCCCCAAATCCCCTTATAAAAAGGACCCCCGAGAAGGTACCCCTAAACTCGGAAACCCCCATGTGCCAACGGACTCCGATCAAGTTGAACGCTTTGTGAAACTGGTGAGATAGTTCGGGGTCTGTACTGCCAAGTGCCGAGGCACCCGTGGCCCTTGTGCCCTGTGCCTGTGCCTGGAAGTGATTCGATGCCTATGTGTAGAGCTAAGATCTAGACTCTGTTTTTGTAACAGCGATCGGACAAACTAGCCAAAATTTGAAAGACGGGAAAAAGCAGGCGCATCACAGCATAACATAGCGCGGCTACCTCACCAAACTTAGCTTATCAACTCACGGGACCAGCATGTTGGATGGGTGCCTGAACGATAGTCATCACTGCATCAGACGAGCTGACAAGCTGAAAGTTCGGCTGATGTAGCTGGAGCATTTGTTGATGGCCCCCATCCGTTTTGGCCCTTAGGAGAGCGACTGGACCCCCAGTAATACATGGCTCTGGTCAAGCTCTCCGCGAGTATCTTGAACAATCCGTTTGCCACAATGATTGCTGCGGACCACGGAAAAGCTGAGGTCCCTTTCTTGGCAGTAAGACGAATGAAGTCCATTCTTGTGTGCAAAATATGGCTGTCAGACAGCAACCCTTCACCATATTGTGCTGGTCAGTGGATGGACATTGATTTGAACACAGTGGCTACAGCTGCTGTACCAGGCAAGGGTATTGTGGGCCTGGAGGATGCATTCAATGCAAGCACCCTCCATATTGCGGTGGAACCCTCAAAATGAGGCTCGGCCTTCGGGGCACATGCCAGTCATGGTAGCAGCTATAGCAGCTAGGGTGCAGTGCTTTTACAGTCGGCTGGGGTTCCTCCTGAAATTGGTGTCACCAGAACTCTGCCCTTGCTGTCAAGAGACAGCCAGTCCAAATGCCAACGACCAAGCCACAACCCGGTCGAACATCATTCGCGCTGGAAGAAAAACAGGCACACCAAGAAAGCTGGCCTTGCGACTGCCAGCCTTGGAGCACAGGACTTGCCTCGTCTTACGCGAACCGCAGCTGGTGGCAGCTCCCATGCCAAGACACAAGTTAGGAACAGCAGTGTGTTAGCGTACAGTACAGCACCCTGGACCCTGTACCGTCTTCCAAGCTGACAAGTCCTGAAGCGTATTGGAATCTGGAGTTGGCCTGGCTGCATGCTGCGTCCGCCAGACCCCACGCCAAGCCGGACAACCCAAGCCGGGACGCCAAAGACATCCAAAGACATCCCTCGCGCGATACCCGGCCCGGCCCAGGATGCTGCACAGAAGACTGTCTTCCTGACCGACTGTACCTTGGTCGAGTTGGGAAGCATGGTATGGCACGGTTGGCAGCAGCATTTGGCCAGGCAGTCGTTGTGGAGCTCAGCTGCGCATCGTAGATGTGCGGGGCTTGGAATGCCTGTTTACGGCAAGTTGCAGAGTCGAGGGCAGAATCACAGTGCTGCATTGTCAAAATGGGTTCTCAACTCGCGTGTGCTGCATCTTCGAGGACTTGCCGCCCGAAGCAGCCCGCTTCTCAGAATACGCTGTGGAAGTCATGCTCTGCGCAGCAGATCTGGCGTTGGCCCTCAGCAGTCCGAGAGACTAGCTGTGGTGTCTGTGGTGATGGTACTTGGCCTGAAGAATCCTCAACAGGCTCCTACAGGTGGCCACGTAAGTCTTTCCAAAATTTTGGGCCCGCCCAGCTGACATTGAAGACTATGCCTGGACTCTGGAAGCAGGGGTATGAGAATGATCGTTTTTGTTTCATCCAGAAATCCGACTTTCAGTAGGGGAGTAGACTGAGGTCTCTCACAGCGTTAAGGATTTCCATACGTGCTGCCACAGCGACGACTCGGCCATGACTAAGGGTGGGAGCGTGCAAGGGGTTAGCAAGGCGAAGAAGCCCTTAAGACAGCGAAACCACGGTGGCCAAGGATCGCACAGTGGTTGCAGAAGCATAGGAGAAGCCCCATAAGCTTGCAAGTGTGACTCCAACCTGCTACTTGGCTCGAGCTCTACGGTTCTGATCTGTTCGTGCTCGTGCTGCCTCAATTCTTTCAGGCTGCTTCGGTGCTCCTCCTCTGTACCCGCCCAGGATGTGGCAAAATCCTTCCATAAAGGTGTCAGCGAATCCTTCGTGGCCGCTGACCTAGCACTTGCACTGGAGTGTGGGGGGGCTGTTAGAGGACCTGACCACTGAGAGAAAACACACAGTGTCTGCAGTCTTGGCAGAAGAGAGTGCCCTTGCAGCCCATCAGGAACCCGCTTTGATTAAGTCCGCCTCCCCATCTCTTGCCTTGCCCCCGAAGCAACTGTTGTAGACCCGGGAGCCCCAAGCACGGCAAGGTGGTGCCGCCCAGTGAGGAGCCGGAGAAACCGAGCCAAAGTCGCTTGGCTGCAGGCGTAGAATAATGTGTCACTGTGTCGGGGTTCCCTCAAGCAACGGATCCCAGAGGGATGCAAACCTCACGATTCCTGAACGTGCGATCTGAAACCTTCATGTTCAGCCTCTGCTGAGAGGGTTCGCGTATTGCAGAGACCTGTATGCGTTCGCTTTCAGGTTCTCAGCCGGATGCGCCCAATCAGGCTCCCATACCAGCTCGGGCAGCGATGTGACAAATTTCGGGCGATTTTAAGGGCTAGCACGGACATGTAATCCTTGTGAGAGGAAGCATAGGAGCGTCCGCCAGAACATACTTGGATTTGAGACTCTCATGTGTAGTCGCATGAGCTGAAAGCTCTGGAAGTTGCCTGCACTGTTTTGCTCTGAACTTTGCACCCAAGGCCCCCGGGACCCGACCCAGAGAGATTGCAGACGTCGATGACGCAGCCCCCAGCAGCACCCCAGCAACCTGCAGGCGCAGCCCTGGGTGGCACCCTTTGAGCAGGTGGCGCGCGTGGAGAGAATCATGGCTCGGGCACCCACTTTCTGCACTTTCAAGAGCATTTCCCGGACACGAAAACGTTTTCAGGCATCCGCCGTGCCAGGCAGACCGGTAAAAGCTTCAAGTGTTTCAGGGAGCACCGGCTCATGGATCCACTCTCTCGTGTGGCTTCTTGATTTGCATCGGTCTTCTCTTCGTTCCAAGGCCCTGGCTGCTGGCCAGTCGGGCCAGGATCACCCAGTCTGCCCGGGACCTTGCAATGTGATGCAGCCTTCGAAATAGGGACAGAGATGCAGTGAGCCTCTCTGGCTTATGAAATCAGTAGCCCAAAAAGAGGTTCAAACTGCTTGAAGCACGTGGTCGCTGAAGTGGAGCGGCTGGCCAGTGAGGCCTTCGGCTTGTGTAGACGTTGGCTGTGCATTGGTGAAGTTGTGATGGCAAAGAAGTCAGTTGCTTGTGAAAAGTTTGAAGCGCCCGTTGTTTGTGCTCTTCGCAGCTTAGACATAGAAAACAAAAAACACATCCCTTGGGCCGTGTGGCCCTTTGGCCGTTGGGCCACGGCGCAAGCCGACCAGGTCACCCGGTTGCAGTAAATCTGCATGGAAAACCTCAGTTCTGCCACACAAAGCCTATTCGTGGAGACCCGATGGGCAAGGCATGAGCCGAGCACCAGTACCGCTTTGCAACAGTGGTGGAACTTGGAAGCTAAGGCTTCCATGGGGCTTCATGTCCAACTCGTGGTACTGCTACCCTCGATCGCCATGCTGCTGGGCTCCATGGCGGTCTTCGTGTCCTGAGCTTAGCCGCGACATGGGGAGTGCGAGGAGAGACTGGGAGCGTTGCTCCAACTGCCATCTACAAGAGCGGAGTGCGCAAGAGAGTTTGAGGACGAATGTCTTCGAGCGGTCATGCCCGGCGATCATGTCGTACCTTCAGCGCCCTAAACAGATCGAGGTGCCGACTGCCTGACAAGATCCAGGCCGCCTTCCAGATGTTCTCGGCAGGCCCGGCCGTGCGGTGCAGGCTAGTGCTTTTGCTCAGACAGCCCCTCGCTTGGGTGGTTCGCAGTTTGCGAGCGTTGGTTTCATCTGAGGGCTTCTTATCAGTGCGGTTGGCAACGAGCTCCTGCCGCTGCTGACACCTCCCGCCGGTCCTGGGCCTGTGACGTCCACGCTGGCACTGGTGGTGGGCTTCGCAGTTGGCCTGATCTTCATGCTGCTCGGGGGGCATTTTGCAAATCTGAGATTGAAAGCTTTTCTTGAAGGTGCGAGCAGCAGTTGCACAACTGTGAACAGGTTTGGCCTTGGCTACCTGACAGAGAGCATGGAGGATGACGAGGAGGATGAGGACTCTGCCGTCACCGGTCATGTCGGACGCTGACAAATCTCCATGAGTGACAGCGCAGGAGCCAAAACACAAAAGAACATACAGTGACATCGAGACAGTGCCTTGTCCTGAAGCTGGCACACATCGCCAACACTTGCCAACGCCACTGGCGTCCAAGTGAACCCCGAGGTGTACCGCTACAACTCTGACGTGTTTTAGCGGAGTGTGTTTTCACTAGTGAACAGCTCTGCTGTTTAACGGCCTTGTCGAGTTCTCTGTGTTCTCTGGCTAAACTTACAGAGTTCAGTCAAGCAATATGTTCAGACTAGTTGTCTGGCTGCTGGCAGGCGCTGCTCGGTGTAAACGAAGATGACCGCTCAAAAGCCAAGGTGCAGCCTCTGTAATATTACTGTGTAATTCAGAATTCATTGTGCTAGACGGTACTGTAGTGCCGGTGGGCACGGGCGGAGAAAGTTGACTTTTGCTCCACTTCACTTCAAGAGCCAACTCTTCTGCAGGATAGCTTCGTAGCGGAGACCGCGGAGATCCGACAGGAGGTTCAGCGAGACTTGGCTCAAGAGCCAGGAAGTCGTGTGCGAGACTGCGTATTCAAGGCGGTTTTCAGGTGTGCAGAATGCCTGAGTCCAACTTGTGTCCACTTCGCGTCCTTGCCAGTTTGGGAGAAGGCAGGGCAGCAAGAACTGAACTGCCCCTGCATTGGCGAACAATCTCTCAGGGTTGCAGACGGCCTTGCAGACGGGTTGCCAGAATGGCATCGACGAGATCCTGCATGGCCTTGAGCATCTTGGGTATCAAACTGGAATCCGAAGCCCAGACATCTCTGAAAAGCCGAGTGCACTGAAGTTCGTGGACCCAGGTACCGAGTTCACAGGGCCACTCGCGTCCTCTTTGTCCGCACAGGGATCGACGATGGCAACCTGAAGAGGCATCCATTCTTTTCCATGGTTGCTTCGTTTCTGTTGGCTTTCCGGCAACGAGAACAAGTCTAAGTGTCATAGAGGTTCGAGGACGTGTGCAGCTAGCTGCACATGTGCAAAAGCAATGGCACTTCTTGATGTCAGGATGCGGGAACATGGACAAGAGCTGCATCAGGCTTCAGAGAAGCTTGCAGGCGTGTTGAAGTTTTGCCCAGAGCGCAGGCTCTTGCTAGGGCCTGCTAGGGCAGAAACAATCTGGCCCCTAGCTTGGCGACTGATGCTGTAGAGCTCTACACGAAGGCTGGAACTGAGAGTGATGCCACTCGCCCATGCTTGGCAGCCAGGGTTCGACAACTTCCAGAAGGCCAAGGACGATCTCAAAGCTTTTCAGGCCGGCGTGATGATCCTGGAAAGTGGCAGAGGACGTGAGACCGGTAAACACATCTGGATGCTTCCACACGCTTTGCTTGGCTACCGCATAGTTGGAAGAAGAGGATATGTTGCACTCAGCCCCCCCCCCCCCCCTCCTCTCCCCCCCTCTCTTTCCAGCCCGACTAGGCCTGCCTCGAGCATCTGCACGGTCACGCAGAGCGTGTTCCTCATTTCCGGCGGTGGAAGGCCCGGTCGAAGTGGCTTGGATGAGAAGCTTTTCCCTGGGTGGGGTGAGGGCGGTCTCAGCACAGCCCAACAAAGCACGTCAATGTGGTGGTACCCAGGCCAACCCAGGAAATGGAGCTACCGGAGGAGTTGCCCCTGACCTTGGTGGCCGCGGCTGGCGTCCTGGGATCGTGTTCTCATGTTGGTGAGTGGAGTGCTCCTGAGGCAGAGTGCATTCAATGTCCCATGTGCGTCCGCGTTGCTGCCCAACTGTAATAAAACACTTTGCTGTCCTGGTCAGGGTGAAACACGTGCTTGCCACTGTAGCTTCGTCCACTCAAGAAATGCCGTGCTGTAGCTGCTTAGGAACTCTGAACCGAAGAATAACATAAAGAGTCTCATTCGAGTGTGTTTTGGTTCAGTTTACTCTCTGTCCGAGAGAAGTTTTTCTGGGCACTTACGGCTGCCCTTTGCTTGGTTGGGTGGCGGGGGGAAGGAGTTGTGAAGGAAGCGAGTAAGGAAGGCACGAGCCCGATTCCAACAAGCCTGGAGGCTGTGACCCTAGACCCGTAGACTCTCAACCCTCTGCGAGAGATCCTGCCTCCTCACTGTAGGATCTTTCTTTACTGTGTGCTACAGCCAAAAAAACAACAAGTGACGAAAAACATCACACGCAAGGAAACCATCTCCGCCCTTGTTTTTTTATTTCTGCGGCAGTATTTCGTGGCGAAGACTCCTCCCGCCTGTGCGACCGTTCGACCTTCTCCGCTTTGAAAAGTGTGGGAGCTGGTGTGCTAAGGTCACTGTAGATGCGGCAGTGGATGGGCTGTTGATCGGCAACTTGGATCGAGTTTAGAGCTGGCTTAGACTTGCTGGAACAAGGATGAGCGCAGCATAGCGCAGACATTAGGGCACTCTACATGCTGCCACATCCGTATGCAAGGTTGCAACTTACTCTGTGTTGTTTCCGTCTGACTCTCTGACACTGTGAAGTTGAGATGTCTCAGAGTTTCCAAATGCATACATGCACGCAGCGGGGTTCTAGAAGAGCGCAGAAAGGACCGAATCCCAACAATCTTCCTGGAAATGCCATGTTGCTGACCTCTCTGGAGGCCTGTCCTATGCAGCATCCCCAAGCACCTTTGGCAGCAGGTTTGTTGAGTGATTGCCTTTGAAGGAGGCTCCCCTGACAGTTTCAAGATTCTTTTGGTGCACTCTACACAGGCCGAGGGCTTCCGAGTTCTGGGGCTTGTTTGGGGGTTTAGGGTGCGGGCTTCTGGGTTTAGACCTTTCTTTGTTCGACCGCAGGGTTTTTTTGGGGGTTCCGGGGTCTTCATGGGACTTGAGGGCTCCTCCCCAGAACAAGCTAAACCGCGCAGCCCTTTGAAATGGGCTAGCTTCCTTTAGTCTTCCTTTGTTTCCTCCTGCGAAGAAAAGCCATGCCAAGGTGCAGGAATTGCCATGGCTGCAGCAACTTCCATTGTGGGGCTCCCGGGGTGAAAGGATGTTGCTCCGCTCTCTCCGAACAGCTTCGGACCAATTCATATGGTCACATACACTGACTTCGTGTTCACTGACAGGAAATGGGCTTCTTGGGCCTGTCTTTCTGCGCCTCCTTGCAGAATGCGACACGTTCGGCTGCTCGACTGCGCTCTGTTATTGCGAGATTCGATTCACAGAGCACTTGGACCATGCGCTTGGAGACTTGCAGTACCAACCCCTGAGCAGCGGGGTGATTGATCTGTGAGGGTTGAAAGCACGAATCAAGTTCGGTGCCCAAGGAGGGCTAGGACGGCTCAGAGGCCAGCACCTGCGAGGCATCTGAGTGCTCGTGAGTGGCAGCGCTGAGCCCAGGCATTGAAGATCGTGGTTTTGGCTCTCCTGCCACCTGTGGTCCTCGTGCTCTCTGGTGAGGCAGGACACAGGCGCCGGAACGAGGGGTACGGGACAAGGGACGTGGTGTCACCTTTGAAGGGCCGGTGTGCAGCTGTTGAGGCTCAGTGAACTCCTCAACAGACATGAGTTGAGCTTGCAGGCTGGGCAGGATGTGCTCCGAAAACCCCGAGGTCTTCATTGCCAGGGCCCCAGGGCAGCGTCTCAGATTTCATGTGCAAAGCCAGTCTCTACTAGAACCTGGCAACGACTCAAGACTGCTTCAGGCTTTCATCAGCTTTTCGATCGTTGCCCTGCTGTTCCTCGTGACGCAGGCATTGTGGCCAGCAGCGCTGTTGAGACCTCACAGTACTCTTTCGACACTGTGACACTGCCGACACAGCCACTTCCCTGTGAGGAGCTCCTGATCGAAGCACAAGAGGTTGCAAGGGGGTCCAAAGCCATCAACGTCGCTGCCCTGAGTATGAACCGCATCTTCAACGGCCTCGTCCAATTATGCTTCGCTGTGCTGTCAGACCGTGCAGCATCAGTTGAGTGATTCGACAGATGAGAGCAGTGGGTTTGCGCCTGAGGCCGTCTTCTTCGTGGGTCTCCTCGCCGGGATTCTCTTGGAGAAGCTGGGTCAAGTTTGCTGATCCTGAACAATGCTCCCAAACTAGAGAGAGGAGAGGGGAGGAATATGGTGGTACTCCAACGGCTGCTGGCTTGTCTCGGCAATCCCGCTGATGTAAGGAAGTTCCTGGGATGAACGCTTGAGGCATTGTGATGTGTACTGCAAGCTCGGGCTTGTCTTTGTGAAAAAAGTCTTTAACAATCATCGCGCAACTTGTGTGCGATTGTGTGTGGGCTTTGCTCGCAAGCAGGGCAGAGTGGTGAAGCATGGTGCAGCCTTGGGAAGCTCCACTAGTAGCAGAATGCTCTGTAATCCAGCTGTATGGTTTGTCATCCATCTAATGAGGGTCGTATTCGAGGCGCCTGCTTCACGCAGCCCTGCTTCTGGTAAGTGGACATTGTTGGAGCTCGATTTTCCCAGTATTCAAGAGGACTTACAGACACGAGTCCGAAGAAGTTTCACAACCGTCGTCAAGCTTGTGTCGATCAGGTCGCACTATTCATGAAAGAGAGCTGCTGCATACGAAGACGGCTGGTAGGCCCTTTCCTGTATAGAGGACCACCTAGACACGACGGCGTCTGAGAGATAGAGAAACGTGGGGAGGGCAAAGTTGATCAAAGTGTGCCATTGCCAACCCAGAACCCCCTCAGATCCTACAGTCTCACAGAACTTACACCTGGCCACTCAATCGCCGAATGAGGAATGACTTAAACCTGCTATTGTGTCGCTGACACGTTGTGCCCGCTGCACGGAACGAATGTCGTGCCTGAAATCCAATGTTATGCTGATGTTGCCGGGCTTTGACAGGGTTGTGGGATCGCGTGTTGCGTGGGGAGGTTGGCGGAGGCAGAGAGGGGGGTAATTGAGTAACAGAATGAAGCTCGTTTAGAGCATGTTTGATGCGAATGCGCATGGCTGTCCAGGCTTTCTACACAAATTCATCAACATCGCAGTTTGATTCTCAGTTTCATGAGGCCGCCGAAGAGAGCCGCACCTACAACGAGGCAGGTCGCAGAGTCTCAGGCTTGGCCTTAGGCTTGGGTCGGTGCATGAACAGGAAAGTCCTAAGCCTGCGAGGGTCGAACACTGCCGCTGAACCTAAGCCTTCGTCAGCTTTCAGAGAAAAGGATCCTTAAAGCCGAAACCCAAGACCACGTGAGCTCACGTCCTCTGTGGTTGGAGAGGCTCTGCAACGCCTCCAAGAGGAGCTTGCGTCCGGCGCTGACGAGGCTTGGCGCAGTTTGGGAGGTTCCCGGGCGCTGCCACCAGAGACGAGCGGTGGCTCGATCTTAGACACTTCTTGCCCACAGCCAGCAGGCAGCGCTCGAAGCCACTCAGACAGCAATATGGCCCTTTTTGCAGCTTGACCGGCGCATCGTGAGCATTGCTCTTGTCTCAAGCTGCTTGATGCATCTGCGGTGACCATGCGCCCACGTGTAGAAGCTGAGTTCCGAGCAATTGTGACTCCATGGACTGAGCCAAAGGCTGAGATCTCGGAGATGGAGCGCCAAGAAGAGGGCCTGCTCAGCGAGCTGGAGGCGGGAGTTTGGACAGATCCTGACAACTGAGTAAGCAGTCCTGCAGTCTTGACAAGCAGATGGCAGATGCAGCATCCAGAAGAGGGCTTCTTCAACAAATGGCTTGGTGAAGGCATTTAAGAAAGAGGAGGCAGAGCTTATGGCCGGAGCCTGAGAAGTTCGGTTTGTGTCGACTGCTTGTTGCTTCAAGCAACCTCGCTGCTTCAGAAGGCCCTTTGTCAGCGTGCTGCAAATGTCGAGTGGTTTTTTTTTAGTGGCTGTTGGGGTGGGAGTGGTCAAGGCGGAGCTTGAACGTCAACGGCAGCTGGAGGAGCAGCTTCAGAAGGAGGCGGAAGCGATCCAGCAGTTAAAGGCTTAAGGGGGCGTAGAGTCTGCTGTGCGGGCTGTGTCCGGCGCAGCCTCGAGACAGTGTATATAATCCAGCACGGGATTGACGGTTCGTAGGCTGACAACCTGGTGTCCGAAACTTAGCAGTCTGAGAGGAAGACGACTTCTGGATCAAAGTTGCGGAGTGCCAGCTGGACATTGAAGAGACAGAAGAGGCGCGATTCGATGCGACTTCGCACAAAGGGTGCCGCCCTGGTAAAATTTGCACCTTTTGAAGAGTCCCCTGTGCAGTATTCTGCAAAATTTGTGCCCAGTTCTCTGAGATGCTTTTTGTGGCGCTTGCCTGCAGAGGAGCGTGCTGCCACATCTGCAGCCATCCGATATGCTTGGCGCTTGGTGTCAATGCAAGGGCTTTCCAGGGGGCATTTTGCTGTTCGATGGCAGCATGCGGGACTGTGATCTGGTGTTCCACAGGTTCTGGGAGAAGTAGAAGCCTTCAGGGTTCGGAAATCAATGTCTGGCCTTAAGACCAAAAATGAAAGCATGTGGCTGTGCCCAGTCGCTTAGCAGAACAGATGCAGAACATGAAAACAGCGTCCAGGCCTCGGCTGAGCTTACCCGGCTCCGCAAGACGAACGTGCTGAATGCATCGCCGGCTCATTCACGGACTCTGCCTGTTCCACTGCAGCTGAACCTGCAGCGGCCGTGCATGCTGTGTATGTGCGTGCATACGTACGCATGCCTAGATTTGTGCGCAACAGAACAGCGCACCAGCACGAGACTAGTCGTAGATTGGGGTCCGCCATGTGATGCTCGCGTACAGCGATGGCAGGAGATGTTCCACATCTCCCAGGAGAGTGCAATCGAACATTCACACTTGGTAGCAGCAGAGACCGCGCATCATTCCTTTGCCTCGTATGTTGTGCCTGCTTCTTACATGGTCGGAGATGAGCAGCAGCGTTTTGCTCACCAGAGCCCTTCCTCTTCCTCTTCTTCTTCTTGCCATTGTGCATGGCCGAACTTCTGCATGATATTGCATGCATTTCGTCAGCAGCAGCTGATTCAGTGTGCTTGCTTTGCTGTTTGCCACTCGACATAGACTTGACCCGGAGATGCGCGACAGGGATAGGAAACCGTGCAAACAGATTCCAGGACCAGGGTAGGGACAGAGGGCTTCGCGCACTGGCACGTGCGCCGATTGTTCGCCAGCCATGGGGTCGAGGATGCTGTCGCACTGGCCGCTGGGCTGAAACCATGTGAGGATGCAAATCTGTTTTTTTTCTGGAAAGTGGCTCTGCTGAAATCTCGGGGCCCTGCTGACTAGGCTACTGGTTCTCGTGCAGGGCCTCTCCGCTTTGCTGGCACTGCTTCTGCGCTTCGCAGCGCCGGGCATCTGCGCCGACCTCAGAGAGCCAAACGTCGGCAGTGATCCATTCGCCCAATAAGCGCTTGTGTGTGGAAGTGTGTCAGGTCGAAGCAGCCACGCAACCTTTGGAGTCTGCGTTTGTGAAGGTGCGCTGATTACTGCTCAGTGCAAGTACACTTTTCCATGCCTGTGATTAGCTCTGCCGCGCCATTTGGCGGGTTGGGAGAATGCTGCCATTCTGCTTGTGGTTTTCAATAGGCATGCCAAGTGCAAGGTGTGCTTAACATTTGGTAGAAGAATTTGCAGTCCACCGGCGGTCATCGCGATCTTCAACACAACACCAAATTCGCACGCGTGCAAGTCTTGACACAGACCAGGTGCTACAGCCCACCCACAAACAGCTTGAGCTGGTGAGCAGCAAACCCGTCCCGAAGCTCAACCTGGATCCCCAAATGAGGCTCGAGGTCTATGGCCTGGCGTGTCACTAGTTGGCCCCGATGCAGAAGCTAAGACTCAGAAGCCAAGCTTCAGAGATGATGTGTTGGCGAAGCCCTCGCAACTTTACTTGATATCCTGCAAACATCATTGCCATTGCCGAATTGCCTCAAAGTTTCGGAACCAGGTCGGTTTCCCGAATCGTGGTCTCTCAGTCAGGAACAGTTTCTGAATTGTTGTTTCCGAATCTGATAAGTGCAGCTGCACTTGCGTGCAATGTTGAATCCAAGCGCTGTCAAATGTACGCTGCAGCTCCGAATGCAACGCTGGTAGTTAGTTGCCTGGCATTGTCAGCAGCAACTGCAACTATGACCCGCAAGCATCGAGGTCCTGCAGTACTTCCCGGTCCAGCTGATACGGAGTATTGCTATCGAGATCAGTTGGCTTTCCGTCGCTGGGCAAGCCTTCAGTTCAGCATTCCCCAAGTGCTGTCGTCACCTGTCCTGACACCCTCGCCTTTGCCTGTGCTGCCCCGAAGTTCGGACTGAAAGACCATGCCCGCCTGGCTTCAGGTGCCGGAGTTTCCTCGCTTCTGGTTTACCTCACGCAACCGGACCAAATTTAGACAGGGGCATCCAAGCTTTGCATGTGCCATCAGCTTCTTGCTTTTTGTGGCCTTCGATGATTCAGGCTGGCTGCCCTAACAGTGCAGGGCTCGCTGAGCTCCTTGTTGCGGGCACACGGCTTCCAGCGCGTGGCAGTTGTTTTGCGCTCCGGCTGCCATGCCTAGCCTTCAACGTCAGTGGAAAATGCTGGACGATTCTGTTGTTGAAACGCTTATGTTGATTACCGTTTTTCCTATAGCGCAGACCCGTTGCATCTCAGCCTTGGACTATCAACCGAGTCTGCTGATGCCCAGGCTGGTTGCCGTGGTGCAGCATCTCGACTACTCGAAGTGCTTGGTGGGACTTAGTTGTCCCTGGCGAAATATCTCTGACACTAGACATGATTCTTGTCACCAGTTGAGCTCGAGCCTCCAAACGCACCAAACTTGCAGCGCCTTTAAGAGACTTTCTGCCCGGAGTGCTTCTGGAAGGCAGGTAGGCGCCTTCAAGAACACGGCAAGTATTCGTACAAGTACGCAAGAGCCTGACCTGCCTGTTGAGGTTTGCTCTACTGCTGATCGCGCTTTGCCTTCCGTCTGGCTTGTTCGTTGCCGTGGAAGACTTTGGCATGTCTGCCCAGCTTCAATTAACCATTGGGGGTTGAAGTGACTGGAGTCGCAAGCATCTGCGATGAAGGTTTGCAGCTGCAGCCTACCGGGTCCTGCAGGCTTGCCTCCCCAGGGACCGCCGATTGCATGCGGAGTCTAGGTCAATTTGCCGTGATGCTGGTCACGTTGTCAGGCGGTCCTTTTTATGGATTGGGCTTACAACCTCAACGATCGCCTGTACAGCGATGCAGCTCCTTGGCAGATTCGGGGCTCTGGGACCTAGGACTTGCACGGGGAACAGACCACGAGATCAGATGGTCGGAGCAACCACGGAGTGCTTGCCCACGCCAGTCTTTCTACCAAAATGTGAGGTGCAGATGAGACGGCAACTCATCAACAGCGATGCCTGATACTGAGGGAAGACGGCTTCTCATAAGTCCACACCACATGGGTATTTCCCAAAATAGGGGTACCCCTGTTATACCCCAAATAGACTAGAATCCCTTTAAAGGGACCCCCAGAAAGGGTACCCCTATTTTCCGAAACCCCCATAGACTCTGAGTCCAGAAGAGACCACAGGCCTTCAGCTGGCGCCTGGGTGCCATGGTCACAGCCTCTGCGCTGCTGCTCCTGGGCTCGTGCGGGGGCCTGGCCTGGGCATGCCACGTAGTACATATTCTACTTGATCACTTGTCCTTAGACAGTATATACACACAACATTCTATTATGTACAGTTTACATGGTAAATGAATTATATAATAGCATTATAAAATGATGTATTTGTATATGGTCCACTATGTGTTATGTGTTGAACTAACTAAATATTGATACATCCTCCTTATACTATACATCATTATTTTTTAAATCTTATATGATTATGATATGAGATTTCATTATACTATATGGCACTAAAACATATAAAACATTCCGAGCGTCTCAGGCTGGCGGCAGCCATCTTCCTCTGCATGCGCGAGCCGGAAGCGTCTTGCCTGTACCGGTGTTGTATGTCAGGCCATTCGTCCGGTCCGTTCTGTAGTCAAAGATCCCAGGTGACTTGGTGTGTGGTGGTCTCCTTTATCCTCTCAGTGCTCCTCCTGGGCGTGAGCATAACAACGTGGTGCGAGCACGGGTCCTTGATGACCTCCTCGGTGGCTTGAATGAACTTTGCGATGGAGGGTTCATGTTCGTTCTCTGGGACTTTCCAAGGTCATGCTTGCCTACAACGTCTACCTCTGTCACCAGGTCGCGGAAATCCGGCCAGACAATGACGGAGATGACGAAGTGCCAACTACGCTGCCCTCTGGCTGCACAGCGCTTCCTGCACGAATGGCAGGTTGCCGAGAACACAGCCGCTGAAAGCATGCATTGCAGTTTCGATCAGAGATGAGCTTGCGTTCCGAGATGCTACAAGGTACGGGTTGCTGGTACCAGCATGCTCTCTTGTCTACTTCGCCATCAGCAGCAGCCCCGCAAGGTCTTCCGTGACATTTCACGACCAGTCACAACGAATCTGGGTCTTTCACGTTGAGACACACACGGGCCAACCGAATCAACGATGGCAGGCACCTGGCCGGGCGTAGCGCAGCCACCCTTGAGGACGACAACGACTTTGCGCCCCACAGCAAGAAGACACATTTGCAGCCAGTTGAGTAGGAGATGAAAAAATCGAGCATATTAAGATGTCAATACTGGAAACGCATATGTGTGTCTATATCTACATATATGTCTCTCTATATAAATATATATGTATCAGTATATCCGTTCAATACATATACATACATGTTTTTACAGAAGTGATTTTTATGTATATATATATATGTATATGTATATGTTTACACGTCTTACATTCTATAGGCTTTGTTCAATGTGGGTGCCGAGGACTCCAATGACTTTCTCCTGCGTTGCGGGGTCCATTTCCTTGCAGACTTCTACGTGACTTCAGTGCTGGCTCCGCGAGCCAGCTGGCTGTTCAAGCACGATAGTTCCAAAATTCGTGGTCCTTGCTTAGGTGAATCTCATTGCCCGCATCAGAATGAGCACGCACGAAGGAACCAGGAACCATTCGCCGACTTAAAAAGCCTACCGTGATAATACCCTGACGTGCACCTGAGTGCCATGGTGCATAGCCTGCAAAGGTGAGTTGGCTCAGATTCAACGTCCGGGCATCTACGGTCTTCGTGCTTCGACCTTGAGTGAGTCAGCAGATATCAAGACTTTACTAAGTTGCGCCTGGGCCCGTCGCCGAATCAGGTGCAAAACGAGGCTATGCAAGCGTTTAGAACTGCAGCTCGAAGCGGCTCACCACACTGAGGTCTGCATCGCCGTGTATGGTTGGACCTTGGTGGCCCCCAAAGTCCTGTCCAGCAGATCCTTCTGACCCGGCCGCCAAGCTGCGCTTCGCTTTGTTTGTTTTTTTTTGCGCAATGTGTTGCTGCTGGTCGGAATGGCAACATGGGCATGCTGTTTTGCAACCCACGTTCGCTGCTCGATAACAAGGTCAGGTCTTCTCGACACCACAGGATCAAGCACTCGCAGAACTCGCGCGCTCACAAGTGAGGTTGTGGCTTTTGCAAGCAAGACAACTCACAAGAGACTGTCACTTGACGGAGGTTGAGCCTGAAAGGTTCAGACGGCTCGGGTCTCGAACAGTGGCTTGGGTCGTGGCTTTGGACAATTGGCCTCGCGGAGGATACACACGCCTCCCAGTTCCAACAGAATGGGTCTTTGTAGATACCCCAGGCCGAAGCTGGCAGCCAACGTGAGTTGCGTGTGCGGTGCGCGTGCGGTGTTGGAAAATGGGGCATGCCTCGGAAGCAAGAGGGCTGTAGCAAGTAGCAGTTGCAAGTAGAAGAAAGCAAGTAGCCGGTAGCTGATAGCTAGTAGTTAGCAGCCAGCAGCTAGTAGTGGTAGTAGTCGTCATCGTCGTCGTCGACGGACACGTTTAGGGTTACCTTCGGATACCTTCGGGCCTTTGGCTTGGCTTTGTTTTGGTGGGGCGCACCTGCCTTGACTCCAGTTTGCAATAGTGTCAGTACAAGGTCACTTTGCCGAATGTTGTTTCATGCAAGAAACACCTTGCTCTTGAAGCGAAGGGAATGGCCACTGTATCAACGAAGCCTGGCAAGCACGTGTGTGTTTTTTTGTACTAGTTTGTTGTTTCATGTATTGTCTCTCGTTGCGTGATTCTGCGCTCTGCTGAAGTGCGTGGCTGAGCGGCAGGACGGGCCCTTTGGTACCATCAACGGCTTCAGGAATGCCTTTGCGCAGAAGTGATTCATGAGAGCTACTGGAGTTCAGCCTAGAGACCCTTCAGGATGGGGCGTCTGCCTGAACAGCCAGTGCCATGGGAAGAGGTCCTAGCTCTGATTCATGCCATGTCAGGATGAAATGGCTAAAGAAGTGGCATGAGCCTGCATGTGGAGGTAAATGCGGCATGGGGGCAAGCATGTCTCCTGCTAGATGCCCTGGCTTGCAGCTTACAACGGAGTCGGTGTTCTCACTCCTGCGCAACAGCTTTTGCCATGTAGCATGGCTGCACCTGACTTTAAGGTTAAGAAGGCCAAGTTGCCAACTGCGCAATCTCAGTACAGGCCAGCAACCTAGAACTGTTGAAAGTGGGAGGGTCAGTCCTCGCGTGTACATCAGTTTCTGATTCACAAGCATGTTCCTCAAGCCTATGCTCCACTTTCGCACTGCTTTATGTCTTGCTACCTTCGGTCGTCCGTACAGGCTAGTGCCCCGTGGCAGCCACTCGACCATCAAGGCATTGCTGCAGCATTCTTTTCAACTGGGGAATGTTGCCTGCAGCCCTGCGTGCATGTGGGAGGTTGGTGGCAAAGACTTCGAGCTCTACGGCTGTGACGGAGGGCAGGATCCTCAAACAAGCTGCGTGCTACACGGTGCCAGGAACATGTGCGACATGCACATGCGCTCATGACATATGTTTGCCCGGATAAGTGGTTCTTTTTGAGAACCCGAGGCTGTCTAGCTTCTGGGCCGCATCCCAGTTTGGCTCTGCCATGCATGCGCCGACCTTGGATCTACATCAGGCATACTCTGTTCTAGATGGGCTTTCTGTATACGTCGCTGAGTTGATCCGCCGAGGCCTTCCTGTGTTTCATGCAGGAGGCCGGGGCTGAAAGGATGGAAACCTGACAAGCAAGTTTGGTTCGTCAGCAGAAGCTCATGGGCGCAAAAGTTGCAACGCCGGACTGTCTTCAAGCGCCTTCAGCCCGCATGTCGGCAGGTTGTGAGCTTTCTGCAGAGGAGCGCTCCTCTGCAGTTGCCTTTTAAAATCGAAAGGGATAAGGCCGTGGTCCCATTCGGCAGCGACGTCGCGACCTTGGAGACAGTGGATCTTGTGGTGTGCTCGTCACTGAGGTCGGCGGTTGCTCCGTCAAGGGCAGCCAGTTCGACCAAGAGCGGTGGACGAAGGTGGCATCGTCGTAGTTGTAGTTAGGAATAGTCCTCGCTGCCATGCTGAAACTAGTGGCTGTGGCAACGGCCGCGGTCGCATAGTCTATTCTCTTGCTTTGGTGTGCCCAATGCGTAATTATGTGATCCTGTAAGACACATGCTGGTTCGCCAGCCGCATTGGAGCCACATGTACATACTGTGAAGTGTGCTTGCTTCATTGAAACGGGCAATCATTTTGGGACAATTTCTGTCCGTGATCAGACGGAGAGTAGCTTCGAACTGCTTCTTTGCAAGCTGTTTTTGCTTTTTGATGACTTTCTTCAACATGAGAAGACATTGACACCAACAGCTATCCCGAAAAGCTGGAGGCTTTGAAGTTCCTTCTGATGGACTTGAAGTACCTCATCGCCGTCATCGAGTCGACAGGTCCCAAGCAAGAAGTCTCCATCTGCCAGGTCTGATGCTGTCATGTCAGGCAAGGCTTTGAGCGGCATCTCACCCCTGAATTGAATTGAATCAAACCGGTGCCCTGAGGCGTGACTTTGCAGCTTCGAGAAGCAGCTCAACAGCCACGTCTTGAAACCGGTACTGAAAAAGTCTTCATTGTCTTGTCATTGTTTGCCAGCACGCGAGCTTGCTGTGTTACGTGCTAGTGCTTGCTCTACGGCAGATGTGGGGAGAAGCAGCGAGCGTGACGCCGCGGAAGGGACTGGCTTGCAGCGTTCGTCCCTCCTCCGTCACTGAAGTAGAAGGCTTGGGTCTCATCGCAGCCATGGCACTTCTCAGGCCACCCTGCAAACAGTTTGTTTGGCTGAAGGTGGGTGTTGTTCGGTCAAGGTTGAAACTTTTTTCCCGAAAGCATCGCGAAGGGTTCTTCCGTGCGGAGCCCTCTGACCCAACAACATAGACTGAAGAGCATAGAGTGAAGTGCATAGAGTCAAGTGCATAGAGTGAAGTGCATAGAGTGAAGTGCATAGAGTGAAGTGCATAGAGTGAAGTGCATAGAGTGAAGTGCATAGAGTGAATTGCGTAGAGTGAATTGCATAGAGTGAAGTGCATAGAGTGAAGTGCATAGAGTGAAGTGCATAGAGTCAAGTGCATAGAGTGAATTGCATAGAGTCAACTGCATAGAGTGAAGTGCATAGAGTGAGTTGCATAGAGTGAAGTAGAAGTTAATAGAAATTACGAGATTTACGTAGAATTTAGTAGACCTTCGTACCCAGTCCTAGATTTCCAAATTAAAATTACTCTTTCTAAGGCGGCGGGCTGGGTTGACATCGCCAATCGGGATTGCAACCCTCTGCGGGTTTCGGCGTGGTCGCGGTGCTAAAGCCGTCGTTTTTTTACGTTTCTTTCTGGCCGCGGACAACCCTCTGCGGGTAATCGCCGGGTCGCGGTGCTAAAGCCGTCGTTTTTTTACGTTTCTCGATGTGCGCGGACAACCCTCTGCGGGTTTCGGCGTGGTCGCAGTGCAAAAACCGTCGTTTTTTTACGTTTCTTGATTTGCGCGGACAACCCTCTGCGGGTTTCGGCGTGGTCGCGGTGCTAAAACCGTCGTTTTTTTTACGTTTCTTGATTTGCGCGGACAACCCTCTGCGAGTAATCGCCGGGTCGCTCTGCTAAAACCATCGTTTTTTACGTTTCTTGATTTGCGCGGACAACCCTCTGCGGGTAATCGCCGGGTCGCGGTGCCAAAGCCGTCGTTTTTTTACGTTTCTTTCTGGCCGCGGACAACCCTCTGCGGGTAATCGCCGGGTCGCGGTGCTAAAACCGTGTTTGGAACTTTTTTTCGTGGCCGCAGACAACCCTCTGCGGGTTTCGGCTTTGGCGCGGTGCCAAAACCGTCGTGCTTTTGCGTTTTTTGACATACAAACGTAACCCCTCTGCGGGTTTCGGCGTTGGCGCGGTGCCAAAACCATCGTGTTTTTGCGTTTCTTGACATGCAAACCGTAGTGTTTTTGTGTTTTTTTTTTCGACTTGTGTAGTATAGACGTAGTACGCCCGCTAACTTCAGATGTATTGAAGGCCGATGAAGTGTACACAGTTGACCACAAGTGCATGGCATTCAACTCCACACACTTGAATGCCATGCAGTTCAAGTGCATATACACGTCCAGTACACAAGTGCAGTGTACAAGTGACTATGCAACCATGTAAGTGCATACATTTCTCCAAGTGCATATACTTCGAGTGCAAAGAGTCAACTGCATGGACTCAACGCACGGCAAATCGATGCTTTCGGGCCATCCCTCTTCTAGTTTGCCATGCGAGCAGATTCGATATCGGTTGTACATCGCAGCAGTACAGGAATCCAGCCTGAGCTTCTGTAGAAGGACTCTGCTGATGTCCTTGGCCTGGCAGCTTGCCAGCGCGGCGGTGCTGTACCAGGCAACAGCAGTGCGTGACCTTTAGACCATGTTAGACCTCGCTAGGATTCGGGCCCCCAAGAATGATGTCCAGCATTTCTGTACTTCGTGTTGGTGGGACAGAATCGAGAATGCCAATGCAGGAGCCAATCAAGCAAGCATCCTTTGTGAACACGCCCAACTACAAGGCAGATGGTGCCGTTGCGGCCAGACAAGTTTGTTTGCCAAGTTCCGTGTCCAAGGCACAGTGGCGTGCCACACGCATACCCAAGACCCCACAGCACACCACCTCGCTGCAGGCTTCAGACAGCTTGCGAGCACAGTTGTGGGTCCGGAACCTACGCAGCATCGCTGTCACGGCCATTTTGCAGTTCGAAGAGTCACACAAAACGAGACTAGAATGACTAGAGATGTGGAGCGCCTTTTGCGCACAGGTTCTTGCAGTTGTGTGCACGGTGGGTCTTGCTCCGAACTCAGCACTTCGATCCAGAGATATGAATCGGAATGCCCCAAATCCGCTGCCTGGTTTCGTCTAGGATATCATGTTGAGTAGAGTCGAGTCGATTTGTGGATGTATTGGGTTGTATTCACAGTATTCCTTAAAGTTTAGAGATGTTCAGAGTCTAGTGTAGGTCCATAATTCAGAACAACCCATAATATGACACTTTTTCGCTATGGAAGGCCCACCGCTTTGTTGCACTCCCCGGACCCAGAGAGAGCCGAAAGTCCGCGCATCAGATGTCGGTTCTCTGCCGTATGGGATTTGGTCTGAGATATGCGACTTTTTTGGTAAGCTGATACGTGCACAGCGGAGTGAATGGCTCACAACTCAGACAGACAAGCGTCAGCATGATGAACGTACAATAGAGACAGCAAAGGTGGACCCGAATTCCAGCTTTGTTCTGCGCTGACCACTCAGGTCGGGTCAGCTCTGGACTCAGCTGTTCGTTTAAAGGAGTTGGATGAGGAAATCGAGATGCAGATCGTTCTGATTTGAACAGCACGCCGCTGGTTACAATGGCCTGAGATTCACAGAGCGCCTCTTTCCATGGTTTCTTTGCCAACGGTGCCCAGGTCGGGTGGATGTCCATACCTTAGCTGCCCCAGCATATTCCTGTGAGCAAGCTTCACAAGCTGCTGCCCGCTGGGCCAGTGGAACCTGAGTCAAGCAGATGTGGTCGGGTGAGTTTTTTCCCTCGCGAACGGCCACGCAGTACTTTCAAGCCGCATTGTGCTGATGTTCCTGCGGAAGTCCTGGCTCTCTTTGCACCCGGACATGACTATGACTAAGGTTCAAGACAACCCCGGGTCAGGTATCCTGAAGAGGCGCCTCTGAATGGTGCTCGCACTTGAGCAGGGCTCATTTCGGAGGGTTTGTGTCTGACGCGTCTGAATCGTGGAGATGGCAGTAGAAACCTTGGCCATGGAGCCTGTAATGGAGCCTCTGGTTGAAACCATAGCGCCGGTCAGGAGGATACATGTGGCCGCACGCTGGCTTCTTGATGCAGATGTGCCTGCCCATCGACATTCTGTGTTCAGCTGCCTGACCTCTCTGAAGCTGCTGATGTCCAGCTGAGTTGAGTTAGTTGGAGTAGAAGCAGATGCACCAACCTTTTCACTGCTTGGCTAGGGCGTGCCTTTGTTTCACCGCCCTGGGCCCCGCTCTTCTAAAGCAGTTTCGTTCGGCTGCATGCTTTCCCCGTCCAGCATGCACTGATTCGTGCTGCCGTGCGGCCAGCACGAGAATGCACCGGCTTGCTCTGAGAAACATGGACCGAGATGATTGAACTTCGTGCTGTGTTGCTGGGCCATTCCAACCCGTTTAATGCTTGCTTTCGGAATCGTTCTCACGCACGCCATTCAACCACGTTTTGCGTTCGATGTCTTATTCCGCGGCCGTGCTTTGCAACTGGAAGGCTGCGTGAAGCCCTGAAACACGCGAGGCTGCTCTAAAGCCGTGCTGGGTAGGAAGGCGTCTCGCTCACACCGAGAGGTTGAAGATCAGCTTTTGAGGGAAGATACTGTGTGGAAATTCGGTTTCAGCCAGAAGAGATGGAGTGGCCTGCTGCAAGAATCTGGTCTCACATCCACTTCTTCTGGCTGTGTCGATGCATGGTGCCGTTCGTTAAGCCGGCTGATCTGCTTACCTGATGGGCTTCGCCTGAGGCTGTGCTTTTGGCTGCAGAAAGTTGGGTTCAGCACGAGCAGCCATGAGGCCATGACTCAGGTGTCACTAGACCACGCAGGGGCACCGAAGCCACTCCACCTCACCATGAAGAATGGGCAAAGCGTACTGTGCCTAGTACCGCGGGGTGTGTTCCCCACCAGCATATCAATTCCAGCCAACCTTTGACCCTAGACCCTAAACTTCCTAAACCCTAAACTGGCGGAGTAGCAGGGTAGCAACATATCCTGGAGCTTCCTGCCGAAGATGACAGAGGAAGCGGCCCTCTTCTTAGCCCTTCGATAAGGCTCCAACGAGTCCCGAAAGGCGCATCAGCCGCGCATTGAGGCCAAAGATGGCGTCGAGTCCGCTGTGTCCAGCAACCCTATGGGGTTGCCCTTGAAGGAGCTCCGGAGGTTAAAGGACCGCCCAGAAGATCCTTCTGATGCGCTGCGGGCCGTGAGTCGCAAGCTGGGCAGGACCAATTTCAGGACGAGGAAGGCCAGCCGGTCAAGCTGGACGAAGAGTCCGCTCCCGAGCTGTTCCCTTCCCTTGACTTTGATGTCATCATTCCTGTGCTCTCTCATCCTTGAAAGCCTTGAGGCAGTTTGTTGATGCACTGCTTTCCCGGCTGACGGGGTCGATCTCGACCTCACATGCTGAGTCGCCGCCTGACTTTGCGGCTGTCGACATGGTTCATGTGTTTTCATGTCCTGTGCCAGCCATGTCTTGAGCATGCCAGGCGACGGCGCTGGGATGTGGAGCTCCGGACGTTGTTCAAGAAGATCGACGCTAGCTGCTCCGAAAGCGTGACATGGGAGGCTTCCGGCTTGCTCTGCTATGTTCTGCTAGCTCTCCTCTTCACGCAGCTTCCTGCTCTGAGCCAATGCCACCCGCAAAGCTTCTTCCTTTCACAATTTCACAGGAGTTCACAAACTACATGCTCTTCCATGCCCCGGGCTTCGGCTCTGCAGACGGTGCCTGCGAGCAGGGCACCTCAGGGCAGATCATGAGAAGATCATGTGAATCTGGTGATGCCAGACAGGTTCGATTCGGCTGTTCCGCTTTCGTGTGCATGCGCCTGCAGAGTGCCCGCTGAGGTTGTCCCACAATGCTGCGGCAGCTGAAGCCCTGGCGGGTGCTTGGCAATGTGGCCACATGGAGCGACTTGCAATGTCAAAAGAACTGACCAGAATGCAAAAACGAGTAGCAGAAAAAGTGTCAGAATACGACAAGCCCTTCTTCCGACCAGAAGCGTCAAAAGCATTCCTCATTCAACAAGCCAGATGCAGGACATGATCAATAACATTGCGGTCGTCTATGAGTTCGCCAACAAGCAGGACAGCAGTAACGCGCAAGCCCCAGGTCTTCAGCAGGGTAGCTCTTCCATTCCGGCCCCCCCCCCCTCCCCCCCCTTAACCCCTTACAACCCCCTTCCCCCCTTTTAACCCGAGGCTGCTAGCAGCGCCCCGGCTGGCCATGCCCGGAGGCATCAGAAGCCAGAAAAGCTGAGAGAGCATGCTGACCGGAAGCTGACGGGATCATGCTCGCCCGCGCCATCTCTGGCCTGTTGGATGTGTGTCAGGTATATCACCGCCGGGCGGGATGGATTCGTCAAGGCGCCGAACTTGCCCCTGAGCTCTCAGACTGGCTGTGCTCAACCCGGCTCTGCACTGTGCTGATTAAGATGGGGAGGTCTGGCATCCAAACCTCACACTGCACAAGGAGATTGATGCCAGCCACTCAGCTCTGCATGTTCAACTGCAGCTTCAAGTGCTTCAACTGCCGGGCCATCGGGAATCTTGATTTCAGGTAGGACAGACCAGCAGCTGGCTTTCGGCATGCTGTTGGATGCAGAAGCCAGGGCCAAAGTGATCGGAATGCCTTGCAGGGCCACATGACATGCAGTGCAGATTGCCCTAAAATTTGCCTCCCCCGCATTTCGATCGAGTCGCGGAGTGGAGGGTGCCTTAAAAGATTCTGTACAAATTCTCATCACATCTCTCCCGAAGAGGTTGGAGGGGAAGGCGCTTGATGCACAAATCCGTCTCCCTGCCCCACGTCCAACTCTTCCTCCGCCTCCGCCTCCAACCTCCTGCTCTTGGTTCCAGCTGTTCGGTCTGTGGCTTTGCCCGCTTGATTTTGAGCTATTGTTGGGCCAAGGTTCCCTCAAAGTTTCCATGACTCCACCTTTACTTGCTAAGGTCCAGAAAGCTGGCAGTGGCTTCATCAAGCCAGACCGCCCGGTGGTGTGCGAGCTTGCTGCGTAGTACGGGTTAGAGAAGCTTCGGGTCCATGCATTCGTTTTGCCGCCATCTGGAGCAAAGGCTTCCGCATCTTCTTCTATGACAGCTCCCTAAGCCCGGCTCTCAGAAGGGCACTTGGAGGAGCTGTGCCACGGGCCTCAAGCCTGCAAGGCCCGATCACCCACATCGATCACAAGGACGGCACGCCTCTCCCCTAGCAGCGTGGTCCAAGAGACCTTGCGGGGATACTGTACCGGGATATTTGTTCGCCTTCTGGTACTTCCGTATAGTATTAATCGTATCAATTATATTCATATCAATATGAATATTATTATTAATAATAATATGAATAGTAATGATAATACTAACAATAATAAGAATAGTAATGATAATGATAATAATGATAATAATGATGATAATGATAATAATGATGATAATGATAATAATGATAATAATGATAATAATGATAATAATGATAATAATGATAATAATGATAATAATGATAATAATGATAATAATGATAATAATGATAATAATGATAATAATGATAATAATGATAATAATGATAGTAATCATAATAAGCATAATAGTGATAATAATGATCTTTGACAATCGAAGCCATGGCCAAGGCCCCTGTGCCTGGGATATACGGAGTTTGGCTCTCGGGCTGAGTGCAAGAATCTCTTGGAGAGTTGGGCTTGAGGACCATGACGTTAATTCTTGTGCACGCGCGCCCCGGTCCTCTCAGTTCCCACGAAAACAAGAGCTCGGAGAAGGAGATCCTGATGGTGGGTTCGAGCGCCCAGTTGGCCACAGCCAGCTAAGTCAGACAAAATCAGACCGGTATGTGGCAGTTGGAAGTTTGCGTGCCTGGTGTGAGTCATTGAGGCGACGATAAAGGGTATGCTGGAATCTGAGATGCCATGGCTGCCACGCCACAGTGCCACAAGCTAGAGACTGGAACATGCGTGTCATATCTAGCCCACCTTAACCACATCCTTGTCGAAGTTGTCTAGAGATGCACGAGCCCCATACTCTCATGTCGTGTGTGACCTCCATGCCTTGGTCAGAAAAAGGGGAGTCCAAGGTGAGCGTCTACCCCCTAGATGCCAACGACTGGCTCGATCAAGAGCCAAAGTCTGAAGGGAAGCCGGACAGCGATGGCTTGAAGGTCAAGAAGATGCCCCTCTGTCAGCAAATAACCCCCCTTGAGTGTGGCCAAAATGCCCAATGTTCTGCTCCTGTGGTCCGTGATTAGGTCCCGAACGAAGTACCACAAAGACTGGGTCACGAAGGCCGGATGCATTTGGCTGTTTCCGCTGTCGGAGGACATCAGATTTCAACGCGAGGTTGGCTTCGTCTCGCAACTGCAAGCCATGGTGACTTGCAGCCTGGATGGCGAAATCAACATCTGCGATGTTCACACCAACCAGCAGCTCCGCATCAAGTTCAGATGGGGGAATGGGGGTGGGGGCGCTTCAGAAGGTAAAGAGGGGTTTAGAAGTTTAGAACGGGAGATAATGGGACGGTTGCTGATGGGATGTCGGCCAACCCCCCGCCAAAACACAACGAGCTCAGCCACGGAGAGTGAGGGAGTGTTTGTCTCACTTCCTTGTAGACGCATCTCAAAACTCGAGGCGAAAGGAAGGCCGCGATGCTGTCAGGCTTCACAAAAAAGGCTCGAACAGAGCTGCAAGTGTGAGATTTGGAGCTGATTCAAGAGCAAGACGGGACATTTGGATCATGTGGCATGCGTTTCCCTACAAGCACCACGCCACGTAGGCACATTCGTGGCAGTTCAGTTCTACCTGCCTGAAAGTCTCAGAACTCATTAGGTCGTCATTCTTCAACAAGTCTTGTTTGTCTCGTAGGCGTTCACTCCTGGTGTTGGTGCACGAACTACAAGTTCTTTGCTTCCGGCGGCCGGGTGCCTATCTGGAATGAGCAGACTGGAGTGGATTGTACCTTGTTGTCCTTGAAACGCAGCTTCTTGGAGACTGAGGATCGGACAGGCAGATCATCATCTGGAATCCATACACGCAGAAGGCAATGAACTACCTTCAAGGGCCGAGCACCCAGCACCCAGGTTCCTCCATAACGGGGTGGAGGGTGGACTACAAACATCTAAGCCGTACAAGACTTCACATCATCTAACAGCCCCCAGCCTTTGCTGCATCGCCTCCAGGCATAATGCTCCCGTCTTGGACGTTCTCGTCAACGAGAAGCAGCGCCTTTGCTTGGAGCAGTAAGATTCTTTTTCGTCAACTGTTCGATGCTGGTCGGCTCTTAGCCATGCAACAGGGATGTGGTCCATGTCTGGCAGTGTTTGGCGAGCTTTGAGGCACCAGCTGATCTCGATGTCCGTTGACAAGGTTGTCAAGGCTGGTGCATTCTGTCTTTACGATGGGCTCTCATGACTGCCTGTTATCGACAGCTCCAGCATTGTGGACAGCTCTGTGCTGTCCTCATGATCCTCATGTCAAATGTGTAGAGGTCTGGGATATTCTGAACTACCAGTGCATCCAAACCTTCACAGACAAGACCGAGTACAAGCCGGAGGCAGTGCATTGGGGGGGCTTAAGCCAGTGATCTCGAAAGCAGTGTCTGATTATAGCCCCCGACGCCCCGGCCATTTCGTTTTCACATTACCATAGTGACCATAGTGCTGCCAGGACAGGCTCACGTGCATGGCCTTCGATGAAGAAGGCCACTCTGGAGAGTTTAGGTCCTTGGGCCGTTAGCGTCTGGGGACCCGAAATCTTAAGAACCGGCTGCCTTAGTTTTCAACGGCGTGGCGGGGGGGAGGGGGGAACTTTTCCCTTCTTGGCCGAGGTTTTGGAGACAAGGAAGAATCAACACTGGATCCCAAAGAATGACAAGAATATCAGATGAGAAGAGATAAGAAGCACACAACCCGAGCTCCGCGACCTTTCGGCCCCTCAGAAGCGTAGATCCCTTTCCATGATCTCCCGTGCAGGGCCTGCTTTGGTACTGTGCTCCAGTCTGATCAACGTGCTGCCTGTCAGTGTCAAGGCCGGGCCTAATTTCAGAGCGCGGGGCTGCTAAGTACGCAGAGGCACCTCGAAAGTCACTCAAGTTCAGAGAGAGGCAGCTGCAAGGCAGCTCCCCCCCAAGGCCGAAAAGATCCGAAAAGGTTGATTGGCATTTTCGCTGCACCGTCCCTGGTGTGAAGGTCCAAACAAGCCGGACGCACCTGGCACCAATAGCACGCTGGCTGCAGTCGTGCTCATATTCAGAACAATAAGCCGTAGCAGCTGTAGCAGCTCAATATCCTGAACTCGGAGCATGTGCAGCGTCATGCATGGAGCATCGACAGTTTTGGTGCCCTTCTTGTTGTACATAAAGGTTGGTGCGCTGCACAACGATGTTTTCCACCAGATCATCTCTGGGGACAACACCGGCACCGTGTCGGCGGCTGCCTCGCTGTTGTTTGCCAAGTTCAGCGCGCCATGCCTTTCACAGCATGAGGTCTGGGACATCAAGACTGGAAAGCTGGAGTTCGAGTTCCGCCGTGCTCATCAGGACTGAGCAAATGCTTGGCTACGTCCACAAGATGGCTGACAGCCCTCTGCCCAGGATCACAAGATGACATGCATGGCCTTCGACGAGCCGAAGCGATGTCTGTACACTGGTGGAGAGGCCCAGCAGCTCGGTTCGCTTTTCGTGCGGGGCTCGGGATCATCCGGTCCAACGTCAGGATGGCTGCGTCAAGCTCTGGAACTTCTCCTCGGGCCAGCAGTCCTGTCCTTGGCAAAATGACAACGAGGTGGTGTGGCAGTGGCGTGCTATGACAGAACCCAAGCTTGCCGGCCGTAGCCAAACACATTCTCGGACTTGTTTTTTGGGATCCGGCAAAGGATGCTGTGCAGGATGAATTCCTTCATGTGTGGTATCGAGGCTGCGCAGCTTCACCATGCGCCGGCCTGCAGAGATTCGGAGCTGGCGCCTTGCGGGGGTTTGGAGGGCAGCGGGGTGGCTGCTTGAAGCCGTCATGCTCAGTTGCTGTGCTTCAATTGTCATGACATCGGTCACAGAGTGGCACCAGTTTGGCATGTGGTAATCAGAAGAAGCTCCGTTGCATGAGCGCAATGCCGCAGATGAACCCTCTCTACAATCCTCCCCACAGTCTGAAACTGTGCCAAGGTCTGTTGTGGGCCCAGGAAGGGCCCAACACATTTGTCGTCGGATTGGCGTGGGACAGGCAGCCGAACTACTTCAGAGGTTGAACGACATGTGCTGCTGACGCTTGTCCATGCCTCTCAACTCCACACGCTGCGGGCTTCACTACAGAGTACATGCAGTTCCACTGCAGGAAGCCATTGCTGACTTTCTGGTACTTGCGAGTCAGTGTGACATTTGTTCACAAGGTGTCTTGTGCAGATATAAGTTGGATGAGTTCTTGAGCGAGTCTGTGAGAGAGGAGGCCTGAACGATCAAGCAAGCAAGCTCTGGCTCCAAGAAACGATCCTGAACAGTTGCCTTTGAACAGGCACAGAAGATACCAACATTAGCAGCATGCCAAGGAGCTTAGATCATCTCATGTGAGATCAGCTCACGGTTCATCGCCGACGCAGTACCCCATGGGCCGATGTACCTGTTGCGGAGCAGAGAGCTAAAGAAGGGATGGACGCAGTTGTGTTGGGGGCAAGTCGCACCGTTTCTTGGCCTCAGTCCAAGTCTTTTTCGTAACTCGGACTCTGACCACGACACCCAGTATATCCATAATTCTCGCAACGCCGAATGCGCGTAAGCCAGCTGTCGTGCCTGCTTGGACAACCCATGACACGTTTCTCTTGTCGTCCTTCCCCTTTGCAGCATCAGCGGCAGAGCTGTGCTTAATTTGCGCGAGGCGGATTTACATCTGGCCAGACAGCCACAAGCAGCAGGCGCAAAGTTTCCAGTGATAATCTTCGGGCTTGTCTGTAAGGGATACGTGATGTGCGGGACTCGTTTCTGTGCAGCCCTTGCTGGTCCTCCTTTGTTTGTCAAGCTCGCTCTTTCCTTTGTTGCAGGTGGAGCCGCAGTACGTGTTGGAAGACTTCACTGGACAAGGGCATACGGACCGGACTCAATGAACTAGTTAGACTATCATTACGGAAAGCTGCAGCCGTGACTGACATCTGAGCGAATCGGGAACTTGAAGCATGGAAGTTTCTGAGCCAGGATGATGTTACTTGCCTCAGCCGGCTGTCATCGGTCACAGGCCTCCTCGCCACCGGAGGCACCGAACGTAATGCAGTCCCGATGTTGTCGTGGATTTACCACAACCATGGACAAGCCGACAAGTAGCAAAGGGTTAGATATGAATAGGATCGGACTGAAGATGTGAGCAGTACTTGCCCAGATGAGTCTTACATCGTCGACCATGGTGCAGCTTTGCGGAGTTTGAGCAGGTGATGATGGCTACGTTTGCTTTTGGAAGATCCAGGAGCGGTGATGTGCCGCAAGTCCTGCGATGTGTCCCGAGATGGCACCGAGTTTCTAGCATTGTTTTGCCACTATGTATCGAGTTTACCCCGCCAAAGTTTGCACATTATGCGCTTTCTCTGTGGGCTTTAGAAGGAGACGGCAGCTGGTGGTGGAGCCAGCTCCAGGTGTGGCCCCGAGCATGGAGCAAGGAACAGATATGTACTGAGGTGAAAGTGAGTGGCTTTGCACGTCTTCATCTGACGGAGTTTTTGTGACCGCTGTTGCCAGCGAGTGTGCAAGCATAAAGTCAATTTTGGCCTTCTGCAAGCCCAAATTGCGCTCAGGAGATATCGCCTCTTCGATGGCTCGCATGCTGTATTCTCAGCACGCCGTGCTGTGTTGCACAATTGAACTGACGTGTCTCTCACGCGGTGTGGATGCAGTGCTGTTGCGGTGCGTGGGTTCCACAGAAATCCCTGGCCCTAGACTGCCCCTACTGAACTGCAGTCGGTATGACAAGAGTGGCAAGAGACAAGGCCCCGAAGAAGCACGAGCCCTCCACGTGCCGGACCTCAGCCTTAAGGAGTTTCTCGTTGTTCCCTTTTCGTGGCTGACATCTGCCAGCCTTCTACCACGAAGCTGCTTGTAATCTCGCTTTGTGGGAGGGGTCCTGGCCAGACTTTCAGTCCTGAGTTCTCTAAGGGAAGGGACCTCGGAGCGCCGCAAGAAGAAAGGCGCCCAAGGAGGTGCAGGGGGCCTTTTCGCTTTGATCCCCTTTGCTTGCAGATTGGATTCGATTATTCACCTTCAGTCTCAGAGCCCATCGCCTCCTGACCTCTTCTTGCTCTTTTGGGACAGGTGATCCGCTTCCAGCTCCGCTCTGAGATCTCTGAGCCAGAGGGTTCGTGTTTGTGGAGGGCCAAACATGGGCTTCAGGGTCTTGAGGGGGTTCATGGAAATTCCGGCATACGGGGTTTTGCGACTCCGTAGCTTGCAAGGGCAGTATAAGGCAGACCTCCTAGTCAGAACTGTCAGGCCACGAAGCGTGTGTCACACACCGTTCCGCAGGCCAGTTCCGTGCAGTGTATTATTTTTCCTTGCTGCATCGTCAAGCCAGCAAAGCCGATGCCTTCAGCCGTTACGAACATATCTCCAAGAGAGGGGTGCAGAAGCAAGCTTGAAGAGACCATGCTCATTGCGTGACAGGGGTACCCAGACTCTCCCACTTCGTCGTTGGCATCCCAGCAGAGAATTTTCTTGGGGCCTTGTAGCAGATTTTACAGCCTCATTTCGCGTCTGATCAACGCAGCTGTGTTATGTGGGGTGATTCTGCGTGCCGTGCTTTTTGGCATCGGCAGTGATAACAGCCTAGAGCTTTGTCGCATCACCGATGCCAGTGCTTTGTCAGAAAGCCTGAGGCTTCCTGCTGGTGAGGAAGGCCAAGCTCACGGCTGCAAGTGCTGTGGATGAAGTCCTTGGAACGCAGATACGGATGCTTCCACGCAAACCTCACAGTCACCTCTGCTGCAAGTTGCACGTGGTGGAATTGCCATCACACCTTTTTTCATCCTGTTGGAATGATGTCGGTACAGACTTGTACGGAGGCCACCAAGAGTGGCCGGAGGACGCTGTTGTGGAAGAGAGGGGTATGTCTATAGGCTTACGTCGGACAAAAGTGTCGGCAGTACACAATGTGTCTTCGTCAGGAGCACGAGTGGCGGTCTCGCGTGGCCACCCGCTTGATGGAAGAGCTCACGGGTTCTGACAAAGACAGAGGCCTACCATCTGTGAGCTCGATCGCAGTGGCTTATCATGTAAACAGGGTGGCAATGTGTTCAATCACGTTTAACCTGAAAGGATTCACATCCTGCGGCGTGGAGCACACGATCTTCTTGGAACGCAAGGAATCATGGCTTTGCTGACGGCACGTGAATGTCGAGTAGCTTCGCCCCCATTATTGTTACCCTTTCAACGCTGGGTTGCTGGGCTTTGGCATGGCACAACTACCCATGCTTAGCCCACTGCTTGACTCCCACCACACCGCGCGCACACGCACACAAAAGCAGCAATAGCAACGCAGCACAACACAATCTTCTGACAGGGTCGTTTGGGCCAATGTTTGACCGGTGCAGTGGAAGTCATGGAGGAATGCCTGCTGACCATTCATGCCGACCAGTTGGCACGACTTTGGCTCTGGGCTTGGATTGGTGTGCCTGTGCCCTTCTAGAATCTGCAGTAGATGTGGTGGGGTGAAGATACATTGACATGTGGGCACAGCTCATGATTTGGAGCTGCGAGCGACTGGAAGTTTGTTGAATGGATGAGGTCAACCAAGCAAGCAGACTTCCTTGGCAAGGTCGTAATGCTCCCAGGTGTTAAGGATGCGCAGTGTACGGACCCTTGTTCCGCTGCTTGACCAGCATTCCACCTTGAGGTCTTCATGGAGGAGTCTCCAGAAGAGGCCCATGCCCAAGACTAGTGAAGCAAGTCGCTGTAGTGCAGAATGGGGTGTTGGCTCCCATCTTGTCGAGGATGGTAGCAACAAACAATACTTAAAACAAAAACGGAATATGGTACCGCAATTTCCAGCAGCGCATCAAAATTGGATCGACAAATTGCAAAATGCAGCAATGCATGGCGAGATATCAAGGCACAAGATTGCATGACGAACGCGCAAATCCACATCATTATATGCAATAGGAAAGGTTTAAAGGCAACCGAATTTTTTCAAAGACTTATGCAAATACGTTTTAATTTTGGGTGTAAATCAATCCATGCACCAAAAGAAACACACATGCACGAAACTTCTTTATAACGGTCAAATTTCGCACGAATCAATAGCACGCAAAATGAACGAGTAGCAACTTATAGCAATATCGAAGGGTTCATATTGCAGCAGTGGGTGTAAAGTGTTTGATGAGATTTTGCTCATTTGTCTTAAGAATAAGCATTTTCATTAAGGATGCTAAGTGCCATCTCTTCATTGTCAAAGGATGACTTGACAACTGTATTTTCGGACAGTGCGTCTCTCTGATGGTATGTGCTTGCACCGGCTGCTGCAAGGGTAAAGCCACGTGGACGTTTTAACATCAGTTTCATTGCCGTCTAATTCTTCACCGTCTACTTAAAGTAAACTGTTTAGCGAATTTATGATCTCGCTTTCTGTGTCTACCTTGGGTTGTAAGCTTGTCATTAGTCGAAGCCGGCCGGTTGAGCCTTCTTGTGATATTCGGCAATCAGGTTGTGTCAAGGCAGCAAAGTTATGCCAAAAAGTCAGGAAGAGCAGTGTTCCCGTATACGCACAAGTCGAGAGTCTCGAGAGGCTTCGGGCCTTTCTCCTGTGCAGCAAGAGTCCATTACCGCTGCCTACGCCGTTCCAGACAATACGTCGGGGCACCCAACATGGCGTCATGGCATGTGGGGGTGCACGAGCGGCTCATGCCGCCTCATGCCGCTCAGTCTAAGTCCATGTGGTCCATCGGCAAGACGCGCTCCATAATAGGATGCAGCAGGAGAGGCAGCAAAAAAGCACTTTGCATGGTGTGCGAGCAGCTGCGTTCTTGAAGTGTCGTTGAAGTTGAGCTTTCGGCATGACAGCTGCAGTTCTCTTCGAAATTGCAAGGTGGCTTTTCACTGGGGACGCGAATGGGCCGCTTGTGCTGCAGGCCATTGCAGGCCATTGCAGGCCATTGCAGGCCATTGCAGGCCATTGCAGGCCATTGCAGGCCATTGCAGGCCATTGCAGGCCATTGCAGACTTGGGAATTTGCAGCATTGTTTGGCGACAGTGCATTTAGAGTGCAAGAAGCCCAGTGCCGCATGAAGCCCAGCAGTGATCGCAAATTAGTGTCCCGTCCGTTTGTCACGTATCGTATCTTAGGGTGTCACGACATGTTATGTGTCATGAACTGTAGTCTACTTAGGTGGGTCCGAATCTGGGACCTTACGCCCATTCGCGTGGAGTTGTGTCCATCGCACCTTTTGAGGGTGAAGGCCGGCCCAGTTTACTTCAGAGGCTTTGGTACAGAGCAGCAATGCGCGTTTCTGTTCCTTTCGTGCTGCAAACATCTGCAAACCATCTCTGATGCGCTCTGTCCAACCCCAGATTGATGCTGCAGTGAGGAGATGCAGCTGCACCGCATGGCGGTAACTTCGCTGGCAGCCTAGTGCCCGCTCAAAACGGCACTCAGCATGCCGAGAAGGGTTTGTTGTTGCTCGACTTTGATCACAAGACCAATGAGTTTCAACGAAAGCAAGTCCCAAGTAGGTCAGGCTGGTGGAGCAACATCGGACAAACTTGCAACACGTAAACAATGTGACATAGCGGGTGTTGATGCTTGGTTTGTCCAGGCATCTGGCCCGCACTTCCATGTTGTACCTGTTGGCCTCCCCTGTGACCAAAGGCTGCAGCAGTTCAAGATGGATGACTTAGTTGCGGTGACCCCAGGAACGCTAGATGTCTTCTCTGCAGGCACCGCAGCTCAGGACCATGTGACAAACTAGGCTCCAGTCGCAAAGCTGTTCCGACGTGCAGTGGCAGTGTAAGGTCATCGTTACCGCATCAGCAGACTGGACGGTTGCATTGTTGGCATCTCAGACTTCGCGCCATGACAGTCTCGGTCTGGAGGTGGTAACTCTTAAAGGGTGTTGAGATCCAGGCCGATGTAGTCAGCGTTTGTTGAATAGCAGGCACACCATTGATGGCATCCGCATCGGGAACTTCAGCCACCGCAGCCAAGAGTGGAGGACGTAGCCCCTTAGAGGGAAGGCGGTGGACGTTCAACACGTTCGGATGCATCCCGGCGTGCGAGGAACACTGACCGTTGGATCGTGACAAGTGCGAGAATGGAACATCATGGAACATCTCAACCACCAAATCTGCAAGCTTCCACAAACTTCCGCAAATTGCAGGATTTCGGACACCAGCACTTGGTGTGACCAGCTGGCAGCCCGGAGTTGAGTCCCATGTGCATCGGGTGACCACGACCTCAAAGCCCGTTGGGTGACAAGAGGGAGCGTTGTGTTGTGTGAGCGTGCGTCAACAGTAGGCAGCTGTGAAGGCACTGGCAGTGCAAGGAGTTGTGTCTTCAGAATTCGTGGGGAAGTAGCTTATGGATGGAGGTGCCTCAGTGTTAAGCAGTGATGGCCTTTCCTTCAGTGCCTCTGAGGCCGCCCTCGGCCAAAGAAGGCATCCGGGGTCCTGAGGAGGATGACGACCGGTGGAACAGCCCTCGCCCGAGTCGTCGGAGAAAATTCTCAAGCAGCATCCGGCTGTGTGACAGTGTGACATATCGTGGTAAGCTTGCTCAGTTGCTCATATATCAGGCAAGAGCCCCCGTCGTGCCGGCATGGCTGGCGCTGCAGGTGCGCAAGATGCACAAGCATGAACGTTGCACCAGTGCAGAGGAGAGGCAGAAGAAGAGGGCGATCTGTGCAGGGTGAATGAGATTAGCCAGACTGAGTCCTGGAAGTTGAGTAGGAAGCCTGGATGCCTCCATTTCCAAAGACCCGGTGTTTTTTCAGGCACGCGGCGAGAAGGAGGAGCTTCGACGAGTGGTAGCGTACCAGGCAACATCTGCGGCATCGTGCTGTGCTAGATCTGGTCGGTGTCAACAGGACATGAGAATCATGTCGCCTCGCACTAGACCTGTCTGACCCGTGAGGCATCGGCATCGGGGTCGGGATGCGAACGCCCAGAGGGTCCAAGGTACCTGAACAGCAAGCCGAGCTGGTGTGACTATCTTTAGGAAGACAGCTTTTCCTCTAGCGCACTTGCATCGCAAGGCCCCGCTTGTGGCAGGCCATCTTCTCCCTGAAGTGGTTGCATGGCGGCCCAGGTCCGAACGCGGCCTGTCATCGCCCCGCCGGTGCATTCTGGGCAAGGAGATTTTGGCAAGCTGAGCGTCGCCAGAAGCTTAGACGTAGATGCTTTGGATAGCTTTGACCACGAGAGTCAAGAAAGCACTGAGCGATCTGATTCTAGCATATTCTAGCAAGAGCAATCCGCAAACTCGTGAATCTTGGCACAGCCTGTCAAGGCGTTACGGCACACTAAGATCTGTGAAACCGAGGCTGAGTCGAAATGCAGCCCGATGTAGGGTTGCTCTGGGGGTGTTTTATGGCTTGGAAATTCGGTATTTGGGGAACTAGGGATCTTATACCTCCTCCATAAACTTGCAAGTTCTTTACGAAGAGCCCCTGAGGTGATGAGATGTGGAGTCTTTGGACTCCAATAAGCTGGGTGGTTGCCCACAGTTCGCAAGGCAAACGAGAATCTTAACGCTGCGCGACCCGTCTCGGCCTGGGCCTGCCAACGGCGAGGCACGGTAAGAAAACCAGAGGCTGCGGGTGTGAATCCTGGGCACCCCAAATATGGGAGTGGTAAAACAAGAAATTTGCCAGCCGGGAAATGCCGGTGCAGGAGGGGGTAGGCGTAGGGGTTGGGGAAGCGGGAGCGGGGCAAAGGTGCCCACTGATGCATCGTCCGCTCCCGGACACCCGTCGGCTACAGGAGGTACCCATTCCAGGCAAAAAACTACCAAACAAAGGGAGTGCAATCTGAATGAGTTTTGCCACCCAGACACCTGCGGGGAGAGAAGCAATTTCTTTAAGAGCGTCAGTCATCCGCTGGGTGTTCTGTCCTTCAGACATGATGGTGAGGTCGAACGCTTCAAGCCGGACTTGACTCTGGCGGAGCAGGCGCGCCGAGTGCAAGAAGAGCGTAGACACACCAACGTAAGGTACAAGCCATGTGCAAGCATGACGAGTAAACATTAGGGGCTCTCCAGCAATTTATGGCGCTGACTCATTTGCGGAGCTCCTTGATCAGTTCCATTCAACAACTCGCGCAGGAGCGACAGCGGCTGCTGAAATTCCATGCCTCATTCCCAGCCGGGTTGTTTTCAGATGATAGGCGCTGACGCTCGCAGCTCCATCTTCGCAAATGCCAGCGCTCGCGAACGCCGTCTCGGCGGTCGGGCCAGCCCAAGCCATGCAATGCACTGCCGAGGGGCCTTCCGCGAACATGGGAGGTTTCCAAGGGCCTCCCAAAATCCCAGGGGGTCCTAAGAGAGTTTGGGCATTGGAGGATGAGTTGTCGCAGCGGGACCGGACAGAGCATCCGACTGCTCCTAGCACACGAATGCGATGAGGACCAGATGCAGATGCGGAAGCTACGCGAGGCTCGCAAAGCCTAGCGGCTCCTGGTGAAAAAGCTTAGGCTGCAGTTTCTTCAACCGCACTCGTGAACAAGTGGTTGTTGCTCCTAGCACTTAGCACCTTTGAAGCGCGTTTTTTGCGAGATGGTTCCTCATGCGTGACCCGACTCGCCCCCGCATCGGATTGCAGTTCCCCGTGGCGAAAAATGCACCTCCGCCAGGAAAAGGGGTGGTTGTCAGGTTGTCGGGGCATTGAAAAGGGGGGAAGGAGACGAGATCCTGGTCTGCTTGCTCCAGACGCCTCGGAGCCCGAGGCGAATGCCGCATAGTTCTGTTGGCGCTCGGGTCTTGCGCTGAAGCCTGCGGCAGATCGGAATTGTCGATCCTTCGTCCAGATCACACTGGTACATTGAGGAAGCCATTGCTTGTTCGGTGCGAAGCAGAGTCTTAAGAACCCTAAACACTGCGATCGTTTTCAGGTTTCGGATCACCAATCGCAGCCCCGATTGGGAGGCAAGCTCTGGAACAGGAGCCCTCGGAGCTTTCTGTGACGGTTTCGTCTTTTTTGGGATTTCAGGGCTTCAGGGCGGGAGTTCTAAGAGGATCTTTGTTTTTGACAAGTCACCGATGCACCTTGTTTGCTTGTCTTCCTGGCGTGACTGTGCACGGAAGGAAGTGAATCCCACGGGTGACCCACGTGTTAATGACGCTTGCACGTCCCATGTTCAGCTTGAATCATGGCTGCGTGGGGCTTGTCAGTGCGGTTGCTATTCTAGTTCGGCCATTTTTTGGGGATGCCCCCTTGAGAAAGGGTAAGGATAGCCAGTAGGGGCTGAAGTGCTTACGGGGGCATTTTCCAGTCAATGGCGCTGGCAGAAAATCTTGCCTTGTACATGACATCTTGACAGTCGTCAAATGCAAAGTGCTGATACTAGAGAAATCTGAAGACGAAGCCCGCACCTGAGGCCATAAGTTTGAAACCATTTGCCCTAAACTCCAGTAAAAACAAAAAACAAGAAGGTCCTGCATATTCAGGGCCATGACAAGTAAGTATCAGCTCTTGAAGTTGATCCACGTGCTCTGCGCCAACTGCGCGCTCTGTTGCAACGCAAGGGCATGAAAACGGTGCTGCTCATGTGCGCATGTCGACTGCCTGGAGATTGGACGTGCTGTTTTGTCGAAGCTCCCTGCAAAGCATCTACCTCGTGCCCCATTTTTTTTTGTTTAAAGGTATTGCGCCGCCTCTCTGAGATCATATTTCGTTTCTAACCGTTGCGATGTATGATGTATGAATATGTATGATGTATGCTGGAGTCCAAGCGCACAGCTCAGCAGCCAATCAGGTCTCAAGGTAGGTGCGGGCAGTCGTCATGGCCACGCTGGGCCTCAATCCTGCTGACTGCCCATCAGAGGCGCTGCTCTGCCGAATGTTCCGTGCTGAAGCACAGATGCACACAGTTGCCAGAGTCAAGCTCAGCCTACCTAGTGCAAGATTTTCCGACCAATGCTAGTGTCAGGTTGTAAGGCCGGGTTAAGGTCCTCCAAAGTAAGGCTGCTGAAGCGATGTTGGCGACAGTTGAAACATCTCGACGTTAAAGTGTCGTGGCAGGTCAGACCACAGGGTGCACCGCCTTGTCTTTCAACTCGGGGGCTCAGAGGGCATGTCAACTCCCCCCCCCCTTTGGGTTTTGATCGAGCACGTTTGGCCTCGGGGATGCCAGTGTTTGTTTGTATATATATATATATATATTTGTAATATCACTTGTCAGATACAATATATACATACATATATATGTATATATGTATATATATATATATACATATATACATATATTTATGTATATATGTATAAATAAAAATTAAAAATAAATAAATAAACAAATAAATAAATAAAGAAATATATATATATATATATAATATTCAAAGCTCAACAGTGTGAGGGTAGTCAACTTGGCAGCGATCCCAGCATGTCGTTGTCGAATGCGCACGGCTCTCGACTCCCCAAGTCGGTCTAACAACAAGGGAGTGGCCCATCATCTGCAGGGACCTCGAAATTCGGGCATTAGGGGCCTGGTCAAATGGAGCATCACCCATCCCTGGCCAGATGATGGCATGAAGTACCATGACAGTCCACACCAAGGCGCTGTTTGCTTTAGTGTCGGAATGAAGGAGACGCATCGTGATTCGCTTTGAGGGTAGGGCTCCTTCGACCCTGTTAGCCTATATCAGCCTAGCCTTCTTTTCCTGCAGTCTCCTCTCAGCTGCCAGTGCTCGACAGAGCGGAAGATGATAAAGCCTTTGTTCGGTCAACTGTCAAGCCCTGCCCAGGCATGGAATTTGATTCTCGAGACCGTCCGTGGGCTGTCGCAGTCTCAGTCTCTGTCAGGACTTCAGAGCATTTCAGCTTTTTTGGTGCAGGATGGCCCCTTTTTTCGGCTCCCCGCAGACTGCTGTGACTCTGACTCATCCGCCGATGTTGGTCTTTGCCAAGATATCATGGCTGAAATTGCAATCAGACTGGTGCCTGTAGCACATGACAGCGGTTTTTGACATCTGGAGGGATGATCCGTAGCACTTCTGGGGTTATCAGGGGGCATCTGGAAGATTGGAGGCTCAACAGAGCGGTGGCTACTGGCAGGACTTGGCTTTGCCCTGGCCGCGTTTGCACTGCCAGCTTATACCTACACAACCGTTGTTTCTCACGGGCATTGAGTCATTACGCAGAGTGGGACTTCGCACGACACAGATTTGCTGGCACAAATCTCGTCGACCAAGAACGGCTAATTTGTTCAGGTATGCGGGAATGCTAACCCTTTACTGACGGGATGTGTGTGCGGGGCAGCGTGAGAAGATGTCGGTATGATGGTGCCCAAACAGCTACGCTCATCCACACGACACTTAGCCAAAGACTTCTTCGCCGAAACGAAACTTGGCAGGAGCAGTGGAGGCCTGACAGCGGAGAATATGGCTTTGCAGGACAAGGCCTGGAAGGGCTTGTGGCAGCCAGGGACTCTACGAAAAATCTGCGAAACCTTCGTAGTTTCTTGTGTTTCTTCGTGCAACTCCCAGCTTCAGGTGGAAATATGGACTGGACAGCCAGGGACATAGACGTTGCGAGCAGTGTAGAGCATACAGTGTCAAGGTATTTCCGACCTCCAAGCCAGAATGCTGTTCTGCTGCTTAGTCCGGATTTGAAGTTGAAGTTAGACACCCACTAGGGCACTCCTTGCGACGCTAAGTCTGGTTGGCAGATGCCGATGGCGTGCAGCCTCAGCAAGCGCATATGTGGTAGGGCAGCGCAAGCCGCAGTTGCTGAGAGATTTTCACTGAGGGGCTCGGAGGTGTGAAGAGTGATGAATCTGAGAGAGCTCGTGGAAGACTCAGTAGTCGCTAACCGAATGCGTGCAAGGCCGTGAATGACGGGTGGCAAAACAGGCGCGAGACTCAGAGCAATCTGCTCGAAGTTTGCCAAGCTGTTGCGAGCGCTGTGAGAGCACACACGAGCCCCTTGCAATCCCTTGCACCACCTCTCTGCTGCAACTCGCTGGAGCTTGGTCCAGGAACCGAAACAGCGCCACCAAGTCCAAGCGGCGGTTTTGCACTTCTTTTCCAGATGAGTGGCGCCCAGACGGGATTTGCACAGCAGAATGCCAGAATACTTGGCATGCATTGATAGGCATAGGCTTAGGTGCAGTCATCAGTGAGTCGTGGTTTCTGCTGGCGTGGCTCGCTCGAACCGTGCAAGGTCAGTCAGTGCCGCCGAGGAGCTGGCTGTGCTTTTGCGCACTCGCGCGAGGCAGGGATGTAAGGAAGGGTGAGGTGCTGTTGAGAGCAGTCCAGGAAAGCTGCCGTTTCAGATGTGTGGACATCATCAGTCGCCCCTGGCCGAGGAGATAGCAGTTCCCCTTCTGTCTATCGCCGAGGAAAATCAGGAGTCACCCCGAACCTGCTGGCTTGGGTGACTTGCTGTCTTGAGTTGTGGGTTTGGAATGTGATTTTTGAAAAAGTCACGGGCATGAGCCTAGAATCTTGAAACCTTGTATCTACTACGCATACGAAGCTAGCTCGTTCCATCAAGGGCGTGGTTGTGGGGACAGGCCGCACCTTGCATTCGCATGGCGCATCACGTCGCAAACATTTGCAGATCTTGCAGTGGCCAGGAGCAACATGCCTTGACGGACGACTTCTTCATGTACAAGTACAAGATGAGCTGGTGTCCGGTGGGCGTTCAACATGAATGGCACACCTGTGTCTACGCTCACAACTACCAGGCGACGTGGGATTCTGAAAATTCTACCTCGCAGGCTTGAGAGGTTTGCTGGAACAGCTTGAAAGGGTTGATAAGCTTCTGCAGGCCAACTATTCTATTGCTGGTTCTAGTGGCATGACTGCGGAGAGCTGTTCGCTTGTCGTCTGGAGCTGGCGAGCTGTGTCCAACCCCTCTGGCAGCACCTCGAAAGAAACTCAAAACGCAGTGGCCCTAAACTGGTACTTCGTGCACGCAGCTCGGAAGCTGCTACAACTCGAAAGGGAACGTTGAGTCCTATTTCGGCGTGATGTCTTCGAGGCCTCGGGTGCCCTGGATACTGCGAGACCCACATTTTGGGGGACAGGCGGAAGTTCGTCGGAAGGGGAACGCCGGATGGTGCATTCGTGGCAAAGGTGTGGATTTGCCAAGCTGACCAAGAGACAAGTAGCAGATACTAGGAGAACAAGGACCAGTGCTACTCACAGAATTGACAAGATAACCTGGGGCATGAAGGCTTCGTCCACAACATCCAAAATCCCTGTTCAAGAATGCATGTGTCTCGAATGAGCGCTGAGCTCCACAGTTCTTTCAGCGAGAGCAATCAGCTCAGCCTGCTCATGACACATCAGCTTGCCTAAGGAGCTCACCGAGCCAAGATCCAGACCTGCAAAGCCATTTCAGCACTTGCATCATGCATCTTGATGGTACCGGCTCATATCTGCGTCGAACACAAGCGCTCGGTGCATTTGCATCTTCAAGTATCTGTCCTTTTGCCATTTTGTACATCTGCTCTCCCGGATTGGACACTTTTTTTTGAGCCTCCAGAACTTCGAAGAACTGTCAGAGATCTACACCGCGTGCTCAGTTTGAAAAGCTGGCAAACCTCTAGGCCACCTCACTTGCGATGTCGCTCCGGTTTGCAAGGCTGTTGCATGCGCAGTTGCCTCGCGGCACACCTCAACTGCCGGCCAAGAGGTGCCATGCTACTGCACCAGCGGCTTGGCATTTGTTTGCCTAACTCATCGACATGCACTGGGTTTTCGCCACCAATGCGAAGAGACGCCATCGGCGCAAGCAGATGCATAAAATACCTCTGTGGGAGCGGGGGGGGGGGGGGGGGAACTGCAGGTGGAGCCGCTCTGTCAAAGATATGCCTGATACAAGTCGAGTGTCAAAAGCCGATGCGAAGATGGCGTGACATTGCAGAATACATCGCATAGCAATGTGTGTATATACATATATATCGCAAAGATACTCGCAACGGGAATGTAGTGATCAAGTCGTCGCAGGTAGAGCAAAGCATTTCGAAGCTCAACACCACCCTCCACAAACATTGCAAGAATCCCCTTTTGCGTGTGCGAGCTCCAAGAATCCGACCCTTTCAAGGTCTGAAGGGATGTCGCTGGGGTTCGAATAGGATCCTGCTGTTTGAACTCGGGATGAATTGGAACAAGGTCTGGCAGGGATGTCGATGGGGGCCGAGGAAGATCTGTCAGGAAAAGTTTCGGAGTATGTGCGGAAAGGTAGGAGAGGGTCTGCTGAAATGTTTCAGAACATCTGCGGAGAAGCTCGGGGAAATAAGCGGACAAATTGCAGAGTTAAAACATGCGGAGCCGTTGCGAAAGGTTTTGGGATCAGAAAGATAGCAAGAACTGGGTCAGCCGGGGGTTTCAACTTTCAACGTTTAGGACTCGGAGCTGGGATTCAAGGATTGGGATAGGATTTAGGGCTCAGGATATTTTGAGTCCCTTTTTTCGAGGGTTGGTGTTTTGGAATTGGGTTTGATCGAGGGCCAACGCATTGGGGATTTTCAGTACGTGACCTCGTTTTTGCTAGGCTTGCTGCCCTCGATCCGATTTGCGGCCAATTCCAGTTTCACCGATCTGGCTCGCTGCACACCGCACCGACCCGCTACTGTGTGCTGAGCCGTGAATGTTGGGAAGGTGCTGAATGTGAGCTGCAAATCCGGCCTATCAGCAATGCCTGTCAAGCTCATGTTAAACATGCTGTGAGCTCAACTTGTGGCTCCGGAAAAGGTTTGCTCATCATTGCACCCTGAAGGATGCACGACGCCCTGTGACCATCGGCTACGGAGCAAGGTCGTGTGCCCAGTGCACAAGGCTTCCAGGTCTGCCTGCTCTCATCGCAAGCAGGTGGCAAGGCACAGGATGCCAAAGCAGCCTGGAAGGTTGGCAAAGGTTCAGGTGCAAAAGCTCGGAGAGTGCTTTTCCCGTGCCCGTGGCCGTTTCCAGCACATTTGCGCTTGGATAACACCTCCGTGACCTTACAAGAAACTCCCCAAAGGATCGGGCTTTGATGGCTTTGACGGATCCACACCGAGGGTCGATGTGATTTGTTGCATTCCTTTGTTAAAGCTGCTAAGAATGCTGCAAATGCTGCCTGCTTTTTGGAGTAAGGTTGTGCCCATACTGGAGCAAGAAGGCCAGGGCGTATTACGATGAGTGGAATTGTTGGGAACAGAACTTTTGTACTGGCTTCACTTCAGTTTGGAGAGCATTTGGCGATCGCTAGCGCGCAGGATTGCAAGATGTCTTCTCCATCACTTCTTCCATGCTTGGTGGGTTTCAAGTGTTCTCGACAGCCTTCGCCAGTGCCAACATCATCCGTGGAGGACACTGGCGCTGAGTACTCCCAGAGGTGTCCTCTTGGCCTCCGTTGTCCTTACTCCCACGGTGCCAAGGACGCAGGGATCATGATTGCAAATCCATTAAATGACTTTGCATGGCCGGACTGCTCATCAGCCCCCGTCAACCAGGAGCAGCTCTATCACCCACACTACTTCAAGACGGTGGTTTGCCGTGACCTTCGCGGTAAGGCATGTTGCTGGGGAGGGAGTTGAGAATAGCCCAAGTCTTTGTCTAGAAGAAGCAGGAGTTTGAAGTGATCCAACTGCTGCAGTCGAGCACTTTTGCAGGCATGCCCACGGCACAAGCTTTGTGCCTTCTATCATCACCGGCACGAGCGCTGCAGTCCCAGCGACGGACAAGCACGGACGACCTTAATTGTAAACACTGCACATCGACCGCCTCGCCCCCTCCCGATAATCTAGGTGGCTTGAACGAAGGTTTGGGGAAGCAGCTTTTGGGCTTGTGGCGAGTGACTTAACGGCTTTGTTTGTGAAGCGTGTTAAGGGACTTTGGGTCCCCATAGGGTCTTTTCAACAAATTGTGTATTGTGACAGATCTTTGGGGGAAATTAAGGGGAGGTCCCGGAAATCCCTGATAGGTGGTTCTCCATTCAACTTACATATTTTCGGTGACGACCACGGCTAAGGTTTGAAGGCATGCAGCGGCATCAGCAAATCCGGAAATCCTGAAAAACGACACAGGCTCATTGTAGCGAAGTGAAGCGGCATGGTTTTGCCAAGGCAGCACTCTTGGCCGCACACTAGCTGATGCCAGTTTCGCTGCCAGCTGGAAATCACAGCTCCCCTGGATGAGCCGACCTTTAATGGCCCCACAGTCTGACCCATGCAGCCCATTCCCGGCCTGCCTCTTTGCATCTCTCCTTGGCTTTTTTTGTTGCGTGTCTGTGTGCTTGGCACGCCAGCAAGGTCGCCCAACTCCACCTGATGACGTTGAGTACACGAAACCGCTTTCCTCAGAGGCCGGGCAACGCTTGTCAGCCACACTTGCACTGGTGGCCCAAGCTGACCCAAGAACCCCCCGAGCCTCCTTGTCTGAAGTGGGGGCCCATACACTTGAGCACTTGAGATGCAACACGGGCAAGGCAGTGCAAAGGCTGCAGCGTGGTTCTCCTTGTCCAGGCTTTGCCAGAAAATTGGGTTGCGGACTTTCTGCTGTGAGCTGAGACAGTAAGAACTATGTGGAGATTGTTTGGAGATGCCCTATCTACCTGTTATCATGCTTGTCAGATATGAGGTCCCCTCCGTTCCACGCTGAATCAGGGAAGCCCAGAATGGATGACGGCAAGGTCGGATCACAGACAGTGAGGTTTGTGCCCCATGGTGCTTTTCGACTGCGTTGGGCTTGTGTACTGCCTATGGCAGGATCGCAACATGCAGGGGCCTGAGCTGTAGCAGTTTCATTCAGGCATGGGCGCGTCCACGCGCTTTTCATGGCTGTTCCGGCTTTAATAGAGATACAAGAAGTGATGTTCCTGCCAAGAAGTCTGCGCCAAGCCGGGAGCTCCTGCAAATGTGTCCAGATTCCACCAAAGCCGAGGATGCAAGCTCCCGGGCAGATGGAACAAAGTGGCCAGTTTGGGCAAATGTCTTCTGCTCAGTCTCATGTCAACACGCTAAGCATCTGCAAAAGCACTGCTTCAGAGGCAGTGCGGCATGCCTTTCTTCCCAATGCTGCCCGGACCTTAGAAGCCTTGAAGGATCTTGAAGGGTTCCCTGACATGTTGCACTGCACCGGAGCTGAGGCCTGGACAGATGAGAAGCGGTGAGAATGCGGAGCAACCCGACTTCAGTGACTGTTCAGTGACTCTTCATTTAAGTGATTAGTCGCCGTGTCTCCTCCTCAAGTCAACAGCCGTAAGGTTGGACAACTCCCCGTCGCATGCAACCCATTCCCACGGCATGCTTTGTGCTCGGAGACCTTCATTGCAGGTTGCTGCATTGTACAGTGTTTTGGTCATCGACTAAGCATCTGCACTCCAGGTCTTCCGACAGCATGGTTCCATGGGTGGCAAGCTCAGAGGGATCTTAAGACACATGCGAAGCGTGTATTCGAAGAGATCTACTACATATGCTATGTATTGTGTTTGGGTTTGTTCAACTGCGTGGACAGTGATAAGTTGTTATGGCATTCTGCGAGGCTTTCATGGCGTCCGACGGTACCAGTCGCCTTAGCAATTGAGCCGATGCACCTGAGACGCAGGGGCAGGGCGCCCGCCATAATACCTGGTCCAGGTATGCATTTTTAGTCCCATCATGCGGCCGACACGTCCGCGCGAGGGGCTCCGCCAATGCCCTTCAAGGACATTTGGCCAGGTGTTCCCGTCGATCGCGCAACATATCAGAAATGACTACAGTTGACTAAAGTCAGATTTTCACATCGTTAGGTTGTCAAGCTCTAGACAGGTGTGCAAGCAATTATGCGGCTCTTCCTGTTGTCGGAGGGTTGCCACTCGTGCCATGGGGCCAGACTGCGTGCTGACACACTTTCACATGTAGCCCAGAAGCATCATGGCTTCAACACCGTCGGAGCCAGGTCTTTCTGAGTCTCAGAACCATGAGCAGCAGCTGATTCAGAAGCCCCAGAGCGAGTCAATCTCATGGGGCTTTGAAAAAAACTCGAGAAGTATAGTCTGTAACTCAAGACCCCATATAGCGGAGTGTCATATAAGATATCCTTGCATGCTATGTTGTGTGATATCGTCAAGGTTATGTAGAGCTGCATGGCAGCTTGCTGGCTCTGTGCCATTTGAGCTGTTGTTTCTGTTGAGAAGTGAACACAAGCATGTGGCTCAGTATCACTGCAGTTGCGAGGCTTCGTTTTCCATGTCTTTAGACCCTCGCTGTGCGTGTCACGGTACCCAAAGAGACACCGAAACGGCGAAGGTGCCCCGCAAACTTGGCGGGGTGCTCACAAAGATGCCCCCACTCGACTGGTCGTTTATTTTAGTCAATTTTCAAAATAAGTTCTCAGCCGTTCTTTTGCTATGGTGTTGCAAGGTTTTTCTGGGCATCGAGACGTTCGAGACACCTTTAAGGATTGCAGACTGTGAGAGAAAGAGAGAGAACCTGTCTCAAAGGAATATTTCTTGGACCTCGAAACGGGACTGGCGGATTGAGATTCGAATGTTGAGTACAAGACGCAACTCGCAGGAAGTGAGCCAAGAGCCCTGTTTCGGGAACATGAAAGTTTTCCCTTTGAAAGAGAGAGAGCAAGAGTGACCTTGACTTGCCACAGGGAAATACTGACACATCCACAAACGAGCCATCCCAAGTCACAGCTCATTGGAAACGATGCTACTCTGCGGCAGGTTCGCTATGAAGCCCAGAAGCCGTAAGTTATGTTATGCTGTAACCTGTGTTCTCTACACTGAGCTTTTGGGTTTCATGGTCATCCTGAGGGGAGCGGCTCATGGCATAGATGCCGGCTAAAGTCCTTCTGGGACGTTTGCTCTGGAAGGACTTTGATATCCTGTGGCAATTGCTTTGTGCAAAAAAGGCCAAACGTGGGGAGGGGTAGGGCCTGCCCATGGAGTGAGTTCATCGCAAAAAGTTGATCCTGGTTGCATGTACGTGCTTGGACTTGGGCTAGCCGGGCCGGGGGCGCGCTGCGCGCACGCAGAAGGCCTGAGTTTTTGGTTGTGTGGCGGCTCTTGAAGCCGCACGCTTCCGTGCACAGAGTCATGCTCATGGCCAGGCAGCAGGCTACAAGAGTAGCCAGTTTCGGATGCTGCGCCTCATGAACTACAGATACTGTATGACTGTATGGCTTCAATTGCCAAAAGCAGGGGCCGCCCCCTCCTGCGATGAGTGCTCCAAACCAGTATCCAAACCCTGGCAATCTGTCCCACAGCCAGTCTATTTTCCTCGCAGCGCGTGGTTCAGAGTAGTTTTGCAGGGCCTTGCCTTGCATCATTCGTTTCAACTTACTCGCCATGGCATCCTTTAGGATGAGGACGCCGTCGCCCTCACCTATGGTGCCTTGCCCCAGTTCAGTGACGCCAATTCTACCCCCGGCGATAGGGTTTGTCTGTTGCGAGGCACAAATAGTCAGTATCGTGTGACTCGAGGGCACCTTGAGGCGTCATAACAAACATCGTTTGAAGCTTAGGCCAAACATGGGCAACACAGCGCTTGCCCAGGTGTCCAGGTCTGGCCATGTGTCTAGGGTGGTCAGTGGACGCCTCAGAGCTCTGATTCTTTGAGGCTAGGCGCCCAGTTCAGGACACGGAGGGCCTCGTGACCGGTTCGATATGTGATCAGGTCCTGCGCGTTCCGCGGGGCCTCGGCCTGAGCCAGCATGCAAGCCTGACGGGGACCATGTTGCCACACCCGTGGGTTGCAGCGTGTTGCGGTGCTACGTGGTGCGAAGTGGTGCGACGTCGGTCCGGTAGGTCCAGAGTCGAGAGCCACTGTTGTGCGCGAGGCCGCCCCTCTACTTGCGGACCAAGCGCGATCCGTTGGTGGTGAGCGCGCGGAGCCCCAGATGAAGAGGTCGAGACTCCATGTGTTTGCACTTGCATTGGAACTGGGCTTTTCGTGCTCGCCCTCTGCAGGTGATCACCAGTTGCCTGGCAGCATGGGATGTCTTGAAATTCCATGCTTCGCAGGTTTTTGGCCCTCAGTCTTTAGTGCCATTGAGGACTTGGGGATACCTGGGGTGCCCTGTTGAGCGCACATGTTTCGCCACGTTCACTGCTCAGTCCCTGGACATCCGGCACCTCCTGTTTATGCCGCGCGCCTTCCACCCGCACGGGACCTATGCAGAATGGGTAAGTCGGCGACTAGGTGCCGGGTATCTTTGGGCTGTTGGCCGTGCTATCCCTGCCCTGCCGTTTCATAAGGCGATGCCAGTACGGCAGTGCCCGCCGTTTGCGACACCGCGCCGAGCATAGGCCCCAGGCCTCGAGGTTTGCAATTTGCGTCTCTCTTTCTGTGGCGATGGACGGCGGGGGATTTAATTGTCAGGTCAGGCCTGGCCACCGTGAGATGGGAGCCATGCACTTACGGTGACTGTAGGGTGGGTGCTGCCTCATGCTCATCATGATGTGCTGCCTCTCCGTGAAAGGACGCTGTGCACGTTTGTGCTTGCTCAGGCAGCGTCGTCGCCGGCTCTCCAGACCCCACCCAAGGCCCAGATCTGAACTTACCCAAAAAACAGAGCGCAGGGCCAACTGTCTCTTCGTTTCCAGGTAACCAGGCCATCACCATCAGCCTCCCATGAGCTCCTCGGATCATGTTGGTCGCCTGCGGGTCGAGTCGGACGAGTGCGAGATGTGCTGGGCTGTATCTATGACGTCATGAATAGGTTCTCAACTTCGAGGCCCTTGCCGAACTTGCTGCAGCGGCGGAAGCCGGACATGGAGGCGGGGCGACAACCTTCGTTGCTTCGACACACGTTCTTGGTGAAATCCCTGTGCCCGGGCCTTTCCGTGCCAGGAGCCTCCCGACTATGGCTCCCCAAAGGCCTGAACTGCCGCGGCTACAGGGTGGACCTTCGTTCGTGAGATGCCTGAATTACACCTCCCAGTCACCTCCACCCCTTTGCAGGCAGGGCCAGAGACCCGTGAGCTGCAGGACGGGCCGAAGGGGCTTGGGTGTTGCGCGATTTCGCACCATTTTCGCTGACGGCCATGGGGAGTGTTAGCTGGGAGTGTCGGAGGAGCAGCTGTGTGTGTCTTCGCATCGTCATGTCACAAATTGGCCAGGCGATGCAGCAAGAACACGAAGCCGGGGAGAAGGAGCAGCAGATGCAGCTCCAGGATGAGGCTGCCTTTGCGTTTGCCTTCTATCAACCCATCCACCACACAGTCCCAAACACGAGTTGCTCACAGTCCATCTTACCATCTCGGAGCATGAAAGTTGGATTGGCGTGCGTCACAGTTAGCGCGCCCCGCCGTGCTGCTTGTTGAAGTTCATGTCGCCTGAGCACCCTGATCTGCCAGGCGGAGCCGGCGGTGCGGGAGCATGCGCTTCAGGACAGGGTGTTTTTGGCTTCATGTCTTGGTGTGCACCCGTGAAGAATCGGCAAGGTAAGTCCAAATCTTGCATGATGGGTGGAAACGGCGTCCACAAAACCGCTCCGCTCTGTTTTATTACTCCGTTGCTCCATGTTTCTCCGAACTCCACTCCTCGTAGGATGTAGGGCTTAGGGTTTATGGTTTAGGTCCTAGAGTTTGGGGATTAAGGTTTAGGGTTCTGCGCCCAGTGCCGCGCAAAGGCGCAACGGCGCAAAACCATTTTCGAACATTCATGCCACCTGCTATGGAGTGTTTGATTGGGCTGCTGCGAAGAAGAAGCTGACATGCCTGTGACCCATGCAAGCCAACCACGCATTTGGGGGTCCCAGTGAGCTACCAAGTAGGCGACGAAGCACGGTCCGTTGCGGAGTTGTGGCACCAGCGTGCTTATGGGTTACGTCATCTTGTGCCTGTTCCGTGCCGATCCGATCCGTCGGCTGTCGTGGTTCAAATTATAGCATGTAGTTGCACGCAAGGGTGGGGGCCATTGATTCGCTGTCGCTGCAGTCTAGGGTCAATGCTTGCACTGCCTGTTTTGACTGCTTGTTTTGTGTATGTGCGATTCCAGACTCTTCCTGCGAAATCCATCGTGCGTGCCGATCTCTACCTTGTTCTTTGATTTTGCCTGGGAGGAGCAGCGGCTCCATTTCGAGCAGCGGCTCCAGGCCGCGTTTTTGCATCCGTGCCTTGCGCCTTTGCAGGCTTCAGGAGGCTTCTGGGCATTCCTCTATCAGCAAGGGATTCGTGGAGACACATGGCATGGGAGCTTCCCCCCGGAGAGTCGACCATAGGCGTCACAATTTCTTTGTGGGTTCCGGGCTGCGTATATCCGTTGCTGAAGTGTAGTTGAAGTGTACTCTGGAAAACCGGAGTTGAATGAGTTGAGGCATGCTGAGCTACAGAAGAGTTGCGTGCCTTTGGGTGCCCATGGCATGTGTCCAAACCGAGTGCGCTCCGTAGAATATTCAGCTTTGCTCAGTCTGTTTTCTTTCCAAACTGTGCAGGAGAAAGCAGATGCTCATGAGCAAACTTGCAAGGCTGGCTGTTGGCTGTCAAGCGTCGTAGACAAACGTCAACAGGTTACCAGTGGTTGGGCTTTCGCAGTCCTCGCCCGAAACGCAGCAACTCTGAACGAGCTTCAACTTGCAAGGGGTACGCTTGCTTTCCTGCTAGGGTCCTTGCGAAACAGTGGCTGCAATGCGCTTCGCTTCTGGGGCCGGTTCTCGCTTCCAGCGCCGCAAGCTGATTTCACGGAATTGCCAGGCCCTGCAACTCGAGCACGAGCAAGCGCTGAAGGCCAGCTCGGACGCATTTGGCACGCGCCGTCGTGCTGTTGAAGATCACGTCGGCGGATCATCCTGAGACGCCAGGAAGAAAAGGAGCTGCGCGAGCATGCGCTTGAGGACCGGAATGTTTCGTTATGGGTGGCTGGAAGAAGCGGCGCGCGCAAAACCTCTCCGCTCCGTTGCTCCGTACTCCCTTGCTCCGTGTACTCCACCCCTTGAGGGGTTTGCATGTCGGGGTCCCAGTGAGCTACCAAGTAGGCGACGAACTACGGTCCGTTGCGGAGTTGTGGCAGAAGTGTGCTTAGGGGTTGCGTCATCTTGCGCCCGTTCCGTGCCGATCCGTTCCATGCCGATACGATCCGTCAGCTGTCGTGGTTCAAATTATGGCATGCAGTTGCACGCAAGGCTGGGGGTCATTGATTCGCTGTCGCTGCAGGGTCAATGCTTGCACTGCTTGATTTGACTGCTTGTTTTGCGTATGTGCGATTCCAGACTCTTCCTGTGAAGTCCATCTTGCGTGCCGATCTCTACCCTCTTCTTTCATTCAATGCTGGGGAGGAGCAGCGGCTCCATTTCGAGCAGCGGCTCCAGGCCGCGTTTTTGCATCCGTGCCTCGCGCCTTTGCAAGCTTCAGGAGGCTTCTGGGCATTTCTCTATCAGCAAGGGATTCATGGAGACACATGGCATGGGAGCTTCCCCGAAATCGACCATAGGCGTCACAATTTCCTTGTGGGTTCCGGGCTGCGTATATCCGTTGCTGAAGTGTAGTTGAAGTGTACTCTGGAAAACCGGAATTGAATGAGTTGAGGCATGCTGAGCTACAGAAGCGTTGCGTGCCTTTGGGTACCCGTGGCATGTGTCCAAGCCGAGTGCGCTCCGTAGAATATTCAGCTTTGCTCAGTCTGTGTTCTTTCGAAACTGTGCAGGAGAAAGCAGATGCTCAGGAGCAAACCTGCAAGGCGGGCTGTTGGCTGTCAAGCGTCGCAGACAAACCTTTGCTGCTCGGGTCCTTGCGCAACAGTGGCTGCAATGCGCTGAGCCTCTGGGCCCGATTCTCGCTTCCAGCGCCGCAAGCTGATTTCACGGAATTGCCAGGCCATGCAACTCGAGCACGAGCAAGCGCTGAAGGCCAGCTCGGACGCATTTGGCACGCGCCGTCGTGCTGTTGAAGATCACGTCGATGGGATACGCCAGGCCGAGGAAGCACGACGAGAGCATGCGCTTGAGGACGGGGCGTTTTGGGGCTGCACTCCAACTCAATGGAGTCCAAGCAGGGCAGGAAACCCAGGTCGGGATCCTTTGTCAGGTAGGCGACGTGCTTACAGCATGTGTCATCTCGCGATGCGCGTGGCTTTGGAGGAGCAGAACCTTCATTACCAGGGCATCCTGCAGGCTGCTTGTTGCATTCGTGCCTGAAGGGCTTAGTAGCAGGTTTATGGGCATTTCCCTAGGGAGACTGCGAAGATGAGAAACCTGGCGTGGGAGCTTCCCCGAGTTTCGACACAGGGCCTTCATGAAGTGCAGCTCAATTAGAACTTGTTCAGGAATCTTTTTACAGAAGCGCCCCCCATGTTCCGACATGTTCTGACACATGCCCACCCTACGTTGGATTGTTGTCCTTCATGCCTCCTTGATTCGTTGGCATGGCTATTGTCAGCATCTCCGACCTTCCTGTTCCTGTGCTCAGAGTCTGCCCCTTCGCTCCCTCCCAGTCTTGTTGCCTTCGCACTGCAGAAGACCCGTGACGCCCTCAAGCAAACCGTGAAGGCGAATGTTGCTTTGTAGCCCCGAGGTGGTCCTTCTCCGTTCCTTGAATGTAAGAAACTGCAAGCGCCCCCGAGCCGCGCGCGTAGCCCTTGGGGGGATTTCTCGCTTCCAGTGTCAGAAGCTTACGCCGCGGAATTGCCAGGAGATGCGCCTCGAATACGATCAAGCAATGGAGGCCAGCGCAGGGCATTTGGCCATTGAGTGGTGCTGAAGATCTGAAGCCGTCGGCGCGTCTCGCAGGCAGAAAAGGCGTTGCGAGAGCGTGTGCTCCAGGACAGGGCGCTTTGGGCTTCTCGCGGCCCTGCTGACACAATGGCACCGTAAGCTTAAATTCCAATCTGAGCTCTTTGGGCTCATGGCTGTGTTTCTTCCCTGTGGCTTGGGCCCGAGTTGAGCAGACTGGTCCTGCCACGCCGCGTTGTTCTTGACAGAATCGGGTCAGCTGCTGGGCTAATTTCACAGCGGTTCACTGCAGGAGCAGCGTCTGAACTTCGAGAAGCTGCTGCAGGCCGCGGTAGCTGCCTGCTTTTTCATCTTTTCGGTCTTGGGTGTTCACAGCGTGTGCCTTGCTGTGCAGAAGACTGCAGAAGTATCGGGGCGCACATGACGACCCTCAGACAAGTTAAGATATGTTACGAACCAGCCACAACTCTGCAGTTTCCCTGAACCGGAGCCTTGGCCACAGTGCCACTGCCAAGAATACTCGAACTTAGGGTTTAGGCTTCAGGTGTAGGCTTCCTTATGATCCTTGCTTGTCATCCTCACCGAAGGACCAGAGCCTCCATGTCCAGCGGCTGCTGCAGGCTGCTTGTCTTGCATCCGTCTCTTGCGCCCTTTTGTGCTTCTGGGCAGGGTCCAGCACATGTGTGAGTGTTTGGCTGGGATTGCTGTAGATGGTAAGCTGATGAGGAGTTGCCCGCCTCTAGGGTATGGCGTGGGGATGGCGCGTGTGCACCGCGCCCCGTATAGGGTTCTGCTTAGGGATGCTTAGGGAAGAGTGTGCCCCGTTGATTGCTTTAGTGCGACCTTCGAGGAATCTCCTCAGCACTCTCACTCCGTCCCAGTCTTGCTTGTCTTTGCGCCGCAGGAGATCGGGGACGCCCACGAGCAGACGCGCAAGGCGGGCTGTTGGCTTTCAGGTGCAGATTCCTGGTGCGACAGCGGCAGGATGTGGCAGGGAGGTCGCAAGGATGTTCGCCTCCTTCAAGCGCCCAAGTTTATGTCAAAGTTGCAAGGCGATGCGGCTCGAATACGAGCAAGCCCTGGAGGCCAGGCACAGCTCATTTGGCATGCGCCGCCGTGCTGCCTGTTGAAGATCACACGTCGCCTGATCCGCAAGGCCGAGAAGGCGCTGCGCGAGCGTGCGCTCCAGGACAGGGCGATTGGGCGCTCATCTCCCCTTCGTCTGTTGACCGTTTGTATAATGTGCCCAGGTGCATCACACTACCATGTTGGTGCTGGCCTTCCGATGTTCTGGCGTATCTTGTTCTTGTGTATCTTGCCATCTCGTTGAGAATCGGATCAGTCGACTTGGCGGTTTCACCGCTTCTTCGCGGGGACAGGAGCAGCAGCTTAACTTCGAGCAGCTGCTGAAGGCCGCGCAAGCTGCGTGCTTTCGAACCTTAAACCCCAGAGCCTTAGCTTTGAGGTCAACTAAAGCATTTATCTGCACCAACAGTAAAATTCTTACTCTCAGCCTTCGGCTCCTCACTGGTTGATCTTAGCCACAGTATAGTCCCAGTATGCATATGGCAGAGATACTCAGGAAGCATACTCAAGTGTCTTTGCACTGCTCATTGACGCTCCAAATTTCTGGAAGACGGTGTTGCCGCCAGTCGACGTGTGTCCACGCAAGTAGAGATGTCCTCAGAAGGACGGCTCCCTCAGAAGGCATTTTCCCTGTGGTGTTCGCCTTGAACGGACGGGATCTCTTTAGCACTTTAGCACTTTAGCACTCGGTGCGACGCCCTCCCCCGCCGCACTTTGTCAGGATGCGCGAAAGCAGACGATGGAGGCCGGCTGTCGAGCGAACAGTCCAAGAGCTTCCCCACGTGCGGGATAGACCGGGATAGACGTAAAAAAGTCAAAAGTCGCAGAGACAAAAGCAAGCTTGGATCAAGCAAGCAAGGTCGCCGGGAAATATGTGCTGCGTTCCGATTGACAAATAGACGAACTTCAAGTTTTCTGACGTTGCGTTCCAGAAGCCTTAGTACAATTGTGGGATCGTTGAAGTGTAGAGGCCCTTTGAACTGTGACATTTCCGCGCTGCAGGACGTCGTGCCGCGCCAGCCTGCAGCTTCCGAGCACCGGGATACTCCACAGGAAATGATGGCGTCTGTCTGCGTGTCTGCGTGTGTGCGTGTGCGCGTGTGCATTGGGGCTTCTGGATGTCGCAATCGAATCGGTTTGAAGCTGAGAGAAGAAATTGGTTTAAGACTCAACGCTGCAGTCAACAATCATGCTTAATCATGCGTTTGCGTACCAACGGTCTTTGCCGTTGGTCTTTGCCGTAGGAAGCCGCCGCAGTCTCCCCACCGCCGCAGGGGCAGCCTCTGCCTGCGCAGGCTCCCATAACTCTGCGTCTCTCTCCCTCTTTCTCTTTCTCTCTCTCTCTCTCTCTGTGCATGTGCGCACGAGTGTATGTTTGTGCTTTTGGAGGTCAATCGGTTTGAAGGTGAGGGAAGACTCAGGCAACACTACAATCAACAGGCATGCCTGTGGCCTGCCCGTACTGTAGGAAGCCGCTGCATTCTCCCCAGCGCCGCGGGCGCAGCCTCTGCCTGCGCAGGTTCCCATTCCCAAACATCGCCTGACTACGTGACTACACACAATAGGCGCCAAGACGTGAAAAGGCTGCATCATCACCGGAGTGCAGGGAATTCTATTGCTGAAGCCTCACCCGTCTCCTTGTCATGCCCGGTCACTGTCAGGCGCGTGCCAGCGAAGAGGAACAGGCTGCGCACTTCAAGGAGATCACACGACGGGATCCTTTGGGCAGTTTGCACATCTCCCTAGGCCCTCGGGATCCCTTGGGCTTAAACACGGAAGGGTGAGGGTGTACGTGATGGTGTAAGTGATGGTGTACACAGTCGACATAGCAGGAGTAGAGGATTGGTGGGCCACACCACCTAGTTCAGCCAGCCTACAAGCACGGGATCCATTGAAGCACCACGTTGTGCGCCGCTCCCCTATGCTTGCGCAATCTTGCAGCTTATGCTGGCCACCACCATTACCACATGACGTCTTCTGTCATACTGTTAGAAGCATGTACGTCCCAGTCATATGTGTTAGCTGTACCCTAAGAGGCAGGGTGAACCTAGTGTAGTATCGGGGACTGATAGGGGAGTTGACCGCAGGAAGCCCTGGCGTGCTACCACCAGCGCTATGGCAAGATCCCGGATGCCGCGGCTTGACGCATTCAGGTCTTCGTGAACCTGCGTGAGAAACACCATGCGTTCGAAGGTGCCTCTGATCCCATGCTTTGCCTTGCTCAGTCGCAGCTCGCCACGTTCTCCGCGAACATGGGCTTCCGCGTGCCCTTCAAGTTGGCGAAGGAGCTTCTCTGGGCCCGCCGCCGCCGTTGATGTTCCTTGGCTTCTCCCAGTTGCAGTTCCTCATGCACGCATTTGTTGATGGGAGCCTTCGACGCAATGTCCGTAGCACAGCATCGCGGCACTCTCACTTCACACATGCGTGCTTCTTGCGAGTCCACTTGCCGGAGCCCGTTGCTTTTGCGTCTCAGGCAGCTGCGCTGCGGCTCCAACCAAGAGTGCCGGTGACCTGTGGCGTCCTGGCACATTCTTGTGTCATCTTATGTCCTATGTTTCATCTGTGTCACAAAGTCTCACACGTCACAGCAGGAGGGGCTAGCGGATGGCACAGAAAGCTACCTGAAGCAAGCATTGACAGCAATTGCACCTTGGCATCGAAGCCCCACTTCTGTGTGCTGCCGAAGAACTCTTCTTGGCTGTCCTTTCGCTGAGTGGTCAAGAGCCCGGATTCGCAAAGAAAATTGTGACCCATCGGCTTGGGGGTGGCGTGTCATGCCCTCCTTCTCTCCACGCGATACATCTTCCAGAAGCAGCATCGTGGTCATTTGGCTTCAACTGCCAGTGGCCGCCCTATCGGCCACACGTGTTGGGATCAGAGGGTTTTGCAGATGTCAAGGCGTCACTGAAGTCATAATGTCGAGAGGTTGTTCATGGCTTATAGCAAAGTAGCAAAGTCTAGCCTTCCTACCATATCGAGGGCAGCACTTCAGCTTTGAGCAGATTTGGTTCGATTGCGGGCCTCATGGTTTGCTTTTCCCGCAGCGTGTGGTTCAGAGTAGTTTCGCAGGGCCTTGCCTTGCGCCCCTCGTTTCAAGTGCACAAGTTACTTCAAATTTATCAGCCATGGCATCCATTCGGATGAGGACGCCGTCGCCCTCACCGATTGTGCCTTGGCCCAGTTCAGTGACGCCAACTCTACCGGTCGATAGGGTTTCTAGGCGATTATGGCGAGGCACAAATAGTCAGTGGCAGCGTGTGACTCGCGGGACCTCGCGGGCACCCTGTGAGACGTAGCGACAATTGTTTGAAGCTTAAGCCAAACATGGGCAACAAAGCGCTGCCCAGGTGTCCAGGGTGGTCAGTGGACACCTCAGAGCTCTGATTCTTTGAGGATAGGTGCCCAGTTCAGGACACGGGGGGTCTCCGATTTTGATCAGTGATCAGGTCCTGCTCGTTCCGCGGGGCCTCGGCCTGAGCCAGCATGCAGGGCCATGTCGCCACACCTGTGGGTTGCGGCGTGTTGTGGTGCTACGTGGTGCTAAGTGGTGCTACGTCTACGTCCGGTAGGTCCAGAGTCGAGAGCCATGGCCGTTCCCGGCCCTCCTTTGCCACTGTTGCGCGCGAGGCCGCCCCTCTACTTGCGGACCAAGCGCGATCCGTTGGTGGTGAGCGCGTGGAGCCCCAGATGAAGAGGTCGAGACTCCATGTGTTTGCACTTGCATTAATTAGAACTGGGTAACTGGGCTTTTCATGCCTCGCCCTCTGCAGGTGATCACCAGTTGCCTGGCAGCATGGGATGTCTTGAAATTCCAGGTTGGCAGGTTTTTGGCCCTCAGTCTTTAGTGCTATTGAGGACTTGGGGATACCTCGGGTGCCCTGTTGAGCGCACATGTCCGCCACGTTCACTGCTCAGTCCCTGGACATCCGGCACCTCCAGTGTATGCCGCGCGCCTTCCACCCGCGCGGGACCTATGCAGAACGGGTAGCGGGCATGGCTGGGTTGTTGGCCGTGCTATCCCTGCCATGCCGTTTCATAAGGCGATGCCAGTACGGCAGTGCCCGCCGTTTGCGACACCGCGCCGAGCATAGGCCCCAGGCCTCGAGGTTTGCGATTTGCGTCTCTCTTTCTGTGGCGATGGACGGCGGGGGATTTAATTGTCAGGTCAGGCCTGGCCAACGTGAGATGGGAGCCATGCACTTACGGTGACCGTAGGGTGAGGGCTGCCTCATGCTCATCATGATGTGCTGCCTCTCCGTGAAAGAGACGCTGTGCTCATTTGCGCTTGCTCAGGCAGCGTCGTCACCGGCTCTCCAGACGCCACCCAAGGCCCAGATCTGAACTTCCCCAAAACAGACGAGCGTGGGGCCAGCTGTCGCTTCGATTCCAGGAGGCAAGGCCACCGCCGGCAGCCTCCCATGAGCTCCTCGGATCTTGTTTGTCGCCTGCGCGTCGCGTCGGACGAGTATACGAGATGTGCTGTGATGTATCTATGCTGGCATCATATATGTGTGTTCTCATAGTGTTCTCATATGCTCTCCTGCGAGATGCCTGGAGTAAAAGACTTCGAGGCCCTTGCCGAACCTGCTGCAGAGGCGGAAGCCGGACACGGAGGCAGGGCGACGGCTTTCGTTGCTTCGACGATGCACGGGTTCGTGGTGAAATCCCTGTCCCCGTGCCTTTCCGTGCCAGGAGCCTCCCGACTATGGCTCCCCAAAGGCCTGAACTGCCTCGGCTACAGGGTGGAACTTCGTTCGTGAGATGCCTGAATTACACCTCCCAGTCACCTCCACCCCTTTGCAGGCAGGGCCAGAGACCCGTGAGCTGCAGGACGGGCCGAAAGGGCTTGGGTGTTGCGCGATTTCGCACCATTTTCGCTGACGGCCATGGGGAGTGTTAGCTGGGAGTGTCGGAGGAGCAGCTGTGTGTGTCTTCGCATCGTCATGTCACAAATTGGCCAGGCGATGCAGCAAGAACACGAAGCCTCGCAGGCCGGCGCAGTGCATTCGCCTCGTCGCCATTGTGCTGCCTTGTTGACGATGTCGGTGCTACTGTATGAGTAACCTGGAGGAGAAGGAGCACCAAACGCAGCTCCAGGACGAGGCTGCCTCTCACTTAGCATTTACCTTCTATCAACCCATCCACCACACGGTCCCAAACACGAATTGCTCACAGTCCAACTTACCACGCGTTCCGCGGCCCTCGGCGTGCTCAGAGCATGAAAGTTGGACGGGCGTGCGGCGCAGTTGGCGTGCCCCGTCGTGCTGCCTGTTGAAGTTCATGTCCTGATCTGCCAGGCGGAGCCGGCGGTGTGGGAGCATGCGCTTCAGGACAGGGTGGTTTTTGGCTTCATGTGTTGGTGTGCGCCCGTGACAAATCGGCAACGCAAGTCCAAATATTTCATCATGCGTGGAATCGGCGCCCACAAAACCGCTCCGCTCTGTTTTATTACTCTGTTGCTCCAGGTCCATGTTGCTCCGTACTCCACTCCTTGGATTGTAATTTGGATAGGGCTTAGGGTATATGGTTTTGGTTCTATAGGTTTAGGGATTAGGGTTTAGGGTTCCGCGCCCAGTGCGGCACAAAGGCGCAACGCCGCAAAACCATTTTCGAACATTGATCCCACCTGCTATGGTGTGTTTGATTGGGCTGCGGCGAAGAAGAAGAAGCTGACATTCCTGTGACTCATGCAAGCCAAACACGCATTCGGGGTCCCGGTGAGATACCAAGTAGGCGACGAACTACGGTCCGTTGCGGAGTTGTGGCACCAGCGTGCTTATGGGTTGCGTCATCGTGCGCCGGTTCCGTGCCGATACGATCCGTCGGCTGTCGTGGTTGAGGCATGTAGTTGCACGCAGGGGTGGGGGCCATGAACTCGTGTCGCTATGTGGGGGCCATTGATTCCCTGTCGCTGCAGTCTAGGATCAATGCTTGCGCTGCTTGCTTAGACTGCTTGTTTTGTGTATGTGCGCTTCCAGACTCTTCCTGTGAAATCCATCTTGCGTGCCGATTTCTTCCTTGTTCTTTCATTTCATGCTCGGGAGGAGCAGCGGCTCCATTTCGAGCAGCGGCTCCAGGCCGCGTTTTGCATCCGTGCCTCGCGCCTTTGCAAGCTTCAGGAGGCTTATGGGCATTTCCCTATCAGCAAGTGATTCATGCAGACACATGGCATGGGAGCTTCCTCGAGATTCGACCATAGGGCGTCACAATTTTTTTGTGGGTTCCGGGCTGCGTATATCCGCTGCTGAAGTGTAGTTTAAGTGTGCTCTGGAAAACCGGAGTTGAAAGAGTTGAGGCATGCTGAGCTACAGAAGAGTTGCGTGCCTCTGGTACCCATGGCATGTGTCCAAGTCCAGTGCGCTCCGTAGAATATTCAGCTTTGCTCAGTCTGTTTTCTTTCCAAACTGTGCAGGAGAAAGAGGATGCTCAGGAGCAAACCTGCAAGGCGGGCACTTCGTTGTCAAGCGCTGAGGCATAATTACAAGGTAACTTCGACAGGTTTCCAGTGGTTGGGCTTTCGCGTTCCTCGCCCGAAACGCAACAACTCTGAACGAGCTTCAACTTGCAAGGGATGCGCTTGCTTTCCTGCTAGGGTCCTTGCGAAACAGTGGCTGCAATCCGCTTCGCCTCTGGGGCCGGTTCTCGCTTCCAGCGCCGCAAGCTGATGTCGCGGAATTGCCAGGCCCTACAACTCGAGCACGAGCAAGCGCTGAAGGCCAGCTCGGGCGCATTTGGCATTTGGCACGCGCTGTCGTGCTGTCGAAGATCACGGATCATCCTGAGACGCCAGGAAGAAAAGACGCTGCGTGAGCATGCGCTTGAGGACCGGAATGTTTCATTATTGGCTGGAAGAAGCGGCGCGCAAAACCCCTCGGCTCCGTTGCTCCGTACTCCTGTGCTCCGCATACTCCACCCCTCGTGGGGTTTAGAAGCGCATTTCGGGGTCCCGGTGAGCTACCAAGTAGGCGGCGAACTACGGTCAGTTCTGGCAGAAGCGTGCTTAGGGGTTGCGTCGTCTTGCGCCCGTTCCGTGCCGATGCGATCCGTCGGCTGTCGTGGTTCAAATTATGGCATGTAGTTGCACGCAAGGGTGGGGGCCATTGATTCCCTGTCGCTGCAGTCAAGGGTCAATGCTTGCACTGCTTGATTTGACTGCTTGTTTTGTGTATGTGCGCTTCCAGACTCTTCCTGTGAAATCCATCTTGCGTGCCGATTTCTTCCTTGTTCTTTCATTTCATGCTCGGGAGGAGCAGCGGCTCCATTTCGAGCAGCAGCTCCAGGCCGCGTTTTGCATCCGTGCCTCGCGCCTTTGCAA